GCTATCTCAGCGGGTTCTAGCAGCGCTGGAACCAGCGGCTCTGCAGCCTGCCCCTGACTGGCTGCTGCGGTACGGCGCCCCGGCTCCCGGGCGGCAGTCCCGTGCTGTCTCCCCTTTTCACCCTCATCCCCACCACCATCTCCCCGCTGCCCGCCCCCCCCCATCCCCCCCTACCACCCCCCGCCCCAGCTGGTGTTCTGTGCTGGCGGCGCTGCTGCACCACCAAGGCTACCGCCTGCCGCCCGCCTTCCACCGGGCAGCACTGCAGCAGGTGAGGTGGGGTGACAGGTGGGGTACGGCAGCATGCTGAGATTGCATACGGTTTGTGGCGGGGTGTCGCCATGATGGTTACCGTCAAGTTGTGTAGCCGTCTTTCTTCCGGGGCGGGGCTAAGAAACGTAGGGGGCGGGGCTAACAAACGTAGGGGGCGGGGCTAAGAAACGTAGGGGGCGGGGCTAAGAAACGTAGGGGGCGGGGCTAAGAAACGTAGGGGAACGTAGGTTGCCTGGAGTATCGTTGCAGGATACCGCCGTACAAACATATCATGTGTATGCGCATTATGTGCTGTGGGTATTCAGGTTGCTTCCTGCCTGCGAGCCTTGCTGCCGTTTGCAATCGGCAACGCAGCCAGCGGTGGCGGAGGTGGAGGCGGCGGGGAGGCAGCTGCCGCCGCTGCAGCGGCAGCGGCCATGCTTCGTCCGCAGGAGCTGGCGACCAAGCAGCTGGCGGCGGTGTGGGCTCTACGGTGCGTGGAGGTCCTAGCCCAGCAGCATGTGTATGGCGCCAGTCAGACCCACGGGTCACGATTCTTCGGCTGCGGCTTCACGCCGCCGCCGTTCTCAGCGCCGACGGCGGCGGCAGCGGCGACGGCTTCTTCGCCGTCAGGCGGACGCGACGCGACTGCCGTGACTGCTGCGGCGGCTGCGGCCTGGTACGATATTGTTGAGTTCCTTGCCGTACGGATCCCAGGTCGCAACCTGCTCGTACCCCCGGCTCAGGGTATGCCGAACGCACTGCAGGCGGAGGCGCTGTACGCGCTAACTGCCGTACTGCAGCTTCGTACCGGCGGCTGTAGCAGCAGCAATGGCGGCGGCGGCAGTAGCGCGGGCAGCGGGGGTTTCCTCTTACGCGCGCCGCCGCCAGGGTTGCTGCACAACGTTGTTGGCGTCATGCTGGCAAGCCTGCCGTCAGACGACGCTGGCGGCGGGGAGTCAGGGCGCCCTGCAGCGGCTGCAGCGTCGGCTGCTGTCGCAAGCAGCCCGGAGGCCCGCGCGCAGACGTGGCAGGCGGCGGCAGCGGCGGTAACAGCCCTGCTCGCCGTCGCCCCTGCCGCCGACTCCGCCGCCGCTGCCGCGTGCCAGGCCGCCGCCGGTAGCTGCCAGACCGCCGTTCTCGGACTCACCGTCCCGCCGCCGAATGCTCTAATACACTCGCTGCTGGCTGCCGTGGCGGGCGCAACGACGGCGACAGCACAGCGCTCTGGCGGCGGCGGCGGCGGTACGCCTCCAGCGCCGCCGCTCCCTCCGCTGCCGTACGATCTGGCCCCTGACGAGCACCCACATCCGTACACTCGGCTGCCCCGTTGGGCTCCGGCCGACGCGGAGTTCAGGGTCTTCTGCTCGCACGCCCTTGCCGTACAGCGGCGCGCGACGGAGGTGATGGCATGGCAGGAGGCCCGCGAACGGGCGTTTCGCTACCTGACAGCGACCCGTGGATCACAACCCGTCGCTCGGTTCAGCGCCACCGCGGACGCGGCGACGGCGGGACGCTGGCTGATGGGTCGGATGGCCATGACGGCGTACGGCAGGATTCGGAGCATGTTACTGGATTTCACGGAGACCGGCGGCGGCGAAGCATCTGATGTAGCGCGCCTGCTAGGCTGCGCACAAATCCTCCTCTCCGCGACTCTTCATGCGCACTCGCTGCCTCCGCCCCCGCCAGCCCCCGGCACTGCATCCCCCGCCGCCGTTTCTGTCCCAGGCGCCGAGGGTGACCCATGGGTCACTCCGGCTCAGGCCTGGTCGCTGCTATCGCGGGCAGTGGAGGCGGCGGTGAAGCCTGCGGTGGGGGACATCGGGGGAGGAGGAGCAGGAGGAGCAGGAGGTGGCGGAGGAGAGGGAGGCGGAGGGAGGGCTGCTGCTGGCGCTGCTGCTGCTGTGATTGGACGTGAGGAGGCTGCGGGTCTGGCAACCTCCCTGGTGCAGCTGCTAGGCGGCATGAAGGTGGGGTCTGGTGGGATAGAGAACAACATCAAGACGGGTGGGGTGGTGGTCGTGTGTTCCTCCTTCCTTGAGGAGAGGTAAGGAATGCGCAATGCTACGTAACCACATGTTCCCATCCTCCCCCTCCTCCACTCCATTCAGGCCCTACAAGACCTCCTGCAACGAGCACCCCAGCTGCAACCGCAACCCCAGGTCCCCTCCCACTCCCAGCCCCAGCCCCACCCCCCGGCTGCTGCTGCTGCCCCTCCTTCTCAGCTGCCCCCCTCGCAGCCCCCGCACCTCCCCTGCCCCCCTGCTGACACCCTGGCAGCGGCAGTAGCGGCGCTGCAGGGTGCGCTGCTGCGGCAGGTGGCGGTGCTGCAGCGGGTCGCGGAGCCGGCTCGGGAGCAGCAGGGGGGGATGACGCAGGGGGTGAACTTGATGGGCGGCGGCGGGGGCGGCTGGCAGGTGGGGTGGGGCGGGGTGGGTGAGGGCGTGTTGCGAGGCGGGCGGGTATAGTTGAGTTTAGGAGTCATGCCACCGGCACGTTACATTGCGTTGGGGCAATGGCTTGGTGTGCATGGATTAATTAGTAGCGCCATGCAAGGTGTGGAGCAGCGCGGGGCTTCTCATTGGCATTGCCCGTTGCGTTTCCTTAGTACCGTACTAGTCTACTCGAGATGCCGACTAAGATGTTGCGGTGCCATTGTGGGCCCCATGCAGACCAGCTCCCGGCGCCAAGTCCAGGTGGACGACGAGGATGACGAGTTCGGCGGAATCACCCGGCTGCCGCTGCAACGCAGCCGTACAGCCGGCGGAGGCGGAGGCGGCGGAGGCGTGGCCGCTGCTGGCGGCAGCGGCGGCGGCAGCACTGCAGCCGCAGCCGGCGGCGGAGGCGGCATGGGCGCCACGCAGTTCCTCGGCGGCGGCGGTGCTCCCAGCCAGTTGCTGGCAGGCTCCGGCGGGCTAGCTGGTGGCGGCGGCGGTGGCGGCGCTGGTGCCGCTGGGGCCTCCGCTGCTGACGTGGCGTTGGCTGCTGCCGTACAGTGTGTGCGGCTGCTTGAGGTGCGTACGGAGCCCTTGTTGGGGGCAGTCCAACAACTGCCGCGCGCAAACGTGTGTGTGTGTGAGCCGTGTGTGCAGAGGTTGTAATCCCGCAAGACCCGGCACTCCCTTGCTGCACTGCCCTTGTTGCTGGTGCTGATGCTGATGCCCGCCACTTTCTGTTGCCCCCCTGCACAGGCCTTTGCCCCGTTATGCAGCCTGCGGGTTTCTCAGGCAGTCTCAAGCACACTGGAGCGGCTCATGAGCCGGCACCCCGATCAACATAAACAAGTGCAACAGCAGCGGCAGCGGCGACAACAGCAGCAGCGGCGTCGATCCTGCACGCAGTCCCGACGCCGCAGCAGCTACGGTGGTGGTGCTTACGGTGGTGGTGGCGGCGGCGGCAGCGGAAGTGAGGATGTGATAGAGATTGATGACGAGGAGGAAGATGATGAGATTGAGGAGGTGGACGATGACGTTGATGACGTGTACGAGATTGGTGGCAGCGGCGGCGGCGGAAGAGGGCGCGGTGGCGGTCGGAACCAGCCGCCGCCGCCGCCGCCACCTCCGCCAGAGGACCTCTTAGCAGCGCTGGCTAAGGCCGCGGTGTCGGCGGCGCTTGCAGCGGGCGACGACGCCGCGGCGGCGGCGGCGACGACGTCAGCTCGTCAGACGTACGGCAGCGCCGGCGGACATCACGACGACGACAAAGCCGCGGATGACGCCACCGCAGCGCTCGAGGTTGCGCTGCGGGCGATTGGCCCCGAGTGCGGTTTGCTGTCCCTCCGCCATGTGAAGTACGACGAACCGCATCCGAGCATCGGAGGCCGACCGCCGTACAAGGTGGTCGGCAAGGGCCTGACGGAGGCGCAGATGCTGGCGGCGGCGGTGCAGCTCCGCCGGCTCGCAAGGTACTACGGTACGACAGGCTCCGCCGCCGCCGCCGCTGCTGCCACTGGCGGCGGAGGCATTGCCGCCGCCAACCCAACAGCACTGGAGGATCTGTTGACGGTTGGCGGCGGGCAGGTGCTGAGGGATGCCGTACGGGAAATGGACGACGCATTCATGGCGGGCGAGGTGGTGCCGTACAGCTGGCAGCTGCGGGCGGCCGTGGCGGCGCTGTCGGCGGAGCTGCTGCCGCTCGACATACCCCGGTTCTCTCCAGGTACAGATCCATGGGTCGATGGGTTGACGGACGTCTATAACTTTTATGTTATCCTTCTCGATAGCAAGTAATCTAACACAACTTCGCGAAATAGCGATGCGCTGCTACATGACTGAAGTGAGGTATGGTATGTCGGCTTAGCTTAGCTAACAAACAAAGCTCCCACTTGGGTCGCAGGAATGGCCCAATTCGATATGACGGACCTAGTGGGCACCGTACGGCTGCTGCCGTGCAAGGACGAGCCGTCGTACAGAGCCCGCCGTACGGGCGCCTATGTCGTACGAGTCCTGTTTAGGCGCTTTACCGCGCATGAGGGTCTTCTGGAGGAGTTGCTACTGCCTCAGCTAGCCGGCGACGCAGCCGAGAAGGATGCTGCTACTGCTGCTACCGACGCCAGTGGAGAGAGTACGGCAACCGAGCCCGCCAAGTTGTACGACAGAAGCTTGGTGGAAACCGCCGTACTAGCGTACGGCGAGGTGCTACAGCTCAGTCCCCGTTTAGAGGTGCTTGTCGTACGGCGGTTGCTTGCCCATGCGGCGTTGTGTACGGCAAGCCAGGAGGATGTGAATCTGGTGGCGGCTTGTGTACGGCTGACGGCGGCGCGGCTGGGGTACGGCAGTCCGGCGGAGTACATGGCAGTGATCATGCGGGTGGGTGGTGGTTTTATAATGGGTACCGGTAACTCTGCATTGGTTGATAAGTGGTTGCGTGACAGGGCGCGACTGGATTTCCGTTTCCGCTCCCTCCTTGCCACCTCTAATCCAACAACCCGCTGTACTGCAGCCCTTCGCCTGGTCTTGGTTCACATTGTACGAGCTGGACATGCTGCTGGCGGCGGCGCCCATCCTAGTGGACGGAACCGCGGCGACCGACCCAGGGGTCACTGCCGACTGCACGAGTCCTTCCATTCATCACACGAGCGGCGGCGGTAGCGGCAACAGCAGCAGCGGAGGCGGCAGCGCGAGCTCGAGAGACCCACGGGTCGTTTTCCTGCGTCGGAACCAGGGCAGTGTGCTGTTGCCGCTGGTGATAGGCGGCCTGCAGGAGCCCGCGGAGCAAGTGGCGGAGCTGCTGGGGGTGCAGGTGGGGGTGGTGGGGGGAGGGGTAGTGGGGTTTCATGTGGGGGTTGATTTGGGGTTAAACCCAAGAGAAACCCATGTGGGTGGTTGTGGGGTATGTGGGGTGCTCTGTGCCCCGCCTGCTTCCTGTCGCTGACCCGCATCCGCACGGGTACTACCTCTTCGTCTCCTTCTGGTACCGGTATGCCCGTGAAGTGACCGTCCAACTGGCTTCGACGGTTAACATAGGTTGTAAGGCCTTACCTCTCCCTGCCCCTCCCTGTCCCTCCCTTTCCCTCCACCCCCTCCCTCCCCCCCTGCCCGCAGCTCCCCGCGCTGCTCTCCGAGCACGTGCCGTACATCTTCGGCTGCCTGCTGCTGCTGCAGGCGGGTGGGCAGGGGCGGTGGCTGGAGGAGACGGTTCGCAACCGGCTGGTGGCTGGGTGCCTGGACGTGGAGGGGGACGTGGACAAGCAGCTGAGCAACCGGTGGGGGGGGGGAGGGGGGGCGGGGGGGGAAAGGGGGGGGGGGGTACATTAAGAAAACGGACGAGCTGTATGGCGAGGGGGCGTAGGGGTTGAGGTCAGAGATATACCAAAACACCACATGTTAGGGCAAAGCAATGGGGATAGAGTGGGGGGAAGGGATTAACGTGGGAGAAGCACAGGGGGCTTCACCAGGTGTTGGCTGCGGGTGGCAGAGAGTGCCGCTGGCTAGTAGGCAGGCATAAGGACCGTTTACCGTCTCTTAACCGGTCTGAGCAGCGCGAGCTATCTCGTTGACCTTCACCATAAGTTACCTCCCCCACCCGCCTGCCCCGCCATCCCCCCCTCACACTCACCCCCGGGGCCCTGCCCCTGCCCTTGGTGCAGCCTGCATGTCACATGGTTCGTTAGTTCCCTCCCCTTTTACCCCCCTCCTTCTCCCCCCTCTTCTCCCCCCTTACACCCCCTAACACCCCCCCCTCGCAGCACCTACCTGTTCGTGGCGCACATGTTGCTCAGTGTGGTGCCCGACCGGGAGGCGGCGGCAGGCAGGGGAGGGGGGGGAGCAGGGGGAGGGGACGGCGAGGGCGGTGGTGATGATGACGAGGTGGGGGCTGCTGCTGCCGCTGAGGCTCTGCCCGCACTGCCCACCTTCAGCGCTGAGGTGGGGAGGGGAAGGGAGGAGGGAGGGAGGAGGGAGGGAGGATGATGCCGCACTGCTTTGAAGTCCTCGCAGCAAGGCGACATTACCGTAGTAGCACCCCTTAGTACCTCCGCCCTGTTTAATTACATCAGCCCAATGACTCCTCTACCCTGGCGAGCCCCCACCTACCCCCCCGCCTCCTGCCCACCCTCCCTCCCCCCTCCTGTTGCGCAGACCTGCTGTCGCGCCGTTCTTGACATCCCCGGCCTGCCCTCCCGCGCCCTCAACGAGGCCTTCCTGTGGGGCTCGCTGCTGCCCCCGCACTGCGTCGCATGGACCGCCGCGGTGCTGCATGAGGCGCTGGTGGGGGGCAGTAGCGGGGGAGGAGTAGGAGGGGGAGGGGGAGGCGGGTTCACTGGAGGTCTAGGAGCAGGAGGAGGGCAAGGGGAGGGAGCAGGAGGAGGTGAAGGAGGAGGGAATGGAGGGGCTGCTGCTGCTGAGACGGCTGTGGCGGCTGCTGCAGCAGCTCGTCACCGGTCGTGGCGGTTGGCGGGTCTGGGGGCGCTGCTGAGGCTGTTGGGGCCGCGGGCGGCGGAGCCGGCGACTGGCAGGTGGGGGGGGCGGTGGGGGGGATCCATAGAGGGGCGGTGGTCGGGAGGGGTGGGGAGAGGTGGGGAGAGGTGGGGAGGGGTGGGTGCTCCAGGCGCACGTGGAGCCCATCATGCATGTAGTGCAGGTCCGCTAGCACTGACAGTACGGTACGCCAATCTTAATAAGCCTCACGATCCCGTTTTCAAGCGGGGGGGGTCTTCACGCCGCTGCACCTCCTCCTTCCTCCTTGCCCCGGTCCCCTCCTCCTCCTCCTCAGGTACCTGGCGCACATCCTGCTGCAGCAGCTGCCCCACCCGCAACTGCAGCCGCGGGTGTGCGAGCTGCTGGCGGCACTGCTGGACTGCCTCCTGGCGGGTGGGGGTGGGGGTGGGGGTGGGGGTGGGGGTGGAGGGGCTGGGGAGGGTGCTGCTGGGGAGGGGCAGCAGCAGGGGCAGCAGCAGACGGGGACGGAGGCAGCCGTCAGCGAGGCGGACCGCCTGGCCACCCTCAGCGACCTGCTGCCGCCCCTGGTGTCAGCACTGGCGGAGGCGATAGAGGCGGCGGAACGAGCGGAGGCGCTGCCGCCGCCCGGTGAGGCATTCGGCCTGCCTCCGCTGCCAACCGCCACAACCGGCAGCGGCGGCAGCGGCAGCGGCGGTGGCAACATTGCGGTCGACAGCTGCTACTGCTGCTACGACCCAGACCCTTGCCTCCAGGCGTATGCAGATGCCACGGAGTATAGCCCCGTGTCTGGGCTGGACGAGCATACGGCAGTTGTGCGGGCGGGGCGGCCGGCGCTGGTTGGGTTGTTGCGGCGGTTGACGGTTGAGGCTCCGGAGCAGGTGGTTGGCGGTTTAGCCACGTGTCGGTTGCTGCCGGAGGTTCCGGAGCTGCGGGAAGCGGTGGAGTTGCAGCAGGTGGGTGCATAGGGGGCTCATGTGTGTGGGTTTGCTTGCTTCCCGGTCACCCTGTCCCGGGCACCTCCGCCTCCGCGGAACCGAACGCGGCTGTGCCAATTGCATGCATGCATGGGCGCGGTTCCGCTACCAGCATGTTCTGATCTCCCCTTACTTCACTCACCGCTCACCCCCACTTCCTCTTTATCCCGTTCGGGTACACCCCTCCACGCTACCTCACTCCTTCCTCCACCCTAACCCCACTCCTCTCACCCCGGCCCCACACTCCCCCAGCGGCTGCGCTCCCGGGTTCCCCTGCCCGCCCTGTTGGCGCACCTGGTGGGGGAGGTGCGGCGGGGGCCGGGCGGGTGGGGCGGGGGGGCGGCCAGGGGGCGGCTGGTGGCAGCGGTGCAGGCGGATGTGGAGGCAAGGTGCGCGCGGGGGGGATGAGGGGGTGTGGGGGAAGGAAAGGGGGGGAGGAGGGGCGTGCGTGTATGGATGCCTGGGTGGGGAGTGAAAGTGCTGTGGATACTGGGGTACGGCATGAGTGAAGCTGGATTTCGCGGTGGGGGGGGTCAAGGAGAGCTGTGTGTATCAAAGGACACGGAGAGGTCGGAGACCGAGGGCATGTGCGACCGGACGGAAGGCATCCGAACCCCCTTCCCATGCTTGGCACCAGGGTACCGGTAGTGTTTCATACTATCCTTACGCACGAAGCGGTGCTCCGATGCTTCCTACGGCAGGTGGTCGGAGCTGTGGGTGGAGCCCGACGGGGACGGGGACTCCGACATCGGCGGTGAGCTGCTTCCCGCCGCTGCCGCTAGCGCCTGGGAGCTGGCGGCGGCAGCGGCGGAGCTGGATGACGCGGCGCTGAGTCAGCTGGCGGCGACGCTGCTGGCGGTGGCGGGGCCGGAGGACCCCCGGGCTCCGCCGTCGCCGCGGGGGCTTGTAGCGGAAGGTGCGATGAGGGGGGAACGGGGTCATGCAGTTACCGTGTGCTAGGGTTGCTAATCCAAATGCTCGATATTTCATAGAAGTTGCTCTACTGACTGCGTCCTTCCGGCTTCCCGCTGGCCCCTTCCGCCGCTGGATGCTCCAGGCTCCGAGTTCCCCGGCAGCAGTGGCGGCCGCACCCGCTACCCCAGCTCCGGACCCGCCAGCCCACAGCTGGCGCCGCCGCAGCAAGGCACGGCAGCCGCCGGCACCGCCGCCGCCGCCGCCGCCACTGCTAGCGGCGGTCGCTCAACCCGCCGTTCCGCTGCCGCTGCTGCTGCTGCTGCTACTATTCCTGCCACGGCTGCTGGCAACGGCACGGGTCGGAGGTCAGGCAGGCGCAGTGTCGGCACCGCGGGCGGGGCGGTGGCGGCGACGGGATCACCTTCCGCCTCCACCGCTGCTGGTGTTGGCAACGGTGCCGCCGCAGGTGGAGGCGGCGGCGGTGAGGGCGGTGGCAGCAGCGGTGACAGTTGGCTGGCGTGTGTGCTGCGGCTGATGGCGGAGCAGTACCTGGTGTCATCGGATGCGAGGGTGAGTGGGGGACTGTTGTGGGGCGCATGAAGGTAGGGGCGTAGCTTGAAGGGGTGTAAGTGTGTATGTATGATGTATGCCCCCTGGGCTGGGGGGCCGCCCTCAGTATGGTTCTTTCAACCCCACATGGTCCCAGGCCTGTACGGTTCCCCTCCTATCCGGGCCATGTCCGCAATTCCTAGCTACGTAGTACCGCTAATCCACCGTCCACCCATTCACGTGCTGTGACATGTCATGCCAGCCATGTCGTGCTGCCCATGCCATGCCATGCTATGTCACGTCATGTCAAGCCGTGCCATGAATAAATGCCATGTTGTGCCGCGTCATGCATGTCATGCCATGCAATACCGTGTCATGCCATGCCGTCGTGCCATGCCGTGTCATGCCATGGCGTTTCATGCCATGACACACCACGTCATGCCGTGCCATGACATGCCATGTCTTGCCCTGCCCTGCCATGTCATGCCATGCTATGTCACGCCATGCCGTGCCATGCCAATGCCATGCTGTGCCGTGCCATGCCGTGCCATGTCATGTCATGCCATTCCATGCCATGCCATGCCATATGCCGTGCCATGCCGTGCCATGACAAGTGTGTTTTGATGCCCCCCCCCCACGCGCTCCCGCAGTTGATTGTGGAGTGTCAGTCGGCGGCGCTGCGGCTGCTGCAGCTGCCCGAGGGGCGGGCGGCGCTGGCTGGGCTGGCTGGGCGGGGGGCGGACAGCGCCCGAGTGCACCGCTACCTGCGGATATACCTGGTGGGCGGGAGGGAGGGAGGGGGGGTGAGGAGGGAGGGGGGGAGGGGAGGGAGGGGGGGTGAGGAGGGCGGGAAAAAGGGGAGGAGACTAAGTAACCGGAGGGAGGGCGGGAGAGGTTGCTGTGAGGTTCATGAGAGGGAGGTCGAGGAGAAGCGGCATGTCTCATGTGGGAGGTGTGGGAGGTGGTACCCGGAGGGGGAGCTGCGGCTCAGGTTGAAGGGTCGGGGGGGCGGAACGGACAGGGAGGAAGGATAGCCCCCGGCTTGGTGTTAACGCAGGTGGGTAATTGTTTGACGCGCTATGCAATGCCCAGTCACTAACCCCTGCAGCCCCACCTCCCCGATTCCCGCCGCTGCCCCCAGCCGCCACCGGAACAACAACACCAGCAGCAGCATCCAAGCTCCACCCAAGAGCCCACCCCGCCAGCAGCAGCAGCTGAGGCGGCTGACGAGGCGGGCTGCCCGGACGCGTTGTGGCGGGTGCCGCCTGTGGAGGCGGGCGGGGCGGACGTGTGGCTGCGGCGGCTGACTCCGGCGCTGCTGGGGCGGGCGGTGGATGGGGGACTGAGGCTGGTGCGGGGACTGGTAGGTGGGAGGATGACGGCGGGGGAGAGGTCCGGGACCCTGTAGATGTGCGTGTTGGCAGGTCGGGGCCCGAGAGGGTGTTGGGTAGAGCAGTCGGTTCCAGCCCCTGCTTGCCGCATGCGGCAGGGTGGGGCCAGTTGCACTCGAACGCCCATGTACGGCAGCCCGTGATCTAGGCCCCTGCACCCTGCATCCTGCAACCCTCACTCTCCGTATCATCCCCCCATGCACCCCTGCCTTCCCTTGGGACTCGTTGTTTTCACTTATTTAATTTTTCCCCTTACCCCCCCCCCCCCGTCTACAGGCCAGCATGCAGGCACCCGTGTGCGAGGCGCTCTTCCCCGCGCTGCTGCAAGATCTCGCTACAGCCGGAGCAGCCAGGGACCCCGGACTGCCCGGATGGCTCTCAAGGCAGCTGACGCGGCACGTGCTGGAACCGGTGGCGGCGGCGGCAGGGGCAGCGGCGGCGGCGACGGCGGGGACAGGGACGCCGCCGGCGGCGGCAACAGCTAGCGGCGGCGGTGGCGGTGGTGGTGGTGGCGGCGACATCCGAGCCGTACAAATCGTACTGCGCTCTTTGGAGCACCTGCGTAGGTTGAATCTGCGTGTGGTGTCTCAGCGGCAGCCGCCGCAGCAGGGGCAGCAGGGCTCTCGGTCGGGTGCTGCTGCTGCGGGGGCGGCTGCGGCTGCCAGGCCTGCATGGGAGGCGGCGGTTGACGGTTGGAGTACGGTGTACGGACTGGAGATTGACTACCTGGCCGTTGCTCGGGTGCGGTTGGTTCGGCCCCCTTGTCGTTGCAGAAGACGTATACCGCTTTAATACTGGGTCATTTAGCTATGCTACCCTTTATCGTGCCACAATACCCCACCGTCGTCACCCGTTTACCGTACCACCTGCTACCGCCCGCCAACATGTCCACCTCGCTTCCCCTCCCCCCTATGCTCCAGGCCGCCATTCGCTGCCGCCAGCCCGCCACCGCCCTCCTCTACGTCACCCACTGGGCCCAGCAGGCGGAGGCTGTTGTACGGCTGGCGCACCGCCTGCATGCGGACCGACAGGGGCAGCAGGCAGGCAGCAAGGGCGGGAAGCTGCGAGGAGGAGGAGGTGCTCAGTCACCCCCGGCGGCGTCACCGTTTGAGAATGCGCATGTGCAGGTGTGTGTGCGTGTGTGGCGTGCTGTGTATGCGGCATGTGGCGGGGGGGTTGACGTGGAGGAAGGCAATGGACCTCTTCGTGAACTCTTGCTGTGTGGCCTCTTATGTAGGTTCAGCAACTTCATACGGTATGGTTCATGGGCGTCCTCAGTGTGGTGTATCTGTTATTAGAGCTTGCCCCACCACGCCCCTTCTGCAATCTGTGACGTCACATGTTTAGATTGTTTACCCACGTGCACCCGCACCACGCACCACGCAGGGCGGGGTGCACGCGGCGCTGCAGGTGCTGCCGCAGTGCCGCCCGCAGCCGCCCGAGGGTACGACAGATGCGCTGTCTGTCGTACTGGACACATACGGCGCCATTGACGACCCGGACGCCTTGTACGGCCTGCCAGCTACTTACATGCTCATCGGCAGCGGAGGCGGAGGCGCAGGCGGCAGTGCTGTTGGTGGCGGCGGCGGGCATCCGCAAGGTCCCTTACTTGCTATGCGGCTTTTTGAAAGGGAGGGACAATGGCCCCTGGCAATCGCGGGCCATGACTTGGCGCTGCGCCCGACAGCGGGGGCGGCGGCGGCGAGTGGGGGCAGCAGCGGCGGCGGCGCCGCCGCCGCCGCCGCTGGCGTCGTGGCGGCGCTGCGTCACCTCGGGGGTAACGTCACTGCGTCGTACTTCCTGGCCGGCATGTCCGCTGCCGCCGCCGCCGGAGGCATTAGTAATGTCCTTCTTGTTGGTGGTGTCGCCGGATCGCAACGGGGCGGTGGTACCGGTGGCGGTGGCGGCAGCGGAGGTACGGCGCCCTCGGCATCATCGTTGGCGGAGTTGCAGTACGAGATGAGTTGGCGGTTGTGCGACTGGGGACAACAACGGCAGCAGCAGCAACGCCCGCCGTTGTCGTCACAACAACAGCCACAACCCGGGACCTCGCAGGGCTTGTTTCCCGGTGCCAGCTTGGGTTTCGGGCTCAAGTCCGCGAGTGGTCGCAGCGGAGGCGGCGCCGGAGGGGGGAACTACGGCGGCGGCGGCGGCCTCGACGAGGCGCTGTTTCCTAGCGGCGGTAGCAGCAGCAGCATGGGCAGCAGCGGGTTCCATGAGTCAGTGTGGAGGTCGCTGGCGGCGCTGGCAGCTGACGACCGCTCCAGGGTAAGTGCTTTTGAACAGTTGTAGTTCCCGAATAGCAGAAAAGAAGTAGCTCATGTTGATACAACCCCGGTGCTTTTAAGACAAGCATGTCGGTCGGGCTGGATGACGTAAACGGATCAGGGCCTGCTCATACCGGTGTCCCTTCCGACCGCTCGGAGCCCGGCAACAACCCCTGCAGGTGGAGTCGCTCCTGAACGTCGCATCGCATGATGCCGTACGGCGATTCGCCGCAAAAATGGATCCTGCTGGGGCCGGAGGCGGTGGGGGTGGCGACAGCGGCGGTGCCCGGGGCTGCCTAGTTGAGCTCCGAATGCTGGGGGCCTTACGAGAGGCTTGCATGCTGCCAGCGGCAGACAGCAGCACCCGCACGACAGCCTTAGCCGCAGCCTTGACCTCAAGCCGCCGGTTTGGTGGCAGTTCCTTGCTGCTGCCTGTCAGCAGCGAGGGCAGCGGCGGGGGCTTCGGTGACCCGTGGGTCAGTCCCAGCAGCAATGGCGGGTCGGATCATTTTTCTTTGGAGCCGCTGCTAGCGCTGCGATGTGCCGTACTGGCGGCGGCGGGCAGGCCGCGGGAGCAGGCGGCGGCGCTGGCGTCGGCCGTGGCGGCGGCGCGGCGAGCAGGGGCGACGGCAGCGGGTCTCGCGGCCGTGCAGGTGCGGAGGAGGAAGGGATGGGGGGATTCCCTAATGCTGTTGGGAGGAGTGGTGCGCAATAAGGGCGCGCAGGGACGTTATGGGGGCCGCTAGCGGGGCATAAGATGGGGCATGAGGGATTATAACGCATGAGGGGCCGCATTCCTGCATGCGTGCAGGAGCTGCGCGCCCTGCTCCGTCGTCACGCCGAAGCCGACTGGGCCGCTGAGATGCGATGCGGTGGCGGCGGCGGCGGTTCGACGGCCTGGCGACTCGACGAAGCGCGACTGGTTCGCCGCCGCGGCGACGTAACGCTCGCGGCCCACATGGCGCTTGCGCTAGTTTCGGATCTAGAGCAACAGCAACAGCAGCAAGCGAATGGACAATCACCGGCATTGGCGACCGGTAGCGCTGTCAACGGTAACGGTAACGGCGCTCGCTCGTCGTCGCATTTACAGTTGGCGACGGCGCTGTCGCTCGCCGGCGCCTGGTGCGGCGAGGCGCAGGCCGAGTGCGGCGCGTACGGCGGCGTCATGGGCCTGATGGGACGAGCGGCGGACATTGCCGTACAAGCCCTGGAGGAGGAAAGGCGGCGCCGGCGCGATGGCGGTTGCAGCGGCGGCATGTGGGAGAGCCAGGCTGCATGCAAGGTACGAATTCTGCGAAATGTGTACGGTGAAGGGCCTTCCTTGGGGCCCGTCGTCACCGTACCCTGTTCATGAATCCGCGCACCTCCCAGTTCACATGCTAAAGTGGATGTGCCAATGACTCCTCCAAGATGCCACAACGCACATACGTCGTTTGTGCATCTTGTATGTAACTTACTACAACCGTACTGTACACGTTCTGCCGTACTTCGTGCTACCGCCCAGGTGTTGTACCGCCTTGCGTCGTACGCCGACCAGCGGTACCGCGAGGTGGTTGCCGTACTGCAGAGTCCGGAGCACGGCAAGCGCATGAGTGTGGTGGCGGCCAAGCGCAAGGAGGCAGCGGACATTGCGGCGAGGAGGGGTGAGGAGCCGGGGTGGTTAGGCAGGGCGGGGGTGAGGGGAAAGGGGTTTGAGTAGCACCAAAAACCAGAGGAGAAAGTGAGTGGAGCAGCTGGGTTGAGATTGGGGGAAGACAGTGAGGTGGCAAGGAAACGGATGCGAGCTGCTTGGTGGGTTACTAGCGTCTTGCTTACGCCAGCTTCCCCTAGCTTCCCCTCCCCCTCCCTCCCTCCCCTCCCCCTCCCTCCCTCCCCTCCCCCTCCCTCCCTCCCCTCCCCCTCCCTCCCTCCCCTCCCCCTCCCTCCCTCCCCTCCCCCTCCCTCCCTCCCCTCCCCCTCCCTCCCTCCCCTCCCCCTCCCTCCCTCCCCTCCCCCTCCCTCCCTCCCTCCCCTCCCCCCTCCCCCCCTCCCCTCAGACACCGCTACTGGTCAGCTGCGGAACTATCTGGAGGGGCAGCTGCGGCGCGTCATGACACCCGTCATGGTGGGGGAGTGGGGAGGGAGGGGAGGGGGCTGGGGAGGGAGGAGGCGGGGCTGGAAACGAGGGGAGACCGGGTTGCAGTCCATAGTGGCAAGAGTAGTGAGGGGTGGCGCCCACTCGTCCTTTCCTAGCACGCAACGCCACCCACGCGCCCACGCTTTCCACCCCCTCTCTCTCCCCCCTCTCTCCTTGCCCCTCACCTCCCCTCACCGTCCTCTCCCTCCCCTCCCCTCACCGTCTCTCCCTCCCCTTCCTCCCCCCCCCCACCCCCCAGGCTGACGAGGAGGCTGATGCCGCGCTGCGCTCCGCCCAGGCCGCCCTGAGGACCACCGCAATAGCCAACTACGGCCGCTGCCTGTGTGCTGGTGGGCTGCTGCTTGGGGGGGCGCGGTACTGGGTGCGGGCATGGGGCCGGCAGCCGGGGTGCGTGGTGCGGGGCTGTTGCCGCTGCTCGTATTCGCACACACCGCTTCTACCTTTCCTCCAACCTCTGACCACCCTCCTCCCTGGCTACTACCAATGCTCTCCCCCCCCCCAGGCGAGCGCCACGACCTCGCCTCCGTGTACCGTCTGTGCCAGATGTGGCTGCAGCCCGCGGACGGCGAGGACGTGAGCGCCCCCTTCGCGGCGTCAGCAGCGCAGCTGGTGCCCTCCCACAAGTGGCTGCCGCTGGTGTACCAGATGGCGTCAAGGCTGGCGGCGGGGGGAGGGGGGGCAGCGGGGGGAGGGGGAGCAGGAGGCAGTGGGTCGGAGGCGTTTCAAAAGGTACGGTAATACGGACCAGGCGGCGGTGGCGGCATGTGTTAAGCAGGCTGGTGGCATGCGTGTGTGTGTGTTAAAGTAACTGGCCGCGAGGCGAAACGTACTGTGATTGCCGAAAGATCAGTACAGTCCGTACTGAGCTCCTCCACCGGCACCACATGGCCACACAGGCTGGCACGTAGCACCCATGCATACGGTATGGAAAACCGCGCAGCCAGCCACATGGGGCCTCCCTTAGTCCCTTTACGTTCCAACTCTCGTAGCCGGTGCTTCATACGTGCTTCCCTCCCATCCCGCACGACCGTGCATGTGCCTTTCTCTCCGTACATACACACCCATACATCCCCACACCCCCCACCGTCCCCCCACCCCAGGTGTTGCAGTCGCTGCTGCTGCGGCTGGCCGCCGAGCACCCCTTCCATGTGGTGTACCAGCTGATAGCGCTGCGGAACGGCAACCTGGACCGCAGTGGGAGGCCGGCCGGGGGGGGAGGCGGGGGCGGGGGCGGGGAGGCGGCGGGGGGTTTTGTGCAGGTGGTGGATACCAGCAAGGTGAGAAGGGGGGGAGGGGAAGGGGAGGTACAGCGAGGGAGATACAGGGACGGAGGAGGAGGAGGAGGGAGGGAGAGGGAGAGAGAGGGGGAGCAAGGGGAGTGAGAGGGCAGCAGGCGAGAGGGGTGTGGAGTCATGCGTGGATAGGAGTGAGGTGGGGTGAGTCTCTATGCCCTCTTACCAAGAGTGTCCTGGTCAAGGTTTGTCGTCTTCAACTCGTTCCCCATGGCTTCCTCCGAGCCTCCCCACCGCCTCCCTTCCTCTTCCCCTCCCCGCTCCCCAACCCCCCAGATCCGGGCTGCAGAGGGTCTGCTGCAGCAGCTGGTGGCGCGGGGGGGCCGGGTGGCCAACATCGTGAAGCAGGTGGTGGGGGAGGAGGGGCTGCGGGAGGGAGGCTGCGGGAAGGGTGGGGTGGGAATCGCCATAGGCGAGCATGTTTAGACTTGGCGCATGTGTTTTTGCGCCATTCCCCTGTTCCCTCCTGCCCTCCCCCCTGCTATGGTTGGATTGGTCTATTTCCCCCCTTGCCCCCCCCCCCCCCCCAGGCTGAGAAGCTGGTGCGGCTGTACGTGGATCTGGCCGCCATGCCGGCTCCCGTGGAGGAGGCGCCGCCGCCGCAGCCCTTCCCGGCCAGCCTAAAACGACAGGTGGGGGGGCGGGGGTGGGGGCGGGGTGTGGGGGTGGGGGCGGGGTGGGGCTGTCATCGGCGTGCGTGGGAGAAGTGGGTGTGAGGGGTGGGGTGCTGCTGAGGTGGAGCTCGCCCGTTTCCTCCCCTTTACCCCTTTCCCCACCATCACACACACCGCCAGTTTTCTTAACACGCCCCCCCCCCCCGCGTGTTTTACGTGTTATTGCCGTGTTTCTAGGAGAGTGTCTCCGAATGCGCTCACTGCATGAGTCGGGATATGGGATTGTGACCCTAGTTGGTGCACTTATTATTTATTATGTTTCCCGCCCCTCCCCCCCTCCCCCCCTGCCAGGTGGACGGCGGTCAGCTGGACGAGCTGCCGGTGGTGTCCGCCCCCCTGCCCGCCGACCCCGGGGCCGCCTACCAGGACCTGCCGCACCTGGTGGGCTTCGAACCCACCATCTCGTATGCAGGTGGGGGCGGGTGGGGCGACCCGTGGGTCGGTGGGTGGTGTAGTTGCATGATGGAGGCTGTATTTGTGTGTTTTCCGCGTGCTTGCCCGGTCTTGTCCATTCCCATGCCTCGCCAACCCTTCCTTCTTCATCCCGCCCCCCCTCTCCCTCCTCACTTCCCGCACCTACTTTCTACATTTCCCCCCACCCCCCTCCTCCGCACCCTCTTCCTCCCCCCCTCACCCTCCCTCCCAGGCGGCATCAACAAGCCCAAGATCCTGGTGGCGCTGGACAGCTCCGGCGGGCGGCACCGACAGCTGGTCAAGAGCGGTAACGACGACCTGCGGCAGGACGCCGTCATGCAGCAGACCTTCGCGCTCATCAACGGGCTGCTGGCGCGGGACAGCTCGGCGGCGGCACGGGGGCTGCGGGTGGCCACGTACCGGGTGGTGCCCTTCTCGCCCACTGCGGGTGGGGGGGGGAGGAGGGCGAGGGTGGGGGCGAAGGGGAGGGGGAGGGAGGGGGGGTTTTACGACTGTGCCACCGGCCAGCCTAATAACACATTTTCGATTTGGTTTGCAGTGGTGTTGTGGGGTTAGGAAACACCAACCTTGCTGCTCCTTGCCGCCATCCGCCCATTCCCCAGCATCTGTCCATGCATCTGTTCCTCCCCCCTCCTCCTCCTCCTCGTCCCCCCCTTCCCCCCCTCCCCCAGGTCTGCTGCAGTGGGTGGAGGACACGCAGCCTCTCAACCAGTACCTTCTGGGTCGCAACTACAGCGGGGGGGCGCACGGGCGGTACGCGGCGCCGGGGGAGTGGGGCTGGGTGCAGTGCTACCAGGTAGGGGGGGGAGGGGAGGGGAGGGGCAGGGGGAGGGGCAGGGGGAGGGGAGGGAATCCCGTGCTAGCCGTGCTAGGGATGCATGGATGTGGTGGCGGAGCGGCCAGTACGGCACCTCCGTGACCCCTCTCCAGCCCCGCAACACCCCCTGCCTCCCCCTCATGGGATGGGGATTTCATTTCAGATGCTGCCCTCCCCTTTCCCCCAGTTGCTGTACTTCTCATTTATTAATCCCCCTTACCCCCCTACCCCTCCGCAGCACATCCAGTCCACCACCGCGGAGGTGCGCAAGGGCAGTGCGGACGCATCGGCACTGCTGCGGGTGAGGTAGAGGGGCGGGGGGAGGGAGGGAGGAGGGGGAGGGTAGAGAGGGAAAAGCAACTACAAGGATGCCTAAGAGGGGTGAGCAAACCCGCCCGCCTGCTTTCCCGCCTGCTCAATCCTCCCTTACAGCCCCTTTTCCCCTCTCCAGTCTCCGCCCGACTTCACCCCAAACCACCACCCTTTTGCCCCTCTCCTCCCCCTCCTCCCCCCCTCCTCCCCCTCCCCCCCTCAGGCCTTCCACCACGTCTGCTCCCGCTTCTCCCCCGTGCTGCACCACTTCCTGCTGGAGTCCTTCCCCGCGCCCGCCGCCTGGCTCTCCGCGCAGGCCGCCTACACCCGCTCCACCGCCGCTGCCTCCATGGCGGGATACCTACTAGGGCTGGGCGACCGGCACTCGGGCAACGTGCTGCTGCATGGGGCCACCGGGCAGGTGGTGCACATCGACCTGGGCATTGCGTTTGAACAGGTGGGGGGGGGAGGGGGGTGGGTGATTGGGAAAGACCAAACCGTAGGAAAGCGTGTGTGACAAGGCTGTGCGAGGAGTAGGGGGGATAAGGGGGAGGGGGGTGAGGGGGAGAGGGGGGAAGGGGGAGAGGGGTGAGGGGGAGAGGGGTGAGGGGGGGAAAATTATATAAGAAATGCAAACAACTAAGTCCCAATCCCATATCCCGACTCATGCAGTGAGCGCATTCGGAGGCACTAATAACACGCATCTCATATTAGGGGGGGAGGGAGAGGGGTGAGGGGGAGAGGGGTGGGAGCGCGGAGAGAAGAGGGGAGTGGAGGACGTAGGGAGGGAGCGTAACGGAGGCGGTAGGGGCGGGAATGGGGGGAGGTGGAGGGTGGGAGGTAGTTGAGTGGAAGGCGGCGCGCTGGCAGGCAGGGAGGCGAAGTGTTGGAAGCGCTCCTGGTCATCTACGTCTTTTCCCGCCCTGGGACCCCTACACTTCTGAACCCCTTCCGCGCCTGGTTTCCTCCCCCTTTATCCCCTCCCCCTCCCCGCTACTACTGCTGCAACCACGGCTACCATTACTACCTACTACTACTACTGCTACCACCGCTGCTGCTGCCACCGACCCAAGGGTCACTTCCTGTTGACCCCCGAGCTGGTTCCCTTCCGCCTCACTCGGGACGTGGTGGACGGCATGGGGGTCAGCGGGGTGGAGGTACGGCAGGGGGGTGGAGGGGAGGGGCGCCCCTCTGACGGCATGTGCCCGCACCCTAGTGCCCATGTTGCCCCCCCCCCGCCCGTGCGCCCCCAGCTCGCCCCCCACCTCCCTCCTCTCCATCCCTCACACCCTTGTGCATTGCCCCGCAGGGCCCCTTCCGGCGCTGCTGCGAGGAGACGCTGCGGGTGAGCGCGGCTGGGCGGTGGGCGGGTGGTGAGGGCGGGGGCAGTGAGGGCGGGTGACTGGTGAAGGCGGGGGCAGTGAGGGCGGGTGGTGAGGGCGGGTGGTGAGAGGGGGGGGGGCAGTGAGGGCGGGTGACTGGTGAAGGCGGGGAGGGCGGCATAGCTCCCTGAGCTGTGCAGCTAGTGCGCGGGTGAATGGGGACCAAGTCGATGTGCTGTGCCTGCGCCGGGGGCTGGACACGCACTGGGGTGCATGTCCCTCGCGCCTCCCCTGCCGCTTCTGCTGTTCGCTGGCGTCGCCTTCCCTTCTCTCCCCTCCCCTCCCCTCCCCTCCCCTCCCCTCCTCCACTTCCCCGCATCCCTCCCTCCGCTCGCTGGTGCCCCTCCTCCCCCAGGTGCTGCGCTCCCACTCCGAGTCGCTGCTCACGGTGATCGAGGTGGTGCTGCACGACCCGCTGCACAAGTGGGGCGGGGGGGGAGGGGAGGGGCGGGAGGGGCAGGAAGGAGGGGGGGAAAGGGGCGGGAAGAGTGGGCGGGAAGGGTGGCTTACGGCGAAGGGCGGTGGCGAGGAGAGTTCAGAGGAAAGGGGGTTTTGGGTGTGGTACTGGGTGTGGTATTGGGTGGGACAAGCGCACAAGGGCACCTGGCGCTAGGAACCGCGGCGGCGGAACCGTACGCGAGGCAGGGCGGGAGGGGCGGGGGGTGCGTGGGCGCTCCCGTGCGCTGTCCTTGTAACCAGTGTCTCAAGCCTTCCTCCTCGTGACCAGGCAAGCCCACGTACCGGTACGTAAGCCACTCCGGATATGAACACCGAGCCCCTCTCGCCACCCCACCCCCACCCCACCCCACCCCCACCCCACCCCGTCCGCAGGTGGTCGCTCTCCCTGGCCAAGGCCCGGCAGAAGCAGCCCCGGGAGAGGGACCGGGGGCGCGGCGCAACGGCGGGCGAGCAGAAGGAACAGCAGCAGCAGCCGCAGGAGGAAGAAGGTGCGGGGCGGGGGGAGCGGGGGGGGGCATGTGGAACACTTGTGCTCGCCGGGATTGCCAGGGTCCCCTTGTTGGCAGGTGCTGTCCTGAAACCCGTGGAGCGCCGTGCCGTTGTTGACAGTTTGTTGACACAGTTTGGCGTCCATCACCGATGGGGCTGTCCCTCCCTCCGCCTCCCGCACTTCTCCAACCCGCAACCCAACCCCCGCACGCCCCCTCCCCCCGCAGACGCCACCGCGCTGCTGGGCAATGCGGACGCGGCTCGAGCCGTGCTACGAGTCAAACAGAAGCTGGAGGGCAGGATGGACGCGGGGGGGCTGGGCAGGGCCGCGGCAGCCGGCGGGACCGCAGCAGGAGGGGCAGCGGCAGGGGCAGGAGGGGGGGCAGCGGCAGCAGCAGCCGGGGGCGGCGGGGGTGCGGCGGCGCTGGCTGCTGCTGCCGCTGCGGCTGCCGACGTGGGCGGGGCTCCGCTGAGTGTGGAGGGGCAGGTGCGGGCGCTGCTGGTGGAGGCGCAGGACCCGCACCGGCTGTGTCGGATGTATGTGGGCTGGTCTGCGTGGATGTGAGGGTGGGGCGGGGCAGGAGGAGGTTTGGCAGGAAGGGCAGGAGGGGGTTGGGATTGACTGGTTGGGTAGTATATGGGCGTATAGAGTCATACCGGCATTGGTCATGCGGAGTGGGGGTTGAGTGTTTGGGGCTGGGACCATGCGCCCCCATGCAGGATGGGAGGTAGCTTGCGGCAAGGGGGAATTAGGCAGTGGTTGTGTTGCATGCATGCGTGCGTGCGTGCGAGGCAGGGGCGTTGACGCGGGCTGGCAGCCGGCGTAAGCATGCAGGATGTGTGTGTGGGGGCTTTAGGAGGTGGGGTACGACTGCACGACAGTACCTAGCTTGGATGGGGTAGGGGTGGGTGGTGGTAGGGCGCACTAGGTACCCGGATGGGGTGAAAAGGAGATTTAGGCGAGCTGTATGCCTGTATCCTTGAATGTTAAGGTTTCACCAAGGGGTGCTACACTGGACTCATTGTCTTGTTGGATGGGGTGAGGTGGTAGTGCAGTGTGGGCAGCGCAGACGTGCAGGGACGTGTTAGGCAGTTAGTGCGGGCTGGTGAGGAGTGAAAGCAGGCAGGCAATGCGGGTGTCCGAAAGCGGGCTGGGTCTGTAATGCCTGACATTACTTGAGTACGGCTCGTGGTAGGGCGGGGCATCGCCTGGCGCTGCATGTGCACCTCCGTGCGGAGGCGTTGCGCGGGGCCCCCCCACGCATTCACAGGGTTAGTTAACCTCTCCCTCTTACACCCCCATCCGTGACACGTATGTTCCCCAAGCCAAAGCCTCGAGTGCGCCGCACAACAGAGCTTGCAAACCTGCCTGCCATCGTCGACCCTAATGGACGGACATCGCGGGAACATGCGTGCTTAGGCTACGGGGCCCATGTCGTAAAACATCAACTCCACGCTACATTGCCGGATGGACAGGCACACTACCTCTTCTTGGGGATTTGGATGGCAGCCACGAACCCCGCGCGCAAGTAGAGGTTGGCCTCCGTATCCCCAACCTCCACGGTGATGCAATTGCCCTGTGGTTTCGGTGCTTTGCAGCGTTAGTACAGCAGTACGACGTCAGCACCTGTGCCGCCATGCTACCTCTTGCCATAGGAGCTGAACGTGCACCGCAGGCAAACTTGTTAGGAGGGAAACGAGCCAGGACTGATTCCCCTGCATGTCAGGATCACGGTAATCCTGCGCTCTGTGGTTGAGCTATAAACGCCTAAGGGCTCGCTGGTACTCAACGAGGTTGCGTGAGAGCCGTCGATCGGGGAGCTGAAGTGTTTGTGGCCAAGGGGAATGACGGAGCTGCTGAGGGAGACACGGTGGAACACGGTCACGCGCGCAGGGCAAAACCAGTTACGCCAGGTCACAACTCTGTTGTCTTTTGGTGCAGGAACACGCTGTTGCACTCTTACTGATGATCTTTCTGCCTGAGTGCAATAAGCGCAGAAGCTATGACGCGCTTGACGTGAAGAAAGTTCAGTACAACACAGTTCTAGCCTTGCCTGTAGCCCACCAGCATAGCAGGACGCCCTATGCAAGCGGTAGATCTGCATATACAACAAACGTATTGCTGCTAGCGGAACCTGTAGCAATAGCAGCGTACTACATAGACGATCCCGTACGCTTGGAAGGCCACCGCCTTGGCGTGGACTGTCGCTGCCCAAGCGCTCAGATGATACAGCCCTGTATATACTTCTTTCATATATGACAATTTGATGTCCTGACGCTGGTTTTTTGGGCATCTCCCGTCCACGAAAGCTTACGCCATCGAATAGTCATTTTCCTTCCTAGTCCCAATACAAGCAGATGCAATGGCGGAATCAGCGAGGCGGAAGATGGGATACTGGGAGCCGGTGCGTTGACGGAAATGAATGCTGAAGCTGGGGGACTGCGCCCTTGGTTTACTAACAAGCTCTCATGCTACTGTACTATGCGCCCTGCAGTTCAACTCCTGGTGGAGGGACTATGTGGCGAAGTTTGATAAGCGGCCAAACGTGAACGAAATGAAGAGGCAAGTAAAACGGCGGCGAAGCATGGGATATACCAGCTTTAATAGGATATTATCCTGCCATGGGCGTTGCTTGGTTCTGTGCAGCATGACAGTAGCAGGCGCGACCCCATCTCAGGGAAGTTGCACCTTCTTGACTAGGAAACCAGGCTTTGCGCAGTGTTTACCTTTGGCTAATGCTCCTGTGTGACCGCAACATGTTTCCGTACGCTGTTTTATGCGGCCTCAGGTGGTATGATGCGAATGCCATACTGGCTTGGGGAGGCACCGGGCCGACTTGGGAGGAGACAAAGAAACACTCCAAAGGCATGCGACGCCTGGAGGATATTCCCGATTACTTCAGGAAATATCGCCGCTGCCGGAAGAAGAAGGCGGGAGGAACGGGAGTAAGAAGGCCGCTTGCTTGAATAACGGGGGCAACTTAGAAGGGGTTGAGCTGCAAACCTGGCATCCTACTCGCTGTTCGCCGCTTTCCAACAACATATAGACTTCTGCCGGTGCTACGATCCCGCACTACCACTGTGCCCACCATTCGGCCCCCTGTCCCCAGGAATACAGCAGCGATAGCGAGACAGACAACCAAGACTCCGAGACGCCGCGCAAGCAGCGGCCCCGCAGCAGCGGCGCCGCGGCTGGGCCAAGCATGCCACAAGGCGCCCCTGCCGCCCTTGCTCCTGGAGCAGCCGCCACTGCAGCAGCATCCCTTCTCGGGCTCCCCCTCGCCAGCCTCCAAATCCTCAACACCCTGCGGGCACGCGCCGCGAGCCTCCAGGCCGCTGCTGCCGCTGGCAAAACCGACCAGCAGCCGCCGGTGCAAACGACGTTGGTGCCGCCGAACGCTACGCCACAGCAGCTCCAAGAGCTGCAGCTGCGGGGGCTGCTCCCGGGACTGCTCAGCCTAGCAAGCGCCAACGGCGCACCGTCGCAGGTAGCCAGCATGCTAAGCGCGCTAACGCAGCCTGGGCGACTCGCGCCGGGCCTTCACCAGTCGGGCCCCGCCTTGCCCCAGCAAGCGGGCCCCGCCGTGGCCCAGCAAGCGGGCCCACAACAGCCCCTTCCCAAGCCACAGGACTCGCAGGATGCTCCGGAACAGCAGCAGCCGCAGCAGCAGTTGAAGGAAGAGCCGCAGCAGCAGCAACCGCAACCGCAACCTGCACAACCACAGCTGCACCAACAGTTGCTGCAGTTGCAGCAGCTGCAGCAGCAGCTTCAACATTTGCAGCTGCTGCAGCTGCAACAGAAACAACTCCAGCAGCAGCAGCAACAGCGGCAGCAGCAGGAGCAGTCACGACAGCAGCAGGAGAAGGAGGAACAAGAACGAAAGCAAGAGTCGCAGCAAGAAGGGGAGCGGGAGCAACAGCAGCAAGGGGAGGAGGAGCAGCAGCAACAAGAGCAACAGCAACATCAGCGGAGGCAGCAGGGAGAACCCTCTCCGCAGCCATCGCCGCTGCTTCCGCAAACCTCACCACAGCCGCCGCCTCAGCTTATGGAATCCTCTCCGCAGCAGCAGCTGCCACTTTCGGAAACCTCACCACAGCAGCCGTCGCAGCTACCGAAAACCTCTCCGCAGCCGACACCGCAGCTTCCCCAATCCTCACCGCAACCGTTACCGCAGCTGCCGCAAACCTCACTGCAGCCGTTACCGCAGCTTCCCCAACCCTCTCCGCAGCCATTACAGCAACCACCTTCACTGCCACCGCAGCTGTTGCTGCCACTACCTCCACCGCCACCGCAGCCGTTGCCGCCTCCACCACAGCAACCCAAGAAGCCTGCCCCCAAACGACCCACTCAGCAGCGGCGGCGGCGCGCTGCCTCTCCTCCGGCCCACAGTCCGCCGTCCTCCGGCACCACCCAGCCCCAGTTGCCTCGGCGCGCAGCGCCGGAGCAGCAGCATGAGGAGGAAGAGGAGGTGGATGACGAACAGCGGCAGCAGCAGCAGCAGCAGCTGGAGCAGGAACATGCCACGGAGGCGGATGTGGACAAGGTCTACGGACCCTACCTGGCCTCCATGCAGCAGCAGTTGCATGAACTGCAGCTCCACCAGATGCAACAACAGCTCCGAAACCAGCTGGCGGCGCAGCAGCAGCAGCAACACCGGCATCAGTACCCGCCTTTGCCACAGGACGCCTTTGGGCCCTCCTTGCATGGAGGGGACTTCCGCAACGGTGGTGGCCACCGCGCAGGCGACGACAGCAGCGCCAGCAGCGAGGGCTACGGGGGCCGCGGCGGCGTCGGTGGGATGGAGGAAGGCGCGGGTGGCGAGGCAGCTGGCGGCGGCGGTGCGGACGTCATGGGCGGCTTTGGGGCCGCGGGTCCTAGCGCTGGCGGGCCCTCCAGCTCGGGTCCCAGTGGTATGCTGGGAGTCGACAGCACCGTGTTGATGCAGCTGATCAGCGCGCCGCTGCCGCCCCACATCCAGGAGCAGTGCGGCATGATTGGGCGCCTCATCGGCCGGACCTCCACGCTTCGGCTGATAAACAGCTTGTTTAACCATTGGTCGGGGCCGGAGGGGGGTGAGGCGGACCCGCTTGCCGCCGCGCTTAATGCAATGGCTGGCAGGAATGGGGGCCCGCCAGATGACCTGGACGGGCGGCTAGCAGGGGCAGCCGCTGCGGCCGCAGCCAACGGCCGGGGAGCTGGGCCAGCTGATGCTGGCCGGCAGTACCGGCGGCGCGGGCCTTACAACGACGCATATGACGGGGAGGAGGAGGACGAAGAAGAGGAGGAGGAGGAGGAACGGCGGTACCGTCAGCGCCGGCGCCGGCGGCACCGATATGAGGAGGAGGAGGAGGAGGAGGATGAAGGAGACGAGCAGGAGCAATGGGGGCGGCCTAGGGGCCGGTCGGCGGCATCGGCAGCCCGGCGCCCGAGGAGGCCCGCGGGCAGGGGCTTGGATTCTGGCGACGACGGAGAGGACCGGGGTCGCCGACCCGGCGGGAGGGGAGCTGCCAGGAGGTCAGAGATGTTTGAGGACGAGGAGGAGGAGGCGTTGGGCCGCTCTCCCAGGCGGCAAGACTACGAGAGGCGGCCACACCGGCAGCCGCAGCAGCGGCGACAGGTCAGCCTTGGTATGGGGACTGGGTGTGGCTGTGAGGGGCCCTTGCGGGGCAAAGCGGCATTTGGTGGTTAGACCTGTCGGTAGCAGTATACAGTATGCTCGGTGGACGAGTTCTGCGTTCACACAAACTCCTACACAACCCTTTTCTTACTCCTATCTTGACCCCTAAATTGCCCTCTCCCAGACCGCGGACATGCGTTTCGGGTCGCCGTCCAAGTGGAGAGACGCGGCAGACGGCGACACCCTGCGACGCGGTGGCGGCGGCCCCACCGGCCCCACCGCGACGCCGGATCGCAAGCGCGGCCGCGAGGAGTTGTCCCCCGGCAGCGGTGGCGGCGGCGGACAGAAGAAGCTGCCTCGTAGGATGAGCCACATGCTCCAGAACATGCTCTCCTTCGGTCGCCGGGACCCCGGCCTGGTCGCGAACGGCATCGAAGGAGGCGACGACGACGGCCATGGCGGCAATGCTCCTCTAGGTCTGGGTCCGTTTGGTGGTTTCGGAGCCGGCGGTGGCGGCGGCGGCTCTCTTGGGCTGGGGCAACACAGCATGGGTCTGGAGCAAGCCCTCGCCGACATGGCGGCAGCCGCGACAGGCGGGGGTCTGGATGACGGCGGCCTGGGGGCGGCAGCCGCTGCGAACCTGCTGTTGGGTTTGGACAGCCGGGGGGTGAACGGGATGCCTAGCTGGCCGCCGCGCAGAGGGCCGGATGCGAGGGAGGCAGGGGCGTCACCGAGGGCGGTGGCGGGGGGGAGGGGTGTGCGGGGGGGACGTGGTCGTGGTCGCGGGAGGCGGCCGGCACGTGCGGCGTACGAGGACGCCTCTTCGGACGGTGATGAGGATCGCGAGGCGGTGCGGGATCGACGTGGAGGAGGGGACAGCGAGTCAACGGAAGGGGAGGAGGAGGAGGAGGATGGCAACCGAGGCGGTGCGGCTGCGGGCAGGTCGCGGCGGGGAGCGGAGCCCTCCGGACGCGCAGCGGATGCTGGTCGTCGGGCTGATTCGCGCCGGTTCCAGGTGGGGATCTTGAGGCGATTGGGGCGAGTTGGAATAGGAGGGGGTGCAAGTGACGACGGCCTCATGGGGCACTATGGGACTGCATGTAGTTGGCGAGCCTATACGCTGCTAGAGCGCGCTCTGTGCCAAGCTCCTGATTGGACCTTTCACCGACGTTGTGTATCTTTGTGCGCTGTGCTGGGGAGCGGCCTGAGCTGTTCCGCCGCCGTTATCCAATGACACCACGATCGGTCCTTGCTAGTTTGCTTACGTAAAGCCTTGCTCTTCTCCTCACGCCGTCCCTCACACCTTCAGGCGGACATGGCTTCCATCAGCGCCGACTCACACCTGCCGACCCCGTTCGTGGCGCCCGAGATGCAACGTCGCGTGGCGCCTGGGTTGCCGTTTCCGGGGCCTAGACAGCCCTACCTGGGGCACCCCCTCATGGCCGACCCGCACGCGGACGCCGCCATGCTGCAAGCCGCTGCGGCGTCCGCGCTGACGGGCCGTCAGGTGTTGCAACAGACGTATGAGGGAGCGCCGCGGTTCCGCTCCCCACCGGGGCAGCAGCAGCCGCTTGAGGGCAGCGGCTTGGGCGGCCCGGGGAGCTTGCTGCAGCGGCTGAGCAGCTCGGTGTCTGATTACCTTAGGCTGTTGTCGTGGGGCCGCTAGGCAGGGGCCCTTGGCCCCTTGGCCCCCCTTGCATGCATGTTTCTAGGTCAGTGCAGGCGATTGGGGACGACGGCGGAATGTTTGGCTTTCATGTTATTCTAGCGCTTTGCGTGTTGGGAGGGTCTTGGCATGGATTGGCGTCTTGACGAAACCCCACACCCACTTGTGCGTATGCTGAAGCGGGGTAGCGCGGGCTATCTCCTGCATGGCTGGGTTGCACAGTTCTGGGGCTTCTTGGGCGTTGTAATAGGGGCTTGTAGACCGCTGTCGGTAAGGATATACGTGGCGCACTAGACCTGCTTGGACTTTATTGACGCCTGGCATTTAACCCCGGTTGAGCTGTGAAGCTAAGCAGAGGAACGCGTTCAGTTGCTTGCGGGGAAGTTGGAAGGCACTTATAGGGGTTTGTTTGAATGAGGCCGGTAAACATGTATAAACTAGTTAGTCCGTCAGCATTACTGAAAGAATATCTGACACTTCAGTAATTGCGCTTCTGTTCGAGCGGTGTACCAGTGTTCCCAGAGAATGTAAGGGGTTTCGGATTTGGGTGGTTGATGGAGTGGACGTCTTACATAGTGGGTTACAGTGAAAGACATGGGCACGAGTTAAGACGACGGGCGGAAGGCTGAAAACACCATCGGCCGTGCAAGTTGTCTGGTTTATGTGGCTCATGCTTTGTGCACCCCATGCATTGTCATGTGCTTTACCAGGCAACGTCTCCTCTTGCCATGAGGTTATGGGGTCTCTGGTGTCCCAGTGTTCAGCTCTTGATTTGGGCTTTGCAGGATTGATCAAGCGTTGGCAATCTTAAGACGCTAACCACCGTGCTGACCCATGGGTCTGAGTGCTGCTGAGGTGGCTTGACGCTTCAGGGCTAATGGGTGGTTGGGATTATTAAGGCCGGAGAGATGCCGGCTAGCAGGTTTTCATCTAGGGTGCAGAGTAGGGCTCATTGTTGACTGTGTACAGTTAGGGTGTGATACAAGGTTTAGGGTTAATTATCGTAAACCTATGGTTTTGCGTTGCGCATGTAACCTTCCTGGTGTTCTGGTGGGATGTAACCCATTTGTACTGCTTGCTGTAGTGGTGTACTATCCCTGACTTCACCCCCGGTATTAATAGCGTGCAGAACTGAAGGAGCTGCTCTTACCGAGTACACCGTGTAAGGACAGCTGCGAACTTTTTATCGTGCATCCCAACACAACATCCGTCTTCGGTGGAACAGCAGAACCGCGTATGGGATGTTCAAGTTGGGTCAATGTCGTTTCCTCTTTCGCCATGGGCGCTAACGATTAGGCGCACAATTGCGTACAGCATCTCCGGCCTGCTCTTAACTTGCATGAACCCACTGACTGAAACACTTCAACGCCCTCCACGTCCATAATGCACACCCACGCATAGGGGAAACGCACACCATAACGTCTTTATTCGTTCACTGTAACTGCAGCGAAAGGCACAAAAAGATACTTTGGCCCCATGTGGGCGATGAAAAGCAGTACCCAACATGAGCCGTACAGTATTGGAAGGAGGGGCCACACCCTCAAGCAAACTAGTATAATACATTCCGTACAGCCCCAAAGCCATCTGCTTCAATCATTGCCCAGGGCCCAACGACAAGGCAGCAGCGCATGAGCCATGGGTTGCGACGCCCCACCACGACAGCGGCGTTGGGGGCTCTGGAGCCAAGTAAAACACCAGTTCGAGCACAGCCATCCCAAGTGTGACAAGTCTTCATAAACCGCATTCCATGTTGTACATAAATTGGGCACCGGAAAACCAAGTGGCTGCGATAGAACCAATTTGCATCCAAGCGTCCGCTCATTCCCGAAAGTCCAAAGTGTCCGAAAAGTAACGCACCAAACGTACACCGCCTAGGGCCTTCCTTCCACAGGCCGTTACACACCATTCCCGGGCACAAGTATTATAAGCGGAATGTGCGCACGCATGCACACCACACATTCCCCACATGGATCGTCGCCTCGCAGTGTTCGCAGTGGCGCAGGGGACGTGCTGCTGGAATATCGCACCCCATGCGGTATCACCAAGCATGCAAGCCTCGTGAGCCCAAGGAACAAGGACACGTATGTTGGACACCACCCCAATGCGGTACAAACGAATCAAAACTGCGGTCAGCGCGCCGTCCCCACTCCAACTCCAATCCAGGAGCCGGTTTTGCAAACGCGCCACCTAGCGTGTAGTACCCATGACCCCGTCTGTGCCTGTCACCCAGTCAGCCCAACTGTCCACGTGAAGCACGTTCGGTCAACGCCACAGCTCGAAGAAAACGCAACACTCCGCCTTTCCTGGCAATGTTTGCTCCCCAGTATGTACCTTACTTCACTTCCTAATGAGCCCCGTCCTCCACCATTGCCGTTGCCAACATCACCTCATCCGAGCGGCCACCCCCAAGGAGAGTGCCGTACGACGGCTCACAGCTCAGAGCCCCGCTCCCCAGCTCCGTCATGCCCCCAATCGAGGTGTAGCTTCCACCCCGGCTGCTGGCACCGCCGTTGCTAGTCGAGCAGCTGGCGCCCGCGACGGAGAGCAGGGAGGAGCTGGCGCCGCGGAAAGCCGTGTCGGGCGGTGAGCTCGGCGCCGAGGTAAGCTCCGCAGAGGGAGTCGCGGCGTGGGGCGACCCATGGGTCCGCGGAGCAGCAGGGGTTCCGTCGCTTTTGGCGTAAGGTCCGCGGCGGTTAGGCGCGGTACGTGGCCGCACGGAAACGTTTGGAGCCACATGTGCCTCTCCGGGCCGGCGGTTCTCCTCGACTGACGCCACATGCTGTTGCCAGTAGGCCAAAAGTGGCGAGACCTGCAAGGACAGGAGTTTAAAGCCGTTGGGCGACATCGGCTAACCTAAATCGCCTATTTTTTTTGCAATCCTCCTAGTTCCAGAGCCCCCTGAAATCCCTTTAAATCTGCCTACCTTGAAGTTCGCGAGTTCCTGTAGCCGTGACTGTACGCGAGAGCCACTGTCGCGCCCTTGCGTCACATCATCCGCCCGAACAATGTCGGAGGGCGTAGCAGAAGCCGACATGGACATCCGCGGCCCAGCAGACATGGGTGTCGCGCCGGCGGAGCTGCCACACAGCAGGCCGGGCCCGGGGGGCTTGAAGGAGCTGCCCGAGTGGCGTAGGGTGCGCGGCCGGGTGTTGACAGGCGTGGAAACGTCCTGCATGGGGTTGCATCACGGGTTGTTTCAGGTCGCTTAGGACGGAGTGAACATGAAGGCGACATGCGGTCAGGTCAGGTGGAGAACGCCGCTGAGTCTAGAGCCGTGTGACTTCAACCCTTGTGACAGAAGCGAGTATGTAGCAAGCCGTTGAATGTTGACCACCCACCATGTGACGCGAGGCGCCCGGCGAGTTCCGCGAGATGAGGGGCTGCTGCTGCTGCGCAGCCGCAGCAACGCCGAACTTGGCGAGCAGCGCCGCCTTCTTGCGCTCCAACCGCAGCTTGCTGCACAGCTTGCGTGCCAACTGCAGACAGCAAGGCAGACAAAGCATTGTAAGCCAACATGCAAACCGGTTAACGTTGTACAGGCGCATGGGGGCAATGCTACTGACGCATGGGGAAATGCCACCTACCCTTGCCGATTCCTACACTCAACCCTCGAACGCAAGCGCCGACTAGTATTGTAGATAGCAGTTGGACGCTCCCCAGCCCCGCCCCTACCTTTGCCCTCCAGTTCCGTTGGATGAGCATGGCCGCGCGGTTGACCTCCATGTACTCAAGCACGACAGACCGCAGCCGCTCACCCAGCTGCGAGCCGTTCCGGCGGCTGCGCCACACGCGCTGGCAGACGAGTGCCGCACGGTGCAGCGGCAGCAGCTGCGTGCATGGGGAGCATGGAAGGGGGGGCGAGGGAACGCTCAGCTGCGGTCAAAACCATTTGGAGGGTGGCGCGGCTTTGAGCATACTACAGGAATCCAGCCACAACTTTGGGCTTGCAATGTTCGCAAGCCGCCCGTCGAACGGGCATTATCACGATGACCCCTTGCCCCATCTCACCACACACAGAGGCCCCTTTCACTCGGCCCCCCATCCTCACCTCCGCATACAACTGCCGCGCCGCATACCCGCGCCACGCCTTCTGCACCACCACCGCCGCACGCCAATACTGCACTGCTATCAGGTACGCCCGCCGCTCCACCGCACCGCGCCAGGCGGCCTGCAGCACCAGCGCCGCGCGCTCCTGCCGCATGGCCTCGTACTGCCGCCGCTGGTACATGCCCCGCCACGTCGCCTGGATGCGCACCACCGCCTTCCGCTGCTGCAGGAAACGCTGCCGCTGCGCATAGCAGCGCCAGGCGCTCTGGATGGCGGTGACAGCGCGCTCGCGGCGGAGCTGCTCCACCTGGCGCCTGGCCAGCAGGCCGCGAGCGTGCGCCTGTGCGAGCATGAACGCGAAGGACAGAGCGGAAGGGCGGTAGACATTAAGCGTATGCGTATAGGCGGGAAAGCGCGGGTACGGAGAGACATGTAGAGCATTTGGCTTGTCCACAGCCCAGGAGTCAAGATGGTTAAATGGTTGTCGAGTAGCGGTACGTGCTGAAAGGCTTGCACCTCACCTGTAATCTAATCACGGCCTGCCGAAGAGCCCGGTACCACCGCTCGACCTGCGCACAAAGACAAGCGCAGGGCCAACGTTGTTCATGCGCTTGACAGAAAACATGGAATGGGAAGTTGATTTCAAGCTACCAGCGCATACTCTGGACATGTCGGCCGCTACTCCCTGTCATGCACGCATTGAAAAGGCGAAGGATTCACCCACCTGCCACCGCCTAAAGTGCGCCTGGATGGTGGTAGCCGCGTCATTAGCCACCGCCAAGCGCTTCCGTTCCAGCGCGGCCGCCGCGGTGGCGCGCAGGAAGACCTTGGTGAAGCCCAGGTGGTGCGGCGGCACCCCCGTCTTCTGCTCCTCCGCCGCCAGCCCCGACGCCGCCATCACCGCCTTCGCTGCCGCATGCATCTCTTCCACCCCAAGCCCCGCTAGCGCCGCTCCGGCCGCCAGCTCAGACGACACGTCGTTGTCGCCCTGGGGCGAGGACCCTCCCGGCTGCTGTTGCTGCAGCTGCTGCAGCGATCGGAGCTCCGCGGCCCGACGGCGCAGCGCATGGACGGGCTCAGGGCAGAGCTGCCAAAAGTGGTCCAGGAACGCGGCGTAGGGGCGGCGGTAGGCGTACCCTGCACAGGCGATGCGCACCGCCTCCATGACGCCGCCGCAGCGCAGCTGCTGAAGGCTGTACTGCGAGTCGAACTCGCCTGGCGAGTTGCTGGCGTTGGGCTTGATGCATCGCACGTAGTGCGGCTGCAGCCGCGACAGTGCGGCCATGAGCTCTGCTAGCTGTCGGCGGCACTGGCTAGACACGCTGCGGAACTGAAACTGGTTCTGCGTGCGGCCGGGACCGCTCCCGTTGCCCTCGCCGGCTCCTCCGTTGCCACCTGCGGCTCCCCCTCCGTTGGAGCTGCCTCCCTCGGGCGCAAAGAGCTCCTGCAGCAGCGGGCGGGCGGAGCGGCCCAGCAGCGACTGGTGCTCTGCGACCACGTAGTCGCGGTTCTTGTCCAGGAAGTTGAGGGTGCTGTACGTGACGGAGCCTGGGGTGGTGGAAGGGCAAGCGGAGGGGTGGGCAAAGGGCGAGGATGGTTATGAAAACACACGTGGGGCGAGGGAAGATTGTGTCGGACAGGCAGTGGGGAGGGGGAGACTCGGCTTAGGGAGCACGAGTTGAAGCGTGGGGACGGCACCGGGGGCCGATTGAAGCTTCAAGGCTAACACACGCCAGGTATCGAACCCACCAGCGTAGTGCTCAACGCTGAAGGAGGTCGCCGGCCGCTTCAGACGTGTGAAGCGGGAGTTCCCCGCCACCGCGGAGCTGCTGCCGTACTTGGTCGCCAGGTCGTCCGCAGTAGCCTGTCAATAAACATGACGCGAGGGGGTGGAAAAATGGTCAGGCAGGCAAACTTACCCTGCTGCGGGGTGCTGTAGCTCTGTTCCGAAGGCGGGCCCCACTAAAGGCACTGAGCATTCCCAGTGATGATGCACCCCAGCCCATAACTCGCCTTTGGGAAGCGGCACGTCTCGTCCAGGAGGTCCATGATGCCCATGCGCCCCTCGAGCAGCTCCAACACGTCGGCGTTGTCGCGGAAGGAGATATACGACCAGTCCACACCCTCACGCTCGTACTCGGCCTGCGGGATACATGGCATGCGCACGTTAGGGCCCGTACAAAAGCCAACCAGGGACAACGTTGTGTACGACCAGGAAAGCGCCATGCGCAGCTCCCTAAGCCGTTGGGCCGCACAGTCCAGGAATCCCACTTGCTGTTGAAACCCTCCCCGGGACAGTTTTCCCGTGGCAGGCTGCAGACCCTGCGACGCTCCGTGATGCTAAGACCCCGGCGTCCCCACCTGCTCCCACTTGAACACGTGCTGGTTGAAGTGCTGCTGCAGCTTCTCGTTGGTCAGGTTGATGCAGAGTTGCTCCAAGTCGTTTACCTAGGTAACAGGGAGGGGTACGGAAGCGATGTGGGTTGGTGCGACAGAGGGGGACAGGGGCCGCGAGTTCCATGCCATGCGCCCTCTCACCCAACACCAGGTACAACACCAGCCAAACCCATGCACCCTGCAAGATACGCGCATGCATACACAGACCGCCCGCGAGTCTCACACAGGTAAGCTCCCCGCTGCCTACCGCAGCAGCCAAACCCGCCCTCGACCCCGCTCACCTCGAAGCTCTCAAAGCCGTAGATGTCCAGCAGTCCGATGGAGAGGTGCCCCGGAGCGCACGCGGCGCCACCGCCGTTGCTGCTACCGGTGCCGCCGTTGTGCGCCTCGTCCACCGCCGTGTTGACCGCCGCCACCAGCCACTCGAACAGCCGCGCATACACCACCTTGGCCATGGAGTCGCGCGCGTCCGTGGCGGCTTGGGCCGTGAGGGGCATCACGATGGGCCCTGCACCGAGTGTGTGGATGTGGGAGCGTTTGTGGAGTTATTGATGCAGTAGGATATACGCCTAAAAGTGAGGTGTGTCCTTCGTTGCATGTGCACCCCTTTCGGCTAGACACGTTTGGGGCGCCGCAGGGTAAGGTGTCCAAAGGGATGAAACGAGCTGCACGTACCTTCCGGTGTCTGGATCTGGCGAGTCGTTAACGCTTCCGTCAGGGCACCCGAATCCACACCAAGCAGCTCCGCCGCCGTCTCCAGGGCCTCCGCCGCCGCGGCGTCCGCCACTACCGCGCCCTCATGGCCGCTGCTGCTGTCGCCCTCCACGTGGCCGTTTGCAAAGGTAATGTTGCCCAGATGAAGCACGGCAGCAACGGTCGCCAGTACGGCAGATTGCTGCTCGTCACTGAGGCCGATGTGGGACATGGCGCGCCGGGTGTGCTGCAAGTAGGAAGGACAGCAGTGGAAAAAGCAGTCTTAGCCATTTGTGGACGTACCATAGCCATAATACGTGACAGCTCGGCAACCCAATTTCTTTCGGAACCCATAGGGCCCGACCCACATCGTTTTGCATGGCTTGGCACAAGCGACAGCCCGCTAACAGCACACCTGGTACTCCTCTGCGTTGCTTTGTCCTGGTAGCTCAAAGCAGTTGCTTCGGTTGAGGTAAGCGAAGCCGGCTGCGGTTTGGGGCAGCCGCCAGGCGGCGCGGTCTTCGGCGCTGGCGCCATACACCAACTGAGTGTTGCGGGGCGCACGGAGCATGGGGCTCAGTAAGGTTATGACACGAAGCATTGGTTGCGTGCAACTGTCTCCTTTGCACACTGCGCAATGGAAGCCCAACTTGCATCCGCCGCCCTTGTTTCCCGGACACAGAGGGTTCACACGCTTCAGAGAGCAGACACACCTGGTAAAATATGTGGAAGGAGCGCTCGGGCTTATTGACCGCCACAACGCGCGACCGCTCCAGAAGGTACGTCCGGACCGCAGCGCCCGTCACCACGCCGCCTGCCGCCGGGTCAAAGAAGATCTCCACATACTTGCCGAATCGCGAGGAGTTGTTGTTGCGCAGCGTCTTGGCGTTGCCAAACGCCTCCAGTAGCGGATTGGACTCGAGAATCTGTGCTCGTCGTCGCACAGGGGTTGGGTAAGGGTGAAGTGAGATGCTGATATGCCGTATGCTCCATGCAGGCCACCACATGTATCGCCTGTTGAGGGCCTACGTTTAACCGACCCAGGAAGGCTCGACCCAGATCAATGCAGCATCATTTCGTCCAGCTACCCCACCCCCAAACGTTGGATGCCAATTGCCATACAGTCACGGTGTCTCGACGCGGATCGGCTAAGAAAACCCAAACGTCCCAACCCCTGGCCTTGCCTTCTGCTCAACGCCCGACATGCCGCTGCCGCCTGTCGATGACGTGCCACGGTGGGCTCCAAGGTGCGTGAGGCAAGCCATAATCAGCTTGGCCGTCTCCGTCTTGCCCGCACCGCTCTCACCCGTGACCTAGAACAGGTGCAGAGGGACAACAAGAGAGGCAAGCATGTTTTTAGCGCGTTGTAATGAAGGGGTTGCAGGTTGCTAGTCGAGCAATAGGAGTTTGTAGCGTGCCAGAATCTGGGTATGGACGACCCACATCGCCAAACTGCCCTTTGGATAGAGGCACAGCTGCCGGCATGGTGCCAAGGCCCCCAACTGTAAGATTGCAACCCAAATCGGAGCCCCATTACTCACCAGGATTGCCTGCCCTGCACCATCGCGCATCATGTTCCGGTAGGCTGCACAGGCCGTAGCGTAGACGTGTGGTGGGAGTTGCTCCCGTGGCGAGAAGCGGTAGCGCTCGATGACGCTGGTGCCGTACAAATGCGGTAAAGGTCTAAATGGGTTCACCGCGATAAGAATGTTCCCAGTGTACGTGTAGATGTCGCTTTGCTGGTAGCGGCTCTGCAACGGCATGGGGAGGGGTTGTACGGGAAAGCTCACAGCCACGAGCGGGCAAAACGCGGGGGTGCCACGGTTGGGGTTGGGTGCCTGCTCATTCGGAAAAGCGCTGAGGGCATAAGTGGAAAACGTGGGGTTTTCGTTGCAACATAGCAGTCATGTAAGCGATATTGAACCTAAACCCTACATCGCGCAAGAGTGAACAACGTTCCACTCGGCCACCAAGGGGCTTTCACGCCCTCGTGTTTTTAACATTGCAACTTCCTCGCACTTAAGTTGCCGAGCTTGATACTCCCGAGATGCAAAATACTATACCTGGAGGTTGTAGAGGACGCCAGGCTCGTGAAGAAAGGGCAAAGTAGTCATGTCCTGTTGGAGGGACAGGCAACAAGCACAAAACTGATCAACGACTCCATGTTTTAGCAAGAAGCAGAAGACGGATTATGTGAATTAGCATAACGAGCGCATGTATGGCCGCCCAAAACATTCCGACGGTTGCGATGCGGGCGGAAGCTTCAACGTTGTGCACGGATAGACGGGTATGCGTTAGATAACAACGCAGATGCCGTAGGTTTGAGCATGATCATGATGTTCCATTCGTGACAGCGCGAAGAATTCTTCAAGGCGACCCACCTCGACGATGTGTGTGTTGCGAAGGCAGGCGCCCTTAGCATCCACCTCCACCTCAACGCTGTCTTCCTCCCGCCTGACGCGCAGTCGCTCCCCATCGGAGGAAACCACTACAGCTGGAGCCCAACACGCGTCTTGAGAAACCCATACACGAGCTCCTACACAGGCCGCCATGGCGTTTGCAGCGTGGAAAGGATGTCGCTCAAGCAGCTACAAAAAATAGTACAAGAATGTTTATGAATGGGTTCCGAGGCGTTGGCTCCCAGAGTTCATTTCCAGAGCGGCTTGACCTGGTGTCTGTTTTTCAAACTATGGTGATATCGAACGCTATGGACCATCCACCGTTATGGTGGGATTGACACTTATGATCTTAACCTATTATGCATCTTGAATCCTATGCATCGATGCATGTACCTGCGGGGATGCGACGCACCATGCACGACAATTTTCGTTGAATGCATTTTACATTTCTTCACCATGCTATCAGGCCTAGATGAAAAGAGTATGTCCAAATACGTCGCGTTGAAAGTAGCACATCACTCTTAAAGTTGCAAGCATACCTAGGATACGTTGTTAAACTTGCCAAGCCATCATAGACCTCGGGCTGGCTGTGCCGCTGTAAAAGCAGCGCTTATCCACACAGAATGAATCGTAAGCGTCCAGAGCCTATCGCTGTTCCGGAGGAGAAGAAGACGTCCTACGTGCTGTGAGTTCTGCTTTTGGGCAACCGCAATAGCCATCCCCTTGGTTGCCCACTGCGAATGTGTGACCAGATTTGTTTTATAGCTTTGCGGTGTGGGTCATTTGGGCCGCGGCCTAACTCACCTGCAACATGGCCTGGATGCAGAACGAATAAGGGCAAGTTCGTGGAGGGTGACTTAACCATCAGCCGCGAGGGACTGCAAATTAATTCACCAGCAAGTACACTTGGAGCGGCTCGCCCTGGTTCAGCGAAGTAGGTTCCTGCCTACTGGGTGTGGATAGCGTTCAATCCTAATATCATCGCTTTATTTGTGTGTACCCTTATGTCCTATCCAATGCGCTTGTAAGGACGCTTGCGTGTCCTGACCGTTTAGCGGATGGTATGTAACGTACCTTTGACGCCTTGGCGCTGATGTCCGCAGCTCTCTTCAGCCAAACAAGCGCCCGCTACCACAAGAGGAGGATTCAGCAAGTTCGCGGGTGCGTTGAGCCCCTACCCTGCAAGCGTGCGGCGTTCCATGGTTTTGCTAGGGACACGCCGGCAGCACCTGTTGCATGCAGCACCCAGGGTACCTTCAGTGGCTGTGAGCCCTTCCGCAGTCATGATCCCAGACATGACGACTTTCGGCCAACCACTCCACTATGCCACTCTGCCGCCCACCTCCCTCAGGGCCCCGGGGAGGCCAGCACCAGTGGAGGCGGCGCCTCCGTCAGCCCACGACAACGCGCTGGCGGCAGCGGCGCTGGGGCGGGAGCCACAGAGGGCCTCACGCCGGATGACTTTGAGGAGATTTGCGTGATCGGTCAGGGCAGCAGCGGCGTGGCAAAGAAGGTTCGCAACAAGCGAGATGGGCGGCACATGGTACTGAAAGTGATCCAGTTTGACGTGTCTTCGGACACCGTACGGAAGCAGGTAAGCGGGGCAGAGCATGCCCTTGGCTTTGTCGTCCCAGGGTGCCTGTTCCACGCGCACATTGGTGCAAAGACCGTGTGAAGGGCCCTTTTCCCGCCGCTTCCCTCCACCATGGCGACGGCACGCCGTTCGGAGTGTGTGCATATGTCGACATCTTCAGCGCTTTTATGCCCGTTGCCATTCCGTTTAGGTAACTACGGAGTTGCGGACGTTATACGGCGCGGATCATCGCAATGTCGTACGGTACTATGCGGCATTCTTCGACAATGGGGCCATCACCATTGCCATGGAGTACTGCGACGCGGGGAGCCTAGGGGACCTGCTGAAGGTAGGGCGTGGGGACGTAGGCCCTAACGCAAAAGCAGTCCGGCGTGTGCGGTACTTGACCGTAAAAGGCAACCATGGGCACATTAATGTGGGTTGGGCTATTCGTAGTCGCGACCCACATCGGCACAAGCGACAAGAAGTAAACCCAAATGACAGTCAACTAGGTAGTGAAGGTAGACGTAACACCATTTAGATGGGAACGAGGGGTGGAGCCCACGTCCCGCTATCGGCCTTCTAGTAGCCACTCCCAACCAACATTCCTTGCTCTTAATGAATTTAATCCTACCCATTTGGACTGCTACGCAGGCACGGGCGAAGCAGTACCAACAGCAACAGCTCCGGACACTGCAGCAGCAGTCCAGTCAAAAGGCCGCGACAGCAGCTGCCACCGGCTCTGCGGGCGGGTCCGGGTCTGCGGGTGGGGCGACTGCTGGCGTGGGCGGGTCCTCGGACTCGTGTGCTGCAGCGGAGCACCTGGCGGGACCCGGGCTGCCTGAGCCCGTCATCGCGCACATCGCTCGGCAGCTGGTGGCGGGGCTGCACTACCTGCACAAGGAGCTCAAGGTGGGGCTGCAGGGCGGATGGGCTGTGGGGGTTGTGGGTACCCGAGAGCGACGGGCTGTACCTTGCTTGGCACAGAGAGCATAACACCGAGGTGTGCATGGCATCAGTGCAGGCCCCGCATGGGGCTTTCCTTGCGTGCGAACTTCCCCTGCTCAGCCCCTCTGATGATCCCATCCCCCTTCCAACCTTCCCGTCCCCCCCATCAGGTTGTCCACCGCGACATCAAGCCCTCCAACCTGCTGCTCAACAGCGCGGGCGAGGTGAAGATCAGCGACTTTGGCGTGTCGGGGCAGCTGGCCTCCTCCGTCTCCAACTGCCTCTCCTGGGTGGGCACCGTCACCTACATGAGCCCCGAGCGCATCAAGGGCGACTCGTACAGCTTTGACAGCGACCTGTGGAGCCTGGGGCTCACGCTGCTGGAGTGCGCGCTGGGGCGCTTCCCGTACCCGCCGCCGGGTAGGGTCGCCAGACGCGTGCATGGGTTTGCCGCATGCCTCGCTTGGGCATGTACGAGGGTTTAGAGCTTTAATCAAGGCAATCCTGACCCGCTGGGGGCGTGAATGCCTTCTGAACTTCTTGCTCTGTCGTCCGCATTGACCGTGCTCCCTCTCATCTTGGGTCTGCTATGCTGCCGGTGCGCAGGCGAGTCCGGTGTGACTCTGGGCTTCTGGGAGCTGCTGGAGTACATTGTGATGGAGCCGCCGCCCGCGCTGCCCGCCGACCAGTTCTCACCTGAGCTTGTGGACTTTGTGGGGCAGTGCCTGCAGAAGGACGCCAAGGCGCGGCCCAGCGTCACGGCGCTGGCGCAGCACCCCTTCCTGAAGATGTACCCGGACGCCTCGCTGAGGGAGGTGCTGCAGCCGGCGGTGGAGGCGGCGGCGGCGGTGGAGGCGGCAGGGACTGCGGCCAAGGCTGCGGCAGCGGCAGCGTTGGGGGCGCGGTGAAGGCGCGAAGGTGGGGGAGGTTAGTATGAGGTATGGCTTGTTGTGTAGGCCGGGCGCAGGCGTGCGTTTGAGTGAAGGCGGGGAGGATGGAATGAGGGAGAAGGGAAACGCGGCAAGAGTTTGTGTAGACGCGCGGACGAGGGGCAGCAGTCACAGCGCAGATTTCGTCTTCCCCCCTTAATTACAGCAGGATGCCACCTATTGGCTGGCCAAAAGGCCAAGAGTTTAGCGAGGATGTTGCAATAGATTGGGAACTTCGTGATGCGATGAGAATATTCGTGCGGACGTTGAAGCACCAACGGCCTGTGTAGTCATGGGGCAGGCAAAGGCGCACCGCGGAACCGGCGTGCATTCTTATTGATACCTCTCGTTTATTGGCAGGTAGGTAAGCAGATTGTGTCTGGAGGCTCGCGTGCTGCTGCGCTCGTGTTTAGTAATGCTTGGTCAGGTCTTATGGGCGAGGGTTAGCGGCGCCCAAGGACTGTGTGATCCGCTGATCTCGGCAGTTGTCTCGTGATTTTCTTAATACGCGATTAATGTAGGTGGCATGACATGAGGGCACATCGACCTTGTATGCAACCCGTTGGAAGCAGACGGCAGGCTCGATGGGAGGCACATGGGAAAGTCGGCGAATGGTTGGCGAGTTTTGCGCCGCAACGCGGATAGGTAAGTGAGGTGCGATGGGCGTTTTGTGGAAATTTTAATGGTCTCATGAGCGGGTGACTTGGCCTTTTATGGTTGTCTGGCTAGTTGGCTTTTGATTCCCGCCGTCTGTTCGTTTGATGCTTGGTCTGTTGGTTTGTTATTGGGTTGTTACCTTGTTGGCGTGCGGTGGTCTTCAGTATGCTAACGGTAGCACCGGGCATTATCTTAGTAGAAAATTAAAGCAAATTTGCAAACGTGCGTAGAGCCGTTATCGTCGCCATGCAGCACCGCAGTACGGCAAACGCTGTGTTGCTCGTGTTGGCGTTTGCTGCGCCGTGCTTGCGTCGTTGTGGCGACACCCTCATTCTGGAGGTATCCCTACTTGCTGTGATCCTCCTGCATGCACGCGGCACCCTAACACGTGATTCTCCGCCTATTCATAGTCGCAACGTTGGTAACTGCATGGAATCGTTCCGTCCGGCATCTGGATGTGTTGCCATTGATGTTTTGGCCCGGAGGGACAGCTGTCCTTAAGTAGCAATCAAGCAGTTATAGAATCTCTGAATAAATATTTGCCCTGGGGAATGTTGACATAGGATAGCACAGAGGTAGGTATCGTATTGAGTATAGGGAGTGGCTAGCAAGTAGCAACATCCCGGCTCCCTCCCTCCCTGGGACTGGTAGGCCCCGGCGGGAGGAGCTGAAGCAGACGGCACTAGTGTTGAAATGTAAAAGCAACATGGTGTCCCCTGCAAGTCCTGAAGGTGCATATCGTTTAGCATCCCCCTGATCAGGGCAATAGCTCCCTGCTTCCTTTGTACGAAACGGCGCAGGCATTGTGTGTATCCCCGCTTTATACTGCACCGGTTCTTGCTACACAGGAATCTGAATGGTCATGCTGATTCTGTTGCTGCAGGTAAACTGTGACCCCTATGGAACAATTGCCGTCGGACAATTGCCTCAAGCATGTTGCGTACGACAAAACACACAATAATCATTAGGGCATGGGCTCTTGCTCAACTTCTAGCGATGGCTTAACTTGCCAATTAAGTTCGCTGCTGCGTCCATGCTCTTTTGCGGTCGGGCTGCAGCGCTGGCACGGGCGCCCTTTTGGCAGCCGCCTGCTTTTAGGAAACTTATTGCTTGCACCCGTCTTCGACTCTTAGCATACGCACCGGTAGCTGAACCTGTTCCGCCGCCAGTTGGAACGCTGTCCATTGGGTCCCTTGCTGACCTGTACGCATTAGATATCGACGACGATACTGCTATTATGGATTCCTGTAACTCCTCAGCTCAAGACGCTCCTGCACCCAAGCGGCAGCGGACTGGTGCGATGGCATGCTGCTTCATGGCTAACTTTCCAACAGTAGTCCATCAGCAGCGGCTGTATCCTGTAATCTCACGGTCACTGCTATACTAGAGTTATCTGTAATGTCTTAACTGGCATGTATCTTTGTGGTTAATACTTGTAGATGACGGTCCGGCTACCAACGGGCACGGCCGCGACGGTCCTGCCGCCAAGGATCGTGCGCAAGGAGGCCAACGGCAACACAAATGGGCTAAACGCGGCAGGGATACTCGGGTGCGTCGATATCCGGGGCCGTCCCCAGTTCTCCTGAGTCCACGCGGCCTGACTGCTGTATGAGTTCGCAGCGGTAGTATGTTGGCCTTCATGACCCCTGCAGCCCTCGCGCTTAACCCCGGTCTTCCTTGGTTCCCTCTCCCGCTTTGCAGATTGGCGACTTGATGATGGCAGTCAAGCATAACGACTTGCAGGTGGGGCGAGGAGGCGGTCCCGGCTGTTGCAACCCACCATGCAGGATGCACGCTGCCTGCTCCCCTGCGTTGTTCCTAGCAGCCTACACGACGCCCGCTGCTGGCAGACGGGCATCGCCATGCCTTGCCTCTTGCTCGGCTTTCGTGCCACCGCTTGATTCGCACGTGCTTGGTCATGTGAAGGGGCTAGCTGCATGTGCCATGGCTCTGTTTGGCCGTGCTTGAAACCATCGCCCTCACTAAACCGCCGCCCTGGGCCGCCTCACGACCTGAACCTCCTTCCCGGCTCCCACAGACCGCCATGAGCATCTTCCGGTCCATGCTCGCGGACGGCGGGAAGGTGCAGCTCAGCCTCGTTAACTCGCTGCTCTACCTGGCGTGCGGCGGGGAGCAGTGGGAGCGCTACGCGCGCGGTCTGCCGCTGCTGACGGGTGCAGCGGCGGCGGCAGCGGCGGCAGAGGGGCAAGCAGCAGCGGCAGACGGCGACGCTAATGCGGAGGCGGAGGGTGAGGCGGAGCTGTTTCTTGCATGGAAGTAGGCAGCTGTCTTGGCTGTTTGTTGCGCTTTAGAGGAATGTAGTTAATAGCAATGGCTTCCAATTCATCCCAACCTCCTTCCTCGCCCTCATCACGCTCGGTGCACAGGCAAGGCTGAGCAGACCGCCACCGCTCCCAACGCCACGACAGCTGCTGACGTGACGCCCCCGAGCCGGGAGGAGCTGGTTTCGGCGCTGGACGAGCTGTGGAGCTACGCGGGGTCCGCGGGCCTGCAGCCGGACCAGGGCACCTACCTGGGCCTTGCGCGGTGGGAGGCGCTCAAGGGGGACGGGCAGGCGGCGCTGCGCTGGGTGGGTGGCAGGGTGGCTGGGTGCGTGGGTGGTGCTTCTGGGGCATGAGGGCATGATGGATGCGTGTTGGCATAGTCGGCCTGCTAAGCGCTTGTCGCTTTGCCGGGCAGTAAGGGTGCGTGTAAGGATGCGTACTGTAACCATGCTTCCGTGGACATTGTACCGTGACCCGCTGTAACCCGCGCCTCACACGCCCTCTTATGATCCTCCACACTCCACGCTTCCTCGCGCAGGCCGAGGAGTGCGGCAACAACAACAAGCCGGTGCAGCTCCGGCTCTTCCACCCGGCGCAGGTGGGTACCTGCCTAGAGTTCCCTTGGACTGCAGGTATAAGCTGTGCGGAACCGCATGCCCCCCGGTGGTTAACCGCCGTTGCCATATACCGGTATAGCCAAAGCGGTGGCATAGGTAAACAGTTCTGCTTCTATTGTCGTGCTGGCCATGCTAGTGCTCCCATCCTTTTCCTACACGAGCTCGCGCGCCACGCCACCATTCACCCGCCCGGGCCCGGCTCCTCAGGTGTGCTACTGCCTGGCTGCTGACGTGGCGGCTCTTGAGCGCATTGACGGCCTCATTGCGGCTCGCGGGCTGGACAACACCGAGTATGAGTTCGCTCGGCTGGTGGAGGGAATCACGGCGGCGGGCAGCTACTCGCAGATGCGAGGTGGGTGCGAAGGGTACCGGTACATGGGGACACGGCGGCATGTGGCTGCCGGCATCCTCTGGGTAACGTACTTCCGTGCTTGGGTACCGGTACCGGTATGCTTCAACATTTCCTTATCTACGGATACGAGCTCATGACGTCCTCCAGGCGTTGCTCTCGCCGCCTCGTTGCCCTCCTGAGCCCACATCTGAGAACTAAGCCGCACCGCCCCTCCCTTCCTGCGCCGTACCGCGCCTGCAGCCGTGCTGCTGCGCATGCAGGACGACCTCAACCAGCTCTCCCCCTCCACAGCCGCGTACATCACCGACTTCTTCGAGCGGGCTTCCGCAGCGCAGCAGGCCTTCTTGCCGGCCGACCAGGGAGGCTGCCCCGGCCTGGCGGCGGCCAACCAACCACCAGCAGCAGCGGAAGCTGAGGCTGGGGCTGGTGAGGCGGCCGAGGCGAGGACAGAGGCGAGGGCGGAGGCATCGGGCCGGGGTGCGGGCGAGCGGCGGTGGCGGGTGGTGCGGGGAGTGACGGTGGAGGCGGGAGGCCGGTGCGAGGAGGCCGGTGGGAAGTTGCGAGTGATTGACCTGGAGGATTCGGAGTGGTGAGTGGACATGAGGGTTGCTGAGACGCATGGGTCGGAAGAAGCCTGAGGCCTGTTGGGAAGGCGCGGGTTTGAGTTTCCTTGCTAGGTGCATGGGGCTGATCGCACCCACGATGTTGGGGTAGCAAGTCGAAACACCAGGCTCCTGGCAGCTGCTGGTTGCCCCAATTAACCTAGCTAGCAGCGTACAGTAATCCAGATGCACCTCTATGTGGGTCGCAGGGACGCCTTTGCGAAATCCATCGCGGAGCTGGCTCGCAAGAACATGGGCAACCGCGGCAGCGACTTTGACGCCTACGTGGAGTGGTTTGAGCGCAACGGTCCGTACGACATCCTGGTTGACGCGGCCAACGTGGCGTTCTTCGGGCAGAACCGCGAGGGCGGCGGCTTTAGCTGGGAGCAGATCCAGGACATGTACCTGCTGCTGAGCCAGCGCTTTCCGAACAAGAAGATTCTGGTGGTGGGTGAAGGGTGGCGAGGCCGGGATGTGCCGCTTGCAGGACTTGACCAGGGAACTAGCAGGGAGAGCAGGAAGACGCTGTTCAGAGACGGGCGCACTATAAAGTCCATGTTTCTTTTCGTATCATGTCAGTCGTTCCGCATACCGGCACATTTGCCCCAGTGGCTTCGTCCCCGGCGTGGCCGCTGCCCTGCACGGACACTAACTCCGCCGCTTCCTGGATACCAATAGCGCTCATGTACTTGGCCTTCAGCTCCTGCTTGCTCTACTAACCGGCATTAATCGCCGTCACCGCCAACGCCACTGCCACAGATGCTGCACAAGAAGCGGCTGAACGACCCGGAGGCCCGCAAGCCCGACGTGCAGGCCTTCCTGGAGCGGCTGCGGAAGCGGCGCAGCTTCTACTACACCCCGCCGGGAGCCAACGACGACTGGTGGGTGGGCGGGGCCGCCGGTGCGGCGGGCAAAGATGCTTGGTTGGTTGGTTGGTTGGGTCCCCGGGGGGGCCTTCCTCGCTCCTGGTATGCACACCTGCACGCCTCTTTTCACCCGTCCCGTGTCAGATGTCACCATGCGACACGCCCTTTCTAACCTCTCATATTGTTACCATTGCCCCACCTCCCACTGTCCCCACTGCCACCCTCCGCTTCCACCGCTCTCCGCGCCCCAGGTTCTGGCTGTACGCTTGCGTCAAGGCCAAGCAGGCCGGCCTGCTGGTCTCCAACGACGAGCTGCGGGACCACATCTTCGGCCTGCTACGCCCCAAGCACTTTCTCAAGTGGAAGGCACGACACATCGCGCACTATACCTTCAACACGGACGGGCACAACATGAGCCGCGCCAACCCCAAGGCCGCCCGACGGTTCTTCGAGCTCGTCATGCCGCAGTCGTACACTGCGTGCGTGCAGCAGCTGGAGGAGAGCGGCGCGTGGATGCTGCCGGTAGATGACGGCAGCTGGATTTGCGTGCGGCCAGAGTGAAGAGGAGGCGGTTAGGGCGAGGAGTGAAGGGTGGTAGGGTTGGCGTTGGGGGCAGATGGGCGGCAGGGGCCGCCACTTTCCATGACAATGCGGTGTGTGCGGGTGTGTGCTAGGGAGTTTGGTGGCTGCTGCATATTGTGAGTGATGGGGCGTGTACTAGTCTCTGGGTGAGGAGCACAGACATTGGTGACGATGAGGAATGGAGCTGAGACAACCTCCAATATCCTATTGGAGGCAGGAGCGGAGTGCGTGGTTGTCACCAGGGGCTTGGTTTGCCGGCCACACGCCTTGCAGCTAAGCAGTGTTCGGGCTTGTGGACTTGCTGGTGCTTCTCAACAGGACGGGACGTCGAAACGGGCGCAGGTTCTACAACGCGTCAAGCTGTGATGCCCAGGATGGGGACAAGGTTGCAGTACGGTCAATGCCGTGCTACTGCATCTCCTGTCGTCATCTGCCTCGTAGAGCATCAGGCGCCTCTCTCCCTCGAATCCTATCCAACTTGCGTCTAGATCGAGTGCATTGCCCACGACCACGAACAGAAATTACCCCGTACTTTAGATAGGACCGCAGCATGTTCAGAAAAGATCAAGGCATCTAGCAAGTAAGCAGCCAAGCCAAACCGGGGAATGATCACGCACCATATGCACTGTATCTTCATCGTACGATGCATTATGTACGAAATGCATGGTCCAGCATGCATGAAGAAAGCACCGTCACACAGCGCAGAACCATGAAGCCAGCCAGTCCTGCGGAGTGCTGCGTCGCATCGCATTGCAAGCATGCAGTCATGCACCCATCGTGGCGCAATGTTTGCATCGCAACGTTTGAATTTGCACATAAAAACAAACCTACCACAGGGGGGGGGTAAGAAATTTTCTTATAAACCCCAACCCGAAATTTCCAAAGAGAAGGCCTCGGAGCCACCCACCCACCGCCAAGCGTGTCGTACGACCTGTAAACTATGCCAAAACGCCTGGGAAAAAAACGTCTAGGTTCCTCTGCGCAAGCCCTATTAAGTGCAGTCGAAAAACCCCAAACCCCCTGCGAAGTTGATGTCACAGCGTTGCACTATGGACGGCGAAGGTAACCATGTTCTTGGCCCCAGCTTGACTGATGTTATGTATTTGGCGCCTAGGAAGCACCACGGCCCTTCCATTTGCGCCATACCACCGCCAGTTCTGTTTTCACAACCGAGACAACGGCGCCACCACGTTCCAGGTCCCTGCTCCTGCCTCTCCTTCCCCCTGTGGCGCTGGGCCCTCGACCATAGCCCCTGGCACCAATTCCTACGCCTTCTTGTTTCTGTGCTCTGCATCCCCACCCCGTTCGTGGTCACTGTAAGTGCTTTCTCGCAACTCAGTCTGTCTACCCCAACCCCGCATCCTCAGTCGTGTTCCACATCCATGGGGACATGTGACATGCTGCTGTGCTAGGCCTTTACTAAGGGCCGACTAGCCGCGTTCGCAGTATATGCTTTCTACATAAGTTGTTTCTTGTACGTTTGGGAGTTGGGCAGTTCCGTTCGGCTACCGTGGTTCAGAGGTGAAGTGTCATTGGAACATCAGAAGCCGAGAAGTGACCATTTCGTTGATAAACCTAATTCTACGTATAAGAAACGAAGAAAGGATGGCAATACAGCTTTCCAAACCTTAACATGAGGCCTGGAAAAAATTTTCCGGAGGTTCATGTAAAAAAGTCGTTGGGGCCCTGAATCCACCCACCCACCCCTGCCGTACAACCAACTTTGCAAGCCCATAACTTTTTCCGTACAACTCCAAACAAAAATCTGAAAGCAGATTCGGAATCCCGACGCAAAGCGCCTTCGATTTGAGGGTTGGGGTCTATTTTTCCGCTTCCTACCCCCCCCCTGCCTACCAGCCCACTTTCTCGCAACGCTCTCCCTTGCAAGCTGCACCACCTAACCGCCCACAAACCAGTTTCCCTTACCACCTCCCGCACGCACCCCCCGCTGCCGTCCTCAGTGCCGCTGCCGCCCTGCAGTTGAGATCTGCTCAAACTGCTGTGTGGATGGCAACCCGCGGTGCACCACCACCAGGTCTCCATGCGGCCCCGCAGCCGGGTCGAATCGCCCCACCTCCACCACGTCCCCCAGGTCATCATCCTCCCACAACAGCTCGAAGGCGCCCGGGCTGCTGCGACACACCGCCAGCAGCAGCGGCCGCACAAAGTCCCAGATGGCTCGCCGCGAGGTGATGCCGTACGTGAAGCCGCACTCCAGCGCGTACCTGCGTACGACAACGGGGACAGCAGGGTGTGTTGCCATGGGCATGTGACGTGATTTGATTGAAGGCGCCGGAAAGTGGTTGCGTCGCCAGGCTCGTGCAGTGGCAGTGGCGATTGCCCGGCAAGCAAACACCGATGCACACGGTGACAGCGCCGCAGCAGGTACGGTAGGTTGTCCTAGACGGGTGTCCCGCAAGGCCATGACCCCCCAGCCCAGCCACCGCATGCTCACTTGTTTGGGTCGGTGGGCAGCACCAGGTTCCATTCGTGACGGTTGTTTACCTTGATCACCTGAGGGGCACGGCGTTGGTACGTGGTGTGGCTGCAATGGAGGGGTGAGGAGTTGTGCCTGGCCCAAGGTATCCATAGAGGAGGACAAGTGATGGCTGAAGAAACAAACCGTACTTTGCCTGTTGTGCGCTTCCCCTCTGCTGCGAACACCTGCACCCAACCCCGCTGCCACCCCACTATGCCTCCACACCACAGCATTTGCTCAACCCCCTACCCACCATGGCAACGCCCATGTCCTCGGGGCCGTATGACACGTAGAGTTCAGCTGGTGGCTTCTGCTTCCGGCTCTCATGGATAGCAGCTAGATAGGCAGGCTGGTTGAAGAGCTCCGGCTTGGCCAGTGAGAACACAAATTTCCCAGGCATGGCTGAAACACGTGCTGTCTTGTTTCGTGCCTGGCTGAACACGTGCTGCTGTGATCGGCAGTTTGGATGTGAGCTAGGTCTTACTAGGCCCCTGCAGACCTTGACAGACCTCCAAAGCACCGTATTTTACCGTAAAAGGCCTGCAGGTATTACATTGTTAACTTTTGATTCCGATGATTGTTAGGAGCTAACCTGCCTAACCGCAATTAAAGGAAACACTACTAACACTACTAACACTACTAAACAACGCTCCGTGACGGCCATGGATACTTAATTATGCAATCAGCATCAACACACTGCGTCAATGCAGCTGTGCAGGAAACAGTAAACTGGACAGGCAAGCGAAATGTCACACCTCTGCCGTTGAATCCACCGTCCAGGCCCTAGGCAAAAATTTCAGAACTAGCTATACACAAAGGCGTTTTGTGTCAATGTGGATCGGGTTCACGAGGCTGTCGTCTCCCACGGTCGCCAACAGGGTCATCGACTGAGCTGCTGCCTTTTATGGTAGTATAGGTATCCTAAGACTACAGTATCACGTATTGAAAACAGCAATCGCTCAACCCAATGCGGATATAGCAGCAGAAGTTACTGGGCCAATCTGCGTAATGAACGGATACCCATTACCCATTGCATGCTCCACGCAAGCCCGTACCGCATGCCATCTTCCTAACCGCTACGAAACAATTAGCAGATCAAACATTTCCATTAACAGTAACCTGCCAGCATTTTAGTCAGCTAATCCTATTTGCACCAACGGTCGCAGCTCGGCTGTATTGAAGGCGAACCGTCGATGTTGCCGTGTATCGCACCCGAGCATTGTTGCCTGCAGAATGGACAGCGTGTCCCCGTGGCTGACCAGGAGCACTATCGCACCGTTGTCCTCGGCTTCCAGCCTCTGCAGAGGGGCAACTGTGTGTCATGCGCTTTGGGTTGACATGTGGCTTGAAGTCTGCACCGGTTGACTTGAGGAAATGATGAGAGCTTGGACTTAAAGGGTACATGAAGCATGTTCAGCAGGGGGAAACCGGAAGGGGCTCAGGTATGGCCATCGTAGTGGCAATGTACTGGGGTGTCAAAAGCGCATGCACAGCAACGTGTTATCTAGTAGGCTAGAACAGATAGGCTGCTCTACGCCACGCACCTCAAACAGCTGCCGTACCCTCGCCGACACATCGTCCACGCTTTCACCGTTGCCGCCTGGGTGGCTGGCTGAGGACACGGCGTCGTGCTCCCATATCTTGCCGTACGCTTTACCGTACGGTTGCAGCTCAAGCTCATCACCGAAGAACCGCTCGCGCAATTCGGGGGCCACCTAACAACATGGGTAGAGGGAACTTAGGACGATAGGCAGTCTTGGTAGGTACGGAGTGGAAAGAACTCTACTGTCCAAAAGGACAGTCCTTTGGGGGATGTGCCGGTACTGCAGTCGCAAAGGCATGGGCCTGACTGTAATTTCGCGGAGGCTGAAAGTCGCTGCGCTTGAGGTTCAGCTGAAAGAAAGCATAGCCGGTCACGACGCCGCGTCAAGGATGCCAAACGCTGCAAAGAGACCTTCTGTAACGTCCTGCTAGGTTACTTCCTGTCAGGTCGCTTCCTGCTAGGTCACGACCCATGGGTCCTTGGCGCCCTAGCTGGGAGCACGCCGCCAGGGCCTACCGACCTTCACGGGTGTCGCACAAGGCTGCAGGCCCGCTGCCTCCGCTGCCAGCGCCGCCGTTCGCAACGTGCGTGAGAAGGGCGAGCTCAGCACCAGCACGGGGCGCCCCTGCCGCTCGGGGGACTGCAGGACGTCATGCAGCTGTCGCCTGCATGGGAGGACGGGTCGGCGGGGTGCGGTCTGGAGAGTATCCCGATAGGATTCGGGTTATGGGAAGATGTGCACTGTGAGCCCAACACTGTGTCATGGTTACGGGCGTTGATACAAGGGGCCATAGAATCTATGTATACCCTCTCCGTGCCATTGTGCCCCACGAGCCTGCCCACAACCTGTGCACCGCCCCTGGCCTTGCCCTTATGCTGTGCAGTGCTGGCAACCAGTACTGCGATAAACACCCTCTATGTCGCTGATCCGGCTTGCCCTCCTACACCAAAGTGCTGCCCCCAAGGCCCGACCACATCGTCCAGACTGGCCCCTTGGTTTGTCCGCACATGCATTTTAGCCGCTTAGCACTGCTATTGAAATGCTCACCCAGCTGCCCTTGCCTGCTCCTCGCCAGCCGGCGCAAGCGTCCACTTCTCGTCTACACCGTGCTCCTAGGTTGGGAAAGTCACACGGAGGTCATGCACCGTGCCGCCTGCAGCGCATGTTTGGTGACCTATTTTAGTATGTTTACAAACGCTCACCGGTTTACTAACGATTGTTTCTGCTTCGTTTGCGAGGCTTCGTCCATGCCTTAGCAGCCTGCGTTAATTAGCCTGAGTCAGGCGGAATGCAGCAAGCAAATCCTGTTCCTGCTGTTCAACGACTGACCAGTACTCGTTCTTGAGCATTTCTGCCATTGGTTTGCTTTTCTGTATGAAATCGTCTACGCAACAATGTGAGAGTGTGGCTTATTGCTCGGTGGTCAAGGCTTGGAGTGCATATGTCGGTTTATATGCAGTATATGCTAGGTTGAAGATCAGCAGTGTTAACACAAATAGCATTACCAGGTAGTCCGCTGCATCGCTTGATGCATTGATTCAGGCCGTTGGCGGTTGCATTATTCCATGCACCATGCTCACCTACTGGGGAGTATCAGCAAACGAAAGCAATTTAAGGTGCGACGGGTGCCCAGAATGTCGATCATCAATTTGCCTTCACATCTTGGGTGCAAGCAGGCTGCACGTCGGACTTTTGGCCCGTCCGCACGACCTCCAGGTCGGCACCACAGAACATATGCTTAACGCGGATACAGTTAACATATAGAATCTGACATCGGTTTCCTGACTGTCGCAGTGCCGTTGAAGCAGGGCCTCTGCCGTAGGGAATTGCTGCAGCTAAGCATTGCGCTACCCTTCCTAGCACAGGGGTGAGATCCCGCGCTCTTTGGCACCTTCAAAACCTTCATCAAACGTCGCAATGGTATTTCCGCTGCGTGTCGTACCCCGCCCTGATCCAACTATCTCGCACCCTTTGCACGCCACGCGCTCCGACTGCAGGCCAGCCCTTGCTGGCACAAACGAGACACCAGCTCCCGCTGCGCCTGCCGAGCTCCAAACACCGCCTGCAGAAGCTCCACCCTCCATCGCGGCTCCAGCTGATCCAGCTGCTGCCGTGCCAGAACCCTTCTTGGATCTCGAATTCCAAGTCGTCCCACCGTCGTCTTTCAAATTTGTGGACACGCAGCCGGTGTACAACCCAGATCGTGAGTTATCGACACGTACCAGTATGACGCCTTTCGGCAATGAAAGGAAGGAAAGGTGTTAGTGGCATGTCTGCTGCCCAGATGACACCACAGGACAGCATTTCTGGCAAGCGACACGCCCGCACTGCAACCACCCATATCCCGCCTGTTCCCTGATTGCCCTATTTCGTCGCTGCTTCCGAGTTCCGCATGGCAACCATGATGCATATGCCCTGTTCTCATTGGGCTCCACTCCTTGGGCTCCGCACCCTCCGCTGTGCCCCGCAGTCCGAGGCCCCGCGCCCGAGCCCAGCCCCGTGCGCGCGCGCTTCGACTCGCCGGACGGCTCCACGGTGCTGTCGGTGGTGGTGCGCAGCGCCCAGTCCATCCGGCCTTCCATCCTGCAGGTGGGTAAGGAGGGAGAAGCCTAAGGCACAACCGCATGTGGTGGGACCCTGGCTTGCTGGTATTGGGTTGGCGGGGTAGTTGGGACCTTGTGGCGTGCTGGAGGAAAGCTTAATAAGAAGTGAAGCAACCGTGGGCTGGAGGAAGGACGGGGAACTTTCTCAACCAAGCCAGCGCCCGCACAGATCCCCTACAAACCCACACAATTCCCTTGCCTTCATCACGCCCCGCGCTCGCTCGCCTTCACCCTCGCCCTGCGGGGCTGCACAATTTGTCACCCACGCCCCGCGGTCCCCTCGCCTTTCCTCGCTCGCACGCACCCGCTCGACCTGCGACTGCGGGCTGCTGCTGTCTTCTGCCCACAGGTGACCGACGTCAGCGTGTTCGGCGGCCTGGAGGAGGCGGCCAAGCTGCTGCTGCCGCGGGGCTCGAGAGTGCTGGCAGCCAGCGCTCTGCAGGTAAGGGGTGGCGGTGGTGGGACGCGAACCCGCCCGTATCCCGTACCATGCTGGTAGGGGGAAGCAGGGCCCACAGTAATGGCGCGCCGGGCTCCTTAACCTCCGGCCGCTGGGCTGGCGGTGGCTCCGGGCAGAGGATCCGGGCGTGGGGGAAGTTCTGGAAGGTAGTAGACATGCCTTATGTCCCAGCACGCTATCCTGCGACGTATCCCGGTCTAGACCGCATGCGGTGTGCCATTGCACCTGCGCCCCCTGTTATGCCGTACTGCATGCGAGCTGTAGGTGGTGCTGCCCCCCAAGGAGACGGCCATAGGTACCGTGGAGCTGCCGCCCAAGAACTACTACAAGTGAGCCCTCAGTATTAAGTTGGCTTGTTTGATTTGGTTTGACAGTCCTATGAAATAGCCCTGTACTGTTTAGGATGCGTCATCTTTACCCTTTCCTACTGCCCTGTTCAGGTACGAGTTCACAACTGCCAACGGACTCCACGTTGTGATGTCAGTTGCGGCCATGAAGGGAAAGATTTTCGTCTGCGGCGGATCTACTGCGGCCGGCGCGCGGTGGGAACAGTACGGCAGTGCACTACGGGAAGCCGTGGATTCATTCCGGCTTCGGAGCGACAACAGGGTGCTGTAACGCATACGCGTGGGCACCGTTTGGAATGCAGCCGCGGACATGGCTGTCAGTAGGATTCAGTAATTGAGGCTAATAAGAAACTGACTTTTGTTCGGTAGCATTGCCACTAACCGTGTAACCCGAATCCGTGTCTTCTCGGGGTTTGAGAGGGTCTAGAATACCCAGCTTCCGAATACCCAGACTGTTTCGCCTGCTGTTGAGCACGGTGATTACGACTGACCGTAAGTTGTACCTAAAGGAGCGGCGATGCATCGGCGTCCTGCGAGGCATCAAGTGTTTCTGGGGTTGCAACAGTGCTAATTTCATGTGAGCGGTATAATGTTGGCCAGGATATGCCAACACGAGTAGGAGAAAGGCAAGGTGATCGCTTTGTACAGCGTACGGCGGCGGCTTCCTCCTCCCGCTCATCGCTTACAAAGGCAAAGAACTCCGATATATTTTCTAGTAGGTAGGGCCTTAAGGTACCACCGTTTAGACAAACAAACATACAATGGCGCGGGTTTTCCGCGGCGGTGCTGGCTTTGCCAGACCTGAAAATGCTCTCAAGAGGGCAGACGAGCTGGAGGCCATCGGCCAGAAGGCCGCTGCTCTGCAGACGCTGCATGATGTGATTTGCAGCAAGAAGCATAGGACTTGGTCCAAGACTTTTGAGTCCATCATGCTCCGTCACGTTGAGCTGTGCGTGGACATGAAGAAGCGCAACTATGCGAAGGAGGCGCTGCTCCAGTACAGGAACATGTGCCACCAAGTTAACATCAACTCTCTGGAGGAGGTCATTAAGCATTTCCTGAAGCGCGCGGCCGACAAGGCGGAGGAGGCACAGGCAAAGGCAGCGGTGAGCAGATCAGCGTAACATGGTTTGATCATCATCAGGGGAAAACAGTGGCGATGGTTGTGCGCCGGTGCGGGGCTGCGGCCTTCACGATCGCACGCCGCCGGCGGGAGCTCCTACTGCATATTTTCCTTGGGGCGCGCGTCTCGCAGCCACGTTGATTACAACATATATTATAAATATGGTTAAAGCTGGGGCTATGATGCACTGCTCACGCGGGGGAGACAGAATGTATGGCCTCCTGCTTGCTGATTATTCTAAAGCGTTCTACTTACGCCGCTAAGAATTTGAAGCAATTCTTTGTTCCCTTCTTGCAGGCTGTGACACTGGATGTGGAGGACTTGGAGGAGGACGCGAGCCCGGAGGAGCTCATGCTCAGCTATGTCAGCGGCGAGAAGAACAAGGTGAAACACAGGAAAAAGTGTATCGGGATAATTGTTCGCCTATTTCGTCCATAACTGCGGCGTGGCTGCCACGCACCCCTACTTCTTGCCTTATCCCCTTTACAATCCAGTTCTTCGCCTCCTCCGGCTTAACGTTAACCCCCTTCTTCCCTCCATCACCCGCAGGACCGCACGGACCGGGAGCTGGTCACGCCTTGGTTCCGCTTTCTGTGGGAGTCGTACCGCAGCGTGCTTGAGATTCTGCGCACCAACCCCAAGCTGGAGCCCCTGTACGCGATGACGGCCACCAAGGCCTTCCACTTCTGCCTGCAGTACAAGCGCACCACGGAGTTTAAGCGCCTGTGCGACATTCTGCGGCAGCACCTGACCAACCTGGTCAAGTAAGTCCCCGACTGCTTGGGATACGCAAACATGCCCCCGCTTTCCCTTCCATGTCTCATCATTCCTCATTCCTTCTTCGCTGAAACTGAACTGCGTTGCCTACAAAAGTAACATTCCATTTTGCTAAATATCTAACGATTTTGTCCCCCTTTCGCCTTCGTACAACCCCCGCTACCTCCGCAGCAAGTTCCGCGACCAGCGCGATGCCGGCCCGGAGAGCATGACCATGCACCTGGAGAGCCGCTTCGAGCAGCTGCGTGTGGCCTGCGAGCTGGAGCTGTGGGGCGAGGCGTTCCGCTCCGTGGAGGACATCCAGCAGCTGATTGCCCTCACCAAGAAGGTGATTGGGCAGGGGCCGTGTCCATTGCGTGCTCGTGTACTGTACTGTCTGTGCATTACCCCTTTGTACCCCTAGATATGCCGTACCTTGTCACGCCTTATCAGGTTTATCGTCAAGCACCTGGCGTGGAATGCAATATAATATAGCCGTTTCCACGTTGCCTCTGTGTTCATGTTGAGAGTCAACAACGCTTTCTGGCGTTTGTCCCCGTTTGCTCCCTCCTAACAGACGCCCAAGCAGCCTCAGCTGGCGTCCTACTACACGCGCCTGACCCAGATCTTTGCCGTCTCGGACAGCCCGCTGTACCACGCCTTTGCCTGGCTGAAGCTCTTTAGCTTTGCGCGCCAGCACGCTCGCGGCATGGTTTCGGCGGACTACCAGCAGATGGCCACCTCGGTCCTGCTGGCGGCGCTGGCCATTCTGCCGTACGAGCGTGGTACGGCTACGGCTGGCCGTGCCGCCTCGGATGTGGTGGCTGCCGAGCAGGAGAAGGAGCGGGCTAACCGCATGGCCACCATCCTGGGTTTCGCCGTGGTGAGTGGCACACCTGATCGAACAGTAACCCCATAATTACTTCCCCAGGTTGCGGGATCTGGATTGCGCTTTTCAGATCGCATGATTATCAGCTCATTGCTGCGGCAGTATGGGTGTGTTGATTATTGCCGCTTAACCTCTTCACCGAGCGCTCGACGCTGACCCCCTTTCCTCCTTTCCCTTTCGCTCCTTCCAGGACGCCAAGAAGGACGCCCGCAGCCTGCTGACCCGCCCGGCGCTGCTGGCCACCATCAACTCCTCCAACCTGCTGGCGCTGGTGCCGGCGGAGGTGCGCGCCATCCACGACGCCCTCTCGCAGGACTTCAGCCCGCTGGAGCTCTGCCACCGCCTGACTCCCCTGCTGGAGAAGCTGCCGGAGCTGGCGGCCCAGCAGCTGTCCGGCGCCGCACCCGTGCGCACCGTCGCCCTGGACAAGTACGTGCCCGCGCTCAAGCAGGCCGCCGTGCTGCGACTGCTGAAGCAGCTCAGCGAGGTGTACAGCGTGATGCGCATCAGCGAGCTGGCGGCGATGGTGCCCTTTTACAGCTTTGCCGAGGTGGAGGCGGTGGTGGTGGACGCGGTCAAGTACGACTACCTGCAGATGCGGGTGGACCACCGCAACGGCACGCTGCACTTTGGCGGGCAGCAGGTTGAGAGCGACAAGGTGCGCGTCCACCTGGCCTCTGTCGCCAAGCGCCTCGCCAAGGCGGTGACCATGATGAGCCCGCAGCCGCTGCCGCTTGCGGCCGCTGAGGAGGCCCGGCGCCAGGCGGTCATCAAGGCCGCCCGGAGCACCCTGGAGGCTGAGCATCTCAAGGCCGTGGCACGCAAGATGGTCATCGAGAAGCAGAAGGAAGAGGCGGAGCGCGCGCTGTTCGAGGCGGAGCAGATGGAGGCGGCTCGCAAGGCGCAGGCGCAGCGTGCGCACGAATTGGCAGAGGACAAGCGCCGCCGCGAGGAGGCAGCGCGCCGCGAGACGGTGAGTCGGCTGGCTTTTGCTTGTTAAGAAGGTTGGGAAGGTGGGAGGGTAGGGAAGGTTGAAGGCCTGGTGTGCATGGCATATGGCATGATGAGTTCATGGCTTTAATAATCTTCTCGCCGGTGTCGTATCCCCGTGTCTACGATCTCTTCATTGCAACCTTGAACCCGTGCCGTACCCCACCCCCACAGGAGCGCCTGCAGCGTGAGATGGAGGAGCGCGAGCAGGAGGAGCTCCGCGCCCACCTGGGTGCCCGGAACATCAAGGTGCGATGCAGCCACTGCTTGGAACTGCTTCTGTCCTTTGCACAAGCCTTGTTCCTAGACATGTATGCTTTTTTGCGCTCGCATACCGGTACTGGCACCCTTGTAAACCGCCACTTTGATCTCTGCAGGTCAAGGAGGGCGAGAAGCTGGAGAAGACCGCCGTCATCAAGGACATCATGTCAGAGCGCATCAAGGAGCAGCAGGAGCTCGAGCGCCGCATGGCCCGATTTGCCAAGAACATGGACCACCTGGAGCGAGCCCGCCGTGAGGAGGAGGCGCCATACCTGGAGGTAAGTGCCGTGATTTAGGCTCGTACGGCAGCTGCACAGACCCGGAGACGCAGGGCCAGCTTACCGTTTAGAAACCCTTTGCGTAGCGTCGCATCTCGCATGCCGCTGCATGAGTCGTTTTGCCGTTGGCGATGGTTTTGCCGTTGGTTGTGATGGGCACTTAACTCACGATGGTGGTTCACTTGTCTACTTGCGCAGGCTGCCTGGAAGCAGCGTCAGGAGGCGGATCGCGCCTACTGGGAGGCTGCGCAGACCGAGGCTGCTCGCCTGCACCGCCAAGCCTGGGAGGTCGACATTGAGGAGAAGAAGCGCCTGGTACGTTACAAGACTGCAGTTATTTGCCTTTACCTTGGCCACCTCTTTGAAACTTACCTTTGTTAGCGGTATCTCTCCTCGTTTCAACCCTTGCGACCGCCCTTCCACTTCCTGTCCTAAATTCCTGCTGTTTCATGTCTCCCACGCACAGGCACACATGGTGCCCGACAAGGAGGTCTTCAAGAACCTCATCATGCAGCGCCGCGAGACCGAGTTCCAGGCCCTGCGCCGCGAGAGGGAGCGCCGCATGGCCGAGATGCGTGCACAGCGCAAGTTTGAGCGCGAGATTGCCCGTCGCAAGGCTTACGTCACCCGGTGCCGCTTGGAGGTGGAGCAGCGCATGCAGGCGCTCGAGGAGCAACGGCGGCGTGAGGAGGAGGCACGGAAGAAGGTAAGGAAGATGCTCTCATTGGAATGTCACAATCTTCCTGGTGTCTTCTTTGGTGCTGTGTGCGCGACGGCGCAGATCTGATAGGTCTCCACAGCATACCACAGAGCATATCAGGAGCATACACAGAGGAAGCGGTGATGTCATAGCAAAAATACATGTTAGACTACTGACTCCCCCGGGAGCATGAGTACAACAATTCCGCTGCTGAGCTTCCGATACAGTTAAAAGCACATACCGGCTACGCCGTAGCAGTTATTACGCAAAGCAAAACATGGTGGGGCTATGCGGCGGTGATGGTACACAAATAATACATGTTAGACTACTGACCCCATTTGGGGCATGAGTACAACATATCCGTGGCTGAGCTGCATCCCTTGCATGCATGCGACCCCTGCATTGCCCAATATTGACGTATCCGAAATTGAGCACGCACACAGAAAGCTTGCATTCGGTACACTCGTGCTTCATGCAATTAGTAGCGGCTGTGATGGTACACAAATAATACATGTTAGACTACTGACCCTCCCGAGGGCATGAGTACAACATATCCGTGGCTGAGCTGCGCCTTCACTTTGCGTGTGTTTTTTCGTTGGCTTGAGGGACAAGGCCATGATGTTTACACAAATAATACATGTTAGACTACTGACCCCTTTGGGGCATGAGTACAACATATCCGTGACTGAGCCTTCCATCAATACCATCCAGTGGTGAAGTTTTTGAGTCCAATCCTCCCCACAACAAGCTCTTTTCCGAGGCCTACTGGGTTATTTTCCACTAACTACCGCCATTTCCACGCCCACGCTACGCAGGCTGAGGAGGCCGAGCGCCAACGCAAGCTGGACGAGGCCCTCGCCAAGCAGCGCGCCCGCGAGGAGGAGATTGAGCGCCGGAAGGCTGAGGAGCGCGCAGGCCTGGGCCTCGCGGCGCCCTCCGCTGCCGCTGCTGCCGCCCCTACTGGCCCCAAGTTCTTGCCGCCTCACTTGCGTGCTGCTGCCGCGGCTGGCGCTCCAGCGGCGGCACCCCCCGCGCCCGCTGCTCCTGCAGCCCCCGCGGCTCCCGCGGAGGAGGAGGCTGGTGGCTGGCGCCGCCGGGGCCCGGAGGCGCCCCCGCGGGATTACGGGCCGCCGCGCGACAGCTGGCGTGGAGGCGACCGTGACCGTGATATGCCGCCCCGCGATATGCCGTCTCGCGACATGCCACCCCGGGACATGCCGCCACGCGAGGCTCCTGCCCCGGCTGCCGGCAAGTTCGTCCCACCTGCCCTGCGCAACCGGCAAGACGGAGGGGCGCCGCCGTCTGGGGCTGCTCCGCCTCCTTCGTCGGGTGGAGCCTACCGCCCACCCAACCGCCGTTAGATGCGCCGTACTGGTGTAAGGCTGGCGACGGCGGTTTGGCGCCAGGTATGCGTTTAGTACTACTATAGTTCATAGCATGTTCGTGGCCGGGCAGTCGCCTTTGAGGGGTGTAGCTGGCTTTGCCTCGTGCGCGGTTACCCCTTGGTTTGGAGGCTAGGCAAGTGGTGCAAGCAGTGCGTTGCTTATAGCTGTTTCTGGTGTAATTGGCAGGTTGTTGGTGCATTAATACTGACATATGGTACGACTTTTGAACTGTGCGGCAGCCTCCGGCAAGGTCTCAAGTCACCCAACGCAAAGCAAACTAGCACTATTGCTAGTACCTCTCGCCCCTTGTACGGGTTGAACATGTAATCCACATAAATTAGTAAGGTACGCCCAAGGTTTCTGCGGCGAGGCTACCTCGAGTTTGGCATTCAGCATGTCCTGGAGTGCTCTCCGAAATGTTGCCTTAGTACGACTAAGTCGCCTTCGCGTAGACCTGTTTGGGTAACGCTTACAGCTGCAATTTAACAAAGTTAGTGGCACATAGTAAGCCAAACGCACATCACTCCAGATCAGTCTATAAGAAAGCTTCATGCTTTCTTACCAAGCATTCAAGGCAAGCGCTTCGGCAAATTGCAACAGAGCCGTAGACCTACTGCCGCAAGGGCCGGGTGGGCGGCGGTGTCACACTGGCCAGCACCGGCTGACCCACGGGTCACGAACAAAGCCCTTGAGTTACCCTCACGCTCCACTAATCCTTACAGGTCAGTATGCCGAACACATGCTGCGCAATAAATATGGCTGCGGCTGGCTGCGGAAGCTAAAAGTTCGGCAGTTGCCAGTCCGGGTATCATCTAGAAAATGCAAAAGGTCCTGCCGAGATTTGAACTCGGGTTAGCAGATATCTTCGCGTATATCAGAGTCTGCTGTCCTAACCACTAGACCACAGGACCAGGTCGTACACCTGGGGCAGGATTTGTTGATGACATAAATGAAAACCCATAATATATATACCAGTTTGCAAGGTGCACCCGCCTCCGAGTGCAACTGCAGCCTCACTCGTATATGCGGTATATAGCAATTTGGTCCCCGAGAGTCTGCTTTTCTATCGGTCGGTACTGCCTTGTAGCCGGTGCCAAGCCCGCCGAGATATGGCTGTGGTGCCGGGCCGGGGACATCAAAGGGGTAGGCACCTGGCAGAGGAGGTGGAGAAGGTTCCGAAGACGTTGTCGGAGAGGGGTGTGGAGGCCAGCCGGGAATGCTCAAAATGGGAAGTCGATCGACGGGCCGAAGGTGTGTAAATGGCAGTGGCACCAGGCGGGGGACGCTGAATACTACTTTTGAGGTACACTGTCCTGGCACGCAGCCACGGCAACAGATGAGTCCTGCTACAACACGATGTAAGGTCTGTTTGAACCGTTTAAGTCCTTGAGAACCTATTTCCCTGGATGTAAACCCAGGTGAGGCCCGTAAACAACGATTGCAGGGTACCTTTCTCGTGCCAATTGTCGCTGATCACGTCACCTCTGGACAGCTCTGACGGCTTATGGGGATACAGCAATCTCAAACTCCCGCTCTGATGACAACCACGGCGTCTAAAGTTGAAAGACACCACGAGGTTTCCTTCATGACAGCTACCCATGTAGGGACGGCGCCTAACAGGCACAACTGTGAAAGGCTTGGTTATATAGGCCATATAAGCCCTGACAGTTGACTGATATGCAAGAGTGACGACAAAACCTAAGGCCAAAGCCCACGTCCTAATAGCCCCCAACAATAAAATGCTGATATGCATGGTGCGTTGTTGCAACCAAATACGCCCAGATAACTGCATGCTGCACTTTGCAGCCCCGGCGCATGGTGCATGCAGCATGCTAGGTGCATTGCCCCGTAACATTGCGCCGACAACATGCCACTAACGGTAATCACATCCTCGCCAAACAATGCTCCTGAAAGGAAACAGTAAAGCAGTGTTTGATAAGATGTTGTAAATAGCGTACCTTTGTCAGCACATTGACCTCTTAACACATGCCGTTTTGCAACCCCAGGTAGGGCCTCCAACCTTGCATTTACGACGCACTTCGTATCAAGACTACACCCAACGGTCTTCAACGCCCGGGGAACCCCCAACAACTGCCCTTATTAGGTCAAGGCCAAAGGAACAACTTGCGTCGAATGAGTTGAATTTAGCTCAGGCTGTTTGCATGTCCTCATGTATTCCTGAACACGGGTTTGGCCGATTGGCTGCGGAACGGGCAGCGAACTCCGACACCCTCCATGATTCACGCACGTCGTCGGCGATACCTCAGCCTCCAGGCAGCAGCCCCCTTGTACCACTCGGCTGAAGGTCGTAAACCCAGCAATACGGTTGTTGGCGAACCATGCTCCATGCAACGTCGCCAGAAAACCACTATATTGTCAACGTTTGGCAACTAACTGACACTTGGCAATAAAGCCATATGTCAGCAGTGGTCGACAGATACGGACACCGCCCAAGCCGCATGTCCGCTCCCCAACAACTGGCTTTCGCGTCCCACACGCACACATCACGCGAGCACGTTCCTACTTACGGCCAGTGTTCTAAACACACCTGGCGCGCACCTTTTGCGTGCACGCCTGCTTATTGCGCCCGCCTGGTAGGCCTGGTAGGCACTTGTTGTCCGCACCTAGTAGTATATGGTAACCAATAGCACTTCGGGACGACTCATTACGACAGCATTGGCAGACGACACATTGAAGTCACCATAATATCAGGTGTCCCCTACACTTAAGGCTATGCCCTGGCCTGTTCCGAACACGAAAAGAGGGCACCGAGGGCTGTGTTCTAATCCCTGTTGCTGTAAGGGGACCAGCGGCTGCCCGGCCCCACCCCGCCTCCACTCCGCATCAGCCCTCAGCGGGGCGTCACGGCCGTTAGAACTGCGAGCATGCTGCGTAGGAGAAGTAGGAGGGACGAGGGTGCGACGAGGGCATGCTTAGCGTAATGCCTGCTGGAGCTGAGCTACTGTTAGGGGGTCAGTAGAGCGGCATGACGACTCAGTCACAGAGATAGAAGGCGAAACCCAACGGAAATGGGACACGTCGCAAAACGTCCCAAGCGAACAATGCCTCTCTTTCCCAAGCTTTTATCAAATTGCGACTGACACATAACTACACCCATAACCAGTTAACCACCCGCATCATGATTCCCCCGCTACTCACGCCTCCAGATGCCGTACAATCTCCCCGAATGTGGGCCGGTCCTTGGGCGACTGCGCCCAGCAGCTGGTGACCAGGCGCGTGTAGGAGGGCGGCAGCCACAGCGGCAGCACCGGCCGCCCGCCGCTGAGCAGCACGCGGTGCAGGATGCGCGCCGCGTTGAGGCCCTTGTAGGGGCGCAGGCCGGTGGCCAGCTCCCACACTGCATGGCACAGGCGGGCGCACATGCGTGACGGATGTAAGGAGCAACAACATACGGCGTGCGGTGCTGGCGTCATGCAGCTGTGCGCTGTCGAACCCAGACGCGGCAGCGGTCGCCGGCCTGGATCCAGTTTAAACAAGCACAGCAATCCCCAGGACCCTGCCCTTTCCTGCCGCCCCGTCCCGCTGCCCTTTCACGCATCTCCACGCCTCACATGTGACACCGAACGCATACACGTCCGCCTGCTGCGACACGTGGCCCTTGGTCCACAGCTCTGGGAAACAGAAGGGAGAGAGAACGGTGAAATGGCCGTAAGGACGTAAGAAAGTAGAGCACAATTGCAAAAAAGACGTTTGCGAGCATGCTTTGGGACCGGTCTAGGACCTCTTTGAAATAGCAGGTGCGGGTTGTCGTGCAGCATACCGTACTCACTACTAAAAGGACACAAGGCCAATAGCCAAGGATTGAGAATCGGACGGATCTTTACTTCACATGTCTCTTTACACGGTATCACTTGATCACATGTACGACATGACTGTGATCAATCAGACGACTCCGAAACCAAGTGTCAACGACAATGCTTACCTGGCGCCATGTGTGTGGGAGTGCCGTACGGCCGAGTAGACACGTGGGTGCGGTCGTTTGTCAGGACTCGACTCAAACCAAAGTCGCACACCTGTTGGGGGTTGTTTCCAACACAGACAGACAGACACATCAACGACATGCCGTGGCTTGAAAATTAACTAGCAGGAGCAACAAATCACGCATGGGCGAGAGACGACTGCCGGTTTGTGCTAGTGCAGAAGCAACACGAAGCGCAGCCGACGCGCGACGCGTCACGCCTCTTAGCTCAGACCCACCTTGGCCACCCAGCCGTCCAGCAAGTCGCTGGGGTTGGAGCCCGTTGCGCCCGATGCGCTGTCGCATCTCGCCAGCAAGACATTCGAGAGCTTCAAGTCTGCGGGGGTGATGAAACATGCGGTAGAGCATACCGGTATGTTGCCGTGTGAGGCATCACGTTTGCGGTTCAAAAGGGTATAAGAGCTCCGTACATCAGTAATGTGAACACCTACAAAAGGTGCTGCTGCCCATCTTCCTGACCCACGATGACGCCCGGCCTCTAACATGCCTCAAAGCGGAGCGGAGCGTCCCGTACATGATGCACAGCTTCGCAGTTTGCAGTTCACAAGTCACACTCACCTCCGTGGCAAATACCAATGCTGTGGATGTACGACATGCCGTAAGCGATGTCAAGCGCTAACCGCAATAGTACGGCCTGTAAGGCCAGGGAGGGCAGCAGGCGTTAGGACAGAGGACGCAATGGGTTTCCCCACCCAACCCCAAGCTCAACTTCCTCTTTACACCCCATGGTGAAACTCCATCACATTCCCCCGGGTTGTTCCTCTTTACCCCATCCCACGCATCCGCGTGGCCCCTCCCACGACCGCCAACAAACGAGCTATCGACCACCCTTTTCCCTCTCTCTCTCCCCAGCTCCCGCCCCACCAGGTCCGGCCGCTCGTTCAAGCCCTTCCAGTGCGCAGCCCGCCATGCGAACACGCTGCCTCCCTCGCACAGCTCCATCACCAGGAAACCGTGACTGCTGCCCTCCGCAGGCTGAGTGTGCGCGGCCAGCCATAACGCCTCCAGTGGCGGCTCCGCTGATGCCGCAGCTGCAGGAGCAGCGCCGGAGGGTACGGCATCTCCCTCCTCGCCGCTCTTACCAGCTTCCGGGTAGCTGCGGCGGCGGGGGTCAAGAGCATGCACGTTCGCGCCTGCGCCCGGCGCAGCACCATGTTGCGCGTGTTGAGGCGCTGCTGCCCCCGCGCCGCCTCCTTTGGGTAGTGCTGCTGGTGCTGGCGGCTGCACGGTAGCTTCCGAGGTGCCCTCCGTCAGCTCAGCGCATTCAGGAGATTGGCCAGAAGGATTGGCGGCGGCGGCGCCGCCACCACCACACCTCCCGCCATCAACGTTCATGACAGCCGCGGTGGCGGCGGCAATGGCTTCGTTTACCTTGGCAATTCTAGGTGTACGGCACTCAGGTGGCGGCGGTGTTGCCGCTGAGGCGGCGTCCTCCGGGCCTCCCGCCCGCACTACATAGCCGTTTGGCGTGACTCTCGCTTCAGGAATCACCAACAGCTGTGCGCCTGTGCGCTCGGCTTGCGCCTGCCGCCGCCGCTGCTCGGCCCAGCGAGACAACACATCCGGCTCACTTTGGCTCCGGGACGCACCCCCGCTACCATCATCTGTCGTGTCGTAGGTTGAGTCATCCCCGAAGAGCCCAAGCGGGTCCGCGGCTTCCGAGTTCGCAGTGCGTAGCAACGTTAGCGGCGTGCTGAGTGCGGTTGTTGCTGCAGCAGCTGCTGCAGCTGCTGCACCACCTGCTTGTGGTGCCCTGCTGCCTGCCGCCAGGGTAGGGTCTGCTGCAGCTGCTGCACCCGCACGGAGTGTGAGCTCCAGGCACCCGTCCTGTCGTACACTCTGACCTAGGCTTCCATGCGGCAGGGACCGCGGTCTAGGTCGCAGCAGCGTCCCTCGTGCGCTAGCAGCCACGCAGGCTGACTCCTCCACTGCCCCGTCAGCATCAGCCACATCCGCTGCCTCCTCGGCCGACCCCGCTGTCCGCAGCTTCTCCGGGCGGCCCTCGTCGTCCGGCTGCTGCGGCTGCTGCAACAATAGCCCCGGTTCCTCCTGCTTAGCAGCCTCGCCCGTCTTAGCAGCCTCATCCTTACGCCGCGCCGTCACAGATCCCTGCGAGGAGGACAGCGGCAGCAGCGCCTGAGCAGCGGCTGCACAAATGCCGCCGCCGTCCCCACGCCCCACAGACACCTGCATGAGGTCCTGCGGCAGTGAAGACGTGCTGTCGCCGCCGCCGCCACCACCACCATCGGCGGCGCCGGCAGCCGTACTCCAGGCTTCCGTAGCCGCGGCAACACCGGACTCGATGAACCGGCTGTAGCTGCCCGCGTCCGTGGCGCCGCGTGCTGCGGCTTGCGGGTCCTGCTGGCCGTGAGGGACGGGTCGGGCGAGGAGGTTGACTGGGTAGCCGCCGGGGCCCTTGCGGCTGCTGGGGGGCCCGCCTCCGCCCCCGCCTGTGTGCAGTCCGAGTCTGCCCCCAGGCAGCACTTGCGCGAAGTACAGCGCCGACACCACATTCGGGTGGCTGCGAGGAGCGAGATACATGGGGAACGGAAGAGATTTGGGGAGACATGGTCAGCTAGTTAAGGTTGGAGAACGAAGGGAGCCCAGGCGAAAAGGGAGAGAGCGGAGAGAGCAGCAGCCAGGTTCCAGGGCCGTACCACAACTACCACCACCGCCATCACAACCACATCAGCAGCAGCGCCCCCATAAGCAGTGCAATACCACCCAGGCCTGATCAGGATACCCGGGCTTCTGCGCCTCGCTCTCATGCCCAGACCGCCAAGACCGGAAACAAGGAAACAACACACAGACCGCCCGCTACAGTCCAAGACACCCACCGCAGCGTCTGTGAGAGCAGCACCTCGCTCTGCACCGCCCTGCACAGCTCCGCTCCGTACTGCAGCACCTTGACTGCCACCGGGCGGCCCTGCCAGCAGCCTGAGCAGGCAGGTGGCGCCCGAGGTGGTTGGAGAGGCGGTTGAGGGTGGGCGGCAGGGATGGGAAGCAGGAAGCACATGGGGACCCGTCTCCAAGGCCGCGTTGCCTGGGCTCCAGGGCACCACCGAGACCAAGACCCAGCACTCCGCCCATGAGTCATGACCCACCCACCCTCTGACCCATGCGGAATATGTATCCCACTCACCTCGGAACACCTTTCCAAAGCTACCGGTGCCCAGGTTGCTCGACAGCTCTGCACTCCACAAGGCCGGACAGGAGGGAGAGAGCGGCAAGAGTATAACCGTAACCAGCATACAGAGCGAGGGGGTGGCATCGGGGGGTTGCAGCCTTAAAAAAGCTACCATGCTGCTGCAGGGTTCCTTGTTGTGCTGTACCGCAGCCCCAGACGGCTGTCCCGCCCGTCGCCTGCAGTACAGTGCCGCATGCAGCACACACGTGCGCACACCAGCAGGACCCCGGCCCCAGCGCACCTATGCTAATGCCCGCCACCATGACAACCGACTTGTCCCGCTCGCCGGACTGCGGATCCGCCTGCTGCGCCTCCGCCACCGCATCCACCGGCGGAGGCGCCCCGCTTCCACCGCTCCTACCACCACCGCCGGCTCCCGCTGCACCTCCGCCTCTATTTCTAAGGCTGCCATCGGCAGCATGACCCAGGTCGCCAGCTTGCGAGTCGCTAAGGCGTTTACAGCCCTCGTCCCTCAGCTCGGACGACGCCGCCGTCCTCAGCACCGCAGCCGCTGCCGCGGTCGGGGCCGCCGCCGCTGGTGCAGGCGGAGGCTGGGGCAGCGGTTCTCTTGCCGGTCGGCCGCTTGCGGCAGACGGGGCACCTGATGAGGACGATATTGTGGAGGTCAGGCAGGGCGGCAGAGCCTCGCCTCCTCCGGGGGGAGCAATGAGCACTTGCACAGTGGCGCCGCCGCTGCCTCCGCCGCCGCTGTCGCCGCTGGTGCCGGCATCACAGAGGCTGGGCTTGACGTCAACGCCGGAATACGGCGGTTTGCTGCTGCTGTCGTGGCCAGCGCCGCTGCTGCCGCAACCATCCTGGGACTTTGAGAGCATGCCGGAGACGCAGCGCAACTGTTGGTGGCGCAAGCGGCGGCGTTTGTAGAGCGCGGCTGCGATTGCCGCGAGGGTTGCTGCGAGCGCGACGAATCCCCCCACGGCTGCTGTGGGGGCCGACGAGCAAAAACGGTTGCGGCACAACAACTTAGCGGAGGATGGGCCAGCTCACTCAGGCTTCGCCCTGTGGATACAACGCAAATCCTTCCACCTGTTCGCACATGCTGGCAAGTAGGGAGCTGCTCTACTAACCATTTTTGCGTCGAGGACGAACCCAGCCGGCCACGACGGCAGCAAAACCCAATTCCTCCTTTCCCACCTCCAGCGCCCCAGGATCCCAAACAAGCTGTGCCACCAGCCTCATCACCCCCGTGGCGCCACCCTCCAACAAAGCTACCCTTCCCTCCCCAGCAAGGCAGCCCCGCACTCACCTCCAGCCGCCACGGCGGCCGTGCGCCCTCCATGCACGTCGGCGAGCGCCGCGCCGCCAGGCGAGGGCGACGGGGTTGCTGTCATGGCCGCATAGGCCGCCAGCAGCTCCCAAGTGTTGTCCTGGCTCTGCAGCTCCACCACCTTGGTCCTCACGCAGTAGTCCCAGCCGTTGGTCAGGCCGCAATCATCCATGATGGGCTGCTGGCAGCTGGAGGACCAAGAAGCAGCGGCAGTGCAGGAGAGGTGGGGCCAGCAGCGGGGTGTCATGGAATTGGTCCAGATGCAGGCAGCAAGGCGATTCACAAGGAATCACAGAGCCCATGCCTTTCCACCCATCTCCCGTACATCCTCCTCGGCAAAACTAAACAGCTCAGCTCACGGCTTAGTCAAGACACGAATGCATGTCAGTAGCGGCACGGCACGAACGCATATGGCAGTAGCGGCAGCACTTACACGAAGACAGTCTTCCACGCCTGTATGGCATAGCCTCCGCCGCTCGTCAGACCCACCAGCCCCGAAGCCGGCAGCTGCGTGGACGCTGACACGTATTTGAGCACACTGTTTTCGTTGTAGCAGCGTGCGAGCGGCGGTTGCAGCGTACGGCACCAGGAGCCATAGCTGACGTTCTGCGGCAGCCCCGCTGGCGGCGAGCTGTTCACCACGGTCATGAGGGTAGCTAGCGGCAGGCAGCTGAAGCAGAAGTACACCATGCCATCGAAGTGCACGATTGCGCCCGGACTGGCGCTGAAGAGGTCCACCTGCATGGCAGCATCATGACATCATGAGCAACGAGCAGGAGGAGCAGGAGGAGGAGGAGGGGGCGAGCACATGATTGCGCAGGTAACGCAGGGGAGGACGCATGTGAAGAAGGGCAAGTGAAAAGGTGAGGGTCCAGCAGGACGCTCCTGTCCCGGCCAAGCTCATGCCCAGCTTGTTACGCCCAGTACGCCGTAGCCCCGGGGCTCATGGCTCCCTCCCACAGCCCCCGTTCTGCTGTAAGCAACTTAGCCCATGCGGCAACCCCACCTCGAAGCCGCTTCGTTGCCGCGTATTTCGCAACTCCAGCTGCGCCATCCAGGTGCAGGTTGCGACACACGGGGAGCAAAGGAGATGTGAGCGGGATACTCTATTTGGAGCAGCATACTCTATGATGGGGACACTGGCCGGGACTGAAATCAACATGACTGCAGATGCTGCACGCTCCTCCCACCTTTGAGAAATTGAAAACTACTCCGGGTAGTAACTGAATTCTGGACTCCACGAAGTTAAGGTCCAAGATGGGTAGGAAGTCAGCGCCCACAATCGAGAAGTTCGTGGACCGCACGATGGGCGATGCAGGCCAGGCAGATGATGTCAGCCGAACATTAGCTGCCAGGCGTACGGCAGGCACGGAGCTATCGTTGACGGCTGCCATGAGTTGGAGTTCCGAGGACACGGTTGGAAGGTCGTAGGTCGAGGTAGCTGAAGCGAGTGCCGCCCCGTTTGGTTGGACTCCTAACACCCATAACAGGAGCAGTGGCAGGAGTAGGGTGGAAGGGTGGAGGGACAGCAGCCGATGGCTCGACAAGCAGGGGCCAGGTGCAACCATGCTGTTGCGTGCGGCTGCACGGATGCACCCTTGTCGCTTGCAGTGAGGAGCCCTCATGGTTGACGCTGAGGATGCCGCAGCAGAGCGCTAGTAGCAGCCACAAATGGTTGCCAGCATACTCTGGACAGCCATGGAACGTTCAGCTATAGAGCTGACGGCTACCGGGCTCTAGGGACTCCGTTCTAAAGAGCGCTGCGAACAAGCGAGTTGCGACATCGTCAGCTCCAGGTTGCACAGAATAGCATTCCGTGCTGCTTTAAATCGGATGCAGTTGTTAAGAATAAAACCCTTCACGCTGGACTGCTAAAGGAGGCGTTGCTTGTGCTATCTGGACGCCGTAGACTACGTGGCGCGCACGCGTCAAGTATTGAGCGTTTCTTAAGCTGTTATGAACATACATCAAAACTTATTGAGGAGCCAAACCGGACAAAAGAAGCTGAGGCTAAAGCAAGTATTCTTTGTTATTTGGACACCTTCTACTGACGACGACAGCCCAGAAAGGCAGGGCAATTGTCAAACGTAATTGCTGACAGCATGCTTGCGTGCAAACGCAAACGTGTCCCCCTGCAAGCATCGTAGCATCCGACCACAGCTGTACGAATCATCCTTCTGCGGTTCGTACAACCTATTACTCAAAGTCTCAAACTACGCACGTATATAACTTTGCTGGTCCTGTGCACAGGGGTTACCCGCGGTTAAGTCCATGTGTGGCAATGGCGTAGAAGTCCCTGTTGGATCGGCTGGCCGGCACAATGACAAGCCCTTGAGATGTCCTTCGCCTGTGCAACGAACGCGACAATCAAACTATGCCTAAAGGTTTGGTGCTAAGAAGTATTTAGTGTGCATTCTGTAGATTTCCTGGTGATTACCCGGCTACAAGGTGTGCGTACAAACCCTTACAGCAAGGGAGATGGCACAGCATTGCTGAACTTTGTGTGCGGTCTTCCATGCTCCGTGGAAAGCAACGAGCGCTTGGCCCTTCAAGGATGTATGCATGCTTAAAGCCAGTATTGGGGAGTTCGACCCCCGACCCAACGGTTGAACTCTTGGAGAGAGCAGACGCGCTGCCCGTATTGCCTCTATGCCACTGATTGCTCTGATGCTGCATTGTGCTTCGAGCGCAGGTCAGACATCTGTCTCCCGAGTTACAGACTCTGTCTCCGCCTTCGCACAGCCCAAGAGTCCTCGGTAGCATGCCAAGTCCTACACTGCTCCCTCTGCTGCTGCTCCGAAGCCACTTCCTCGAACCATAAGCATCCCCTGAACCACATGCTTTTACGATGCCTTCAGCAATAGGTCATGGCATGCGCACGCACGCATGCATGCCCGTAATCCGTAGCAAGCCAGCGTCAAGGCGGCCTAACGAAAGGCAGCCACAAGTGCTTCACAGAGCACAGCATGACAATAACTGGGAGGTTACTATGCCCAGAAGACATCAAGATTAACGCACAAGGCAGGTGCAGATGCACTCTAGCATGCAACATTTGCAGGGTTTGACCCTTTACATAGTTGCGTAATCACATGGACTAGCTGTTAAGCAAACCATACCAGCACAATCAATCACCATCCTAGCGACTTTGGTGGAACACAGCAAATACGAGCATCAACAGGGCCCTCGTACGGGCCCCTCTGCCAAACCCCGGCATCGCGGGTACATCATTAAAGCATCCACCTGAGTATCCCAATCTTCCTCCGTGTCACTCTTTAATCCTCCAAACCTGCTCCCGCTCGTCGGTCCCCCTCGGCCTCTGTTATCGGGGGCTAGGCACCCGGGACACGACTACAGATTGGTTCCCCGCGCCAAACGCCATCCACCCCATGCCTCCGCCTCCTCCGCCCTCGAGTTCCTCCACAGCTGTCTGTTGCCGTACAGCTGCCAGATGGGCTCCAGTAGCGAAGAAGAAAGCCCTAGGGGTAGTTTAGTACGGGACGTACAGCGGCGGTTAGGAGTGTAGAAGTAAGGCGACACAGACAGTTGGGTTTGAAGCTGGTCCCTGGTGAGGGACTCGCGCAGGGCGTTGGAACAAAAGATTGTGCTCTGTCTGGGACGTATTTCAGCTTTGCTCAACAAGTCGACAGCAAGCTCTTCACACCTGTTATCGGCTGATAGCAGCACAGCAGCATTATGACCGAGGGCCGACTCAGAAGCCACTCCTCGGAACTCGAGCAGCGGGTGGGTCAGCGCGACAGACCGTTGTACGGCTCGACCCAGCGGTAGGGCGCGGTCGGGTATGGAGTACGTGACCAGGGCGCCCGTGGCTGCATGACAGGAAACCAGCACGCGCCAATCATTAAGGACGACATACCGCTATAAAAGGCATTGGTGCAAACGCAACCAACGGGCACTACGTTATGAGTGTTTGGTGGTGCCTATCAGCCTAAGCGTGTCATCCTTGCCAAGTCACAGCAGTACCCCAGGCGCAGCTGGGCTCTGTCGTACCCGTGAACTCGTACAGCAGCAGATCTCCGGTGTTGGGGCAGAAGAGGGCCTCCCGGAAGGCCCCCTCCAGCGCTCGCAGCGGCCGCAACCGCATGCCGCTCACGTCCCACAGCGTGACGCAGGAGTGTATGTCCCGGCAGGCTAGCAGCGTGCCGTCGGGGCTGTGCGGGGTGTGGTGGGGTGGGGAGGGAGGGAAAAAGAAATTGCAAAGTCGGGAGACGGTGGGAATGCGGACATATTACACATATGCATGCGAGCAAGGACATGAATACCCGGTTGGGTGAAGCCCGGAAGCGGCACAGCACTAGTTACTGCTGGCTCTTAAGCATGATTGCAAGCAGATAGGGCAAGCTCAGCGTCAGCCAGCCCCCCAGAATTGTTTGCCGTATTGCCCTTATGACATCTCCATGCCTCCATGCCATCTGCCCGCCTTACTTGAAGCGCAGCGCCACCATCCAGCTCTCCTCCGGGCCAACCTCCTTGTCGCCAGCCGCTTGCCCCTGCTCCTGCCCGCCTTCATCCGCATGGCCGCTGCTGGCGTGTCCCGCAAGCTGCTTGCCCGTGGTGGAGTTGAACATGTAGACCGCCTTGCCGGCTGCAGGGGGAAGGTGAGGAAGGCGAGGTGGGCAAAAAAAGGGCGGTAGGGTGAGGCAAGGTTGGGAAAAGACGCGGCAGGGCGAAGGTAGGGAGGATTGGTGGTGGGTAAGGTAAGAGGGAGCGAGGAAGCGGTAAGTGTACCGAGGTTTTGCGTGCTCCGTACGCCAAAGTCTTCAACCTCGGGCCCCCCCGTGGGCCCACCTGCTCCTGATACCAGGCGGGAGTCATCCGGAGAGAAGGCCAGGGTGGACACCCAGGACACCTGCGGTCGCACCAGCAGCAGCACACAGGGGGTGAGGTGTACGGGTTGCCGTATCTGAGATACGGTATCCCACACAGAGGCCGTAGCTACATCCGAAGGCACGTGTAGAGCAAAACATACTAGCGCAGCACGATGACAGTGCCGCTGGTTTGCGCAGAATACTGTTTTAGCACAATCTTCCCTCAATGCCTGGTTGCTGCACGTAGCACAGGAGCGCTTCCTTATACCTGGCAATCTACTACTGGTAGTCAGTATCCCTCCCTCCTTTCGTGGGGGGCCTCATTCGCATTTCGACACCCAGCAACCCTCCCACCCACCTGGTAAATGAGCACCACCTGCTCTCCGGTGGCTGCGTCCCAGATGCGAACCATCTGGTCGTCTGAGGCAGGGAGAGCAATAGAAGCAGGACAGGGACAGGAGGTAAGGAGTCCAAAGATGCAAGCTTGGCGTGTACAGAAGCATTTCCAGTGCGGCCTTTCCCTCGTTGCTAAATGAGAACTTACGGAGCTGCAGCGCTTTGACCAGCGAGCGCACAACAGCTTGGTATAGGGTAACATGATCCGTACCAGCGTACAGCCTGTGCCTCTGCCCGCTAGGACGCTCTTTGCCCAGCCCTCACCACCACCCGGCCACTCACATCCGCCGGATGCCAGCCGCTTGCCGTTGTGCGCCCAGGCCACGCACTGCACCTTCCGGTGATGCCCTGTAAGCACCAACTGACAACAACCGGGCTGTTTAACGGCCTCCGGTGCCGCTGTCGGGCTCCCAGCGTTGCCGCCAGCAGCCTCAGTATCCTCATCTGCAGCAGAAAGGGCACCTCCTGCGACGGAAGCAGATCTTGAGGCCGTTGGGGATTGAACCCGCGACTCCATGCGGGCTGCGACGATGAGCGCGGCGGCCGCGAGGGGGTTCCCAGGAGGTGCGGCGGGTGGGGCCGCGTACCAGATGCGAACCGTCAGGTCATCAGATCCTGCGCGTTCAAGATCAGCAATCAGAAGAGTGAGTTGGTTTAGCCGTGCGTTAGCGGTGCACATTGAAGCTGGCCGTGTAGCAGCCTCAGTATAGCGCGCATCAAGGGCAGAGCCTGTTCCCTTCCGACCACTTCTCGATTACCGTTGCCTCCCCACCCACCTGTGGCTATCCGGCTGCTGTCCCAGCTCCAGGCTGCTGCGTTAATCTTGCCGGTGTGGCCGCCCTCGCCCCTCGGGGCCATCAGCGCCAGTCGCTTGCCGTTGAACACGTCGTACACTCGCAGCGACTCCTTGCTTGGGTCGGCTGCATGCATGCGCGGGGCGTATCATGTCATGTCAGAATGGGCACCGGCACAAGCTGCTCCGGCCATGACCTCTTCCGCCTCCAGAACCCTCTTATACTACCCGAAATTCCAACCGAACAGGTCCAATTTGAATCCGCACTTCCGGTTTCCTACCACCTCTCCCATCACTTCCCCACCACTGCATGCCATGAAACCTCATAAACCTAGCAAAACGGTCCCAAACCAAAACGACGCGCCCGTCTCGCGCTCTCACCGCACACCACCGCCAGCCTGCGACCATCCGGCGACAGCGTCATGCTCTCCACCGGGTGCCGCAGCGGCAGCCCGCCCGCCCCCGTGACAGGGGAGCTGTCCAGCGGGGTCTCTCCGCTGGCGCCGCCCACGTCCCACACCCGCACCACACCGGGGTTCGAGTGGTCTGCGGTGGCCAGCAGCCGCCCGTCTGCGCTGTAGCTGAGACTGGTTACGGGGCCGGCCATGCCTCGGAGCAGGCCGATCTGGTTGGATGGAATGGGGGTGGCATACGGGTTGGGAGTTAACGGAAGTGTGGGATGAAGAAGGGATGGATTGAGGGCAGGTACTGATGCGTCGTATTTGGGTTGTGGTTGCCGCTTAATGCAGTACATACAGTCAAGCACGCCTGCATTGCATTCGTGCACTGAACCCGATAAAAGCAAAAGGCCCCCGTTGCTTACACAAACTCCCTAAAGCGGAAAAGCCGACACACGCATACCTTGCGCTGGGTTCGTGGGGACCACAGGCGGACGACGCCATTGCCGCAAGAGTACGACATAAGCGGTAGGCCGTCCTTGCTGCCGTCTCCAAGTCCAGCAGTGGAGTAGGGGTTACGTACCAGCTCCACTGGGCTAATGGTTCCAACGGGAGCCACATGCGCTCCCACAGAAACCGCAGTTAGGTTCGCGTAGGCTCCAATGCTAAAGTCCAGTGCCGTTCCACCGGCCTTGGGAGGAGCGCCGGCTGCGGAGGCTGCGGCGCCCGAGGTCATCGCGGCGGCAGCAGCGGGGCCCAGAACAGCGCCCGCAGCGGATGGTGCTGCGGAAATCCTGCCAGCAGTCGCCGTGGCTTGGCGGCTAAGGGCTCGTCGGGACAGAGACGGCGTCAGCGCACGAGCCGACGACGCGGACCGCAGCAGCGGCGGCGGCAGCATCCAGGGCGGCGGCGGCGGGCTGAACTGTACGGCGTGTACGGCGCCCTTTCCTGCTCCGCCGAGAATGAAGAGCTGGCGGTAGTCGGATTGCGGAGTCTTGGGGTCGTCCCACCAGGTGCGTACCGTCTCGTCGGCTGATCCGGTGACCATGTTGCCATCAAGGGTGGAGAACACGAGGCCGTTCACACGGGCTGTGTGGCCCTTGAGGACCTGGGGAGGGGAGAGGAGTTGGGGGAAGGGGGATGGTGGGTAGCAGCGGAAACATGGAAGGGGTAACAGCGGCATGCCTGGGTTGCTGTTTGTCTTCGGGGGTACAACACGGCGGTGGGGTAAGTGCAGGCGGCAATACCCAAAATGACAGCCCACGCACCTCAAGCTCCTTGGGCGGGCCTGCCTGGATCTTCCATACGTGGATCGTCAGGTCATCTGCGGTTGGGGAGGGCCCGGAAGCAAGCTATTTACATGTCCTGGCATGTCGCAACACATGCGGTGACAACTGACAAGGCGTAATACCCTACGAGCCCCTCCCTCCTAGAAAACCCCGTCACCCGTCTTACCCTGTCAATCCGAGCACTACTACTACCCAAACCCGCGTCCAACTGCCCCCATGACCTCCCTTGTGGTGCCCATTAGGACGGCTTTGTCCTTCCCTAACCCCCACACCCCATCACACCCCGCGCTTACCAGCCTTGATCAGTGCGGTGGGCACATCCCCCAGCTCGTCCTGCCCCACCGGCGCCCCTGCCCTGGGCGCCGCGCTGCCGCCCTCCCCGTGCGCCGCCACTAGGGTGGCCATGAGCGGTGGCAGGCTGAAGGCGAGTGCGGTGACGGGGCGGTGGTGCGACACAAAGGTGACGAAGAGGAGCTTGCCGGAGGAGAGGTCCCATACCCGCGTGGCGCCGTTGGCTGGGAGGAGGGACAGGGTGGTTGGGTGGGTTAAAAGTGATTGAAACGTGAAGCAACTAGTGTGTCGTGGGCGGGTGGGAGGGGGCGGTTAGGGATGTCTGGGATGGGGACGGGAAGAGAGGAGGGACAGGGTGGGAAGGAGAGGGAATGGCAAGGAGAGGGCACTCAGCTGTGCAAGCTGTGCTGCTGTGCAAAGCGAGCCCTCCCCTGACCCTCTCATCCACTACCAGCAGCAGTAGCCTAGCTCTCCAACAAGAGCCTCCTCACCATGCCCCGCCGCCACTCTGCCCCCCTCCGGCGACATGGCCAGTGCCGTGACGGGCCCGTCCGGGTCCCCTCCCTCCTCGCCCCCGCCCGCGCCCTCCTGCTGCCCCTCCTCCTCCTCCTCAGCCGGCTGCTGCTGCGGCTCCCCAGGCAGCGGCGCCAACACCAGCGGCGGCAGCTGCTGCTGGCTTTCCCGCCGTGCCTCTCCTTTGCCGGCCGCGGATGCGCGGTGCTTGTTAGTCCGCGGGGGCAGCCTCCGCAGCTCCATCAGTAGCCGGCCCGTGGACACCTCCCACACGAAAACAGAACCTGTGGCGGCGTTGTGCGTTGGAGTAGGGTACTTGTTTGCATGCATGTTCGTGCTACATTTCCCTGCATGTGTGGCACTTGGGTACAACAGCTGCAGCAAAGGTTTCTTGACGGTACTAAGTACTTGCTGACTGCTTGCGCTATCTCCACCACATCGTATCCAGTATTAGGCTCTTTACTGTAATACCATGCCCACATGAAGGCCCAAACCCGAGTACCGGCAACCTTCACACCACCGCAGCTACTTGACTACTCACGCGCTGCACAGATAAGCCTGCGCCCGTCATGTGTGAAGAAAGCGGCGGTGGGGTTGGGCCCCATGCCGTACGACTGGTCCATTGTCTGCAGCAGCCGCCCGCCCCACAGGTCCCACAGCAGCACGCCGCGGTCGCAATCTGCAGCGCATGCGTATGGTCATATGGTCATGCAAGTGACTACAGGGTGAACGGGAATGGTCCCAACAAGTAGGCCAAAGCCTCACCCGTTTACCAGGGAGACATTGCATTTCCTAGCATAACCGGACATCCCATCAGCACCGTTGCTTCGACGCACAAGGGCACATCTTCTCGACCACGGACCCCCTTACTACGCAAGCCCCACCAGCAACTCTGCCGTGAAACACACCACCCACCCACCATGCACAGTCGCCAGCAGCCTCCCCGCGGGGTGCAGCGCCGCATGCAGCACCCGGGCCGCCACGTTGGTGCGCAGCGACTGCACGCAGCAGGACCAGCGGTCGCCCGTGCTGAGGAGCATGAGGTGCTGCGGCTCTGCGGGACCGCTGGCGGCAGCAGTAGCCTGCGCCTCGTCCTGCTGAATGTTGCTGGCGGTGGCGGTGACGTCCGGTGGTGGCGGGTCGACGTCAGGCGCCCAGGGATCGGGACCAGCAGCAAGCTGCAGTGGTGGGGTGGGAGTCAAGGAACAAGGAGGCAGAAACAGGCGGGGTACGAGGAATTCCGCTTTGCCATGAAACGAAGAGAAAATAGCATGTGGGATGTTTGGCGCTGGCTGACGTGTGTCCCATGCTCCCTTGCGTGCGTATTATGGCAAGTGCATCTTCTGACACATATGATCGCCTGACACATAGCAACTAGACACGTGTCAGCAACAACAGCTCCCGCAGTGCTCACCTCCAACGCGCGAGTCCGTAACAAGGCATCCTCCGGCAGCGTTGCCATGGATGACACCACTGCCAGCGGGAACCAGCACAGCCGCGTGTGGTGCAGCAGCAACCAGCGCCGCACCTCCGCCAGCAGCACCGCCAGCCCGGACTCGGAAGACGACGGGTCGGCCGTCGGTACGGCATTGCTGTACGACGGCGCCGCCGCTAGCGCCAACACCGCCCATCGCGCGGCGTTGCCAGCTCCCGCCATGTAGATGCTCGTCCAGAGGTCCAACCGTTGCAGGAGCTGTTCTAGCACGGCTGGCCAGTTGACTTTAGCGACCGCAGATCCTGCATTTGCTGCGGCCGCAGCCGCAGCAGCGGCGATGGAGGCTGCACCACCGACACTGGGGCCGTAGCCTTCGTCGGCGGCGGTGGCGGCTAGAGCCGCCAAACCCACATGAAGGAAGAGGTGCCGTACACTGTAACCGCGCGGCGGCAACTTGGCACTGCTGCCTCCACGTTGTTGCTGCTGCTGTGATTGCAGCACTCCCTGTTTTGACTGATCTTGCTGCCCCTGCCCTTCCTGTGGTAGCTGCTGCGATTGTTGCGTTGGCTGCTGTGGCTGCGGCTGCAAGCAAGCGAGCACATCGTCCCGGCAGACGCCCGCAAGACCTCTGTGAGCGGCCATGACGTCTACCAGAAGCGTTCCGCTCAGCAGCAAGCGCGTACAGGGCTGGAGGATAAGATGTGGGGCACAAACAAATTCAGCCGTCGGCCAAAAAACTTGGCAACAGAAGAGGAACAGCGGTTATGTACCAAGTCATAAGTTGGCATGGCGCTTTCCGGAACCATTCCTGGATTCCGTTGGAGTTGCAAAAAGGTCCTGGAGTTCTCGACGTAACAAGTCGGTACGACCCTGCCTGTAGCGCAAGGCCCCACCCCTCACGTACCTGCAACCATTCTCCCACCACGGCATGTACCAGCACAGCCTCTCGCGTGCAGTGTCCCTGCTGGCCGCGCATCTTCACTAGCATGCCGAACCCCTTGAGGACCAACTCCGTCATGAAACGCTCAGTCGCCAAAGGCGGCGCTGCCGCCGTGGTCGACGCCGCCGCCGCTGCTGCAACAGCCTCCAGGGAAGCCTCCGCAGCAGGCGGCGGCTGCGAGGCCTGCGGCGGTGGCTGTGGCGGCGTTGCGACGGGAGTCTTACGGCTTCGAGACGCGAAGGACCTGAACCTCTTGGATGTCTCAGAGCGGCCGTAGCGCCGGGACTCATACCAGCTGAATTTGCGGGATCCCTCACCGCCGGCGGCGGCGTCAGTGTCTGCCTTGTTGCCAGCCCCGCCGCCGCCGGTGGCGACGACGCCGACGGCTGCCACCAGTTGTGCCGCCGTCAGGGGCTCTCGTGCCGCCACTAGTACGGCAAGCGTCTTAGCGGCGCGATGACGCTGCTCCGGAGATTCTAGCTGCCGAAGCCTGCATGTTAAAGGGAGGCCGCCCAACCACTGGTTAATGCACACCAGAGGGATATGAGCATATTGGGTTCAGGAACCCACAGGTAGCAGCTGGTGCTTTGTAACAGCGGTCTTAGTGCCCAGGGCCCCCATGAACTTCCACCGGCCTTTCGCGTTCAGCTCACCTCAGCTCTAGGTACCTCTCCATTAGGCCATGCAGTGTCGGAGGGAGGTCAGCCAGGTCAAGCTGCGGGAAGGGGGGATGCGGGTACCGGTAACGCAGGTGAGGGTGTATGTGTAATTGTGCATATGCAGTGTGGGAGGAGAAACCAACAGAAAATGGTTTACGACAGGATGGGCAGGGATGGGCCAACAAAAATTAGCACCCAAGCATTCCCTTTAACGGAAATCCAGCTAGCCTATACCCGATGGGGTCCTACCTTCCAGCGAGGTGGCGAGGCCCGCTTAGACACGCTTCTTGACATGGCGGCGACTCCACTGTTTCCTCCTCCACCTCCTCCGCCAGCACCGCCATCACCACCTCCACCTCCACCGTCAGCCGGAGCCGTGCCGTCTCCGCCTCCATCACCACCACCAGCAGCACCCTCTCTCCGCGCCATGCTCTTCGACACCGCTAGCGCACGCTCCGCATCCTCCGCCATCGCTGCAGTCGCCACTTGACGCTCCATTTCTAGGCAACTCAGCGCCAGCTTGACATATAGCAGCGACCCATGGGACCGTGCCATGAGCAGCATTGCATTTGCCGTACGCTGGCGCTGGGTCTGCGTCGAGTCGATGGATGCCAGGGCTAGTCGCAAGTTACGCATGAAGACCTTGGCCGGTCGGAGCGCCTCGGGTGATAGCTCCAGGGGCCCTACCTTGTCGGCAAGGCGAGCTACGATGTACGGAGATGGCCTGCTGGTGATTACCAGCCGTACAAATGAGGGCAGCTTGGGCAGCTGCTCCTCAATGAGTTGCAAGATCTGAGCGGGTAGGACAAGACGTACGGGCGGGGATCCATGTCAGATCTATAGTCTTCCCTGCCGCGCACCGGTGGCGGTTTATTTTTTTCAATGGGCGTTTTGCAGCTCCGAAATCGAGGATCACCCGTTGCAGCACCGCACATGGCTTTTGTAGGGTTTGCCCAACGGTACCGCGTGCAGCCCAAGCACAGCTGACCCATCAACAACAACCCAACAACAGTGACAAGTTGAGAAGTGCCGAGTTCCGTACACCGCTTGCCTGGTTGTCGTACGGTGCCGAGCCCCCCACGACGGCCCCATCCGCCTGGTCCACTCCGTCAATGATGAGGACAAGCGCCTGCAGATGTGGCGGAGGCGGTGGGGGAGTCATGTACAGCGGACACGATGTCGTTATCGGGTGAGACCGTGAGAGCAGGCGGGGGCGTGCAGTGCGGGATGGCAACCATACCTGACAGGCGCTGCACGCGCTGTAGGTAAGCCACAGGCGCTTACCGCCTCCGCGCAACGAACCGCAATGCACATTGCCACCCCTCACAGCGCCCAGCCGCATCACCCGCACCACAGCCGTCGCCTACCTTGGGTGCCGCCACCCGTATGGAGGGATTGCGGACGGACCGCCGGCCAGCCCCTTTCGCACCCATCAGCCCTCCTCCCCCTGCTCCCTCCGCCTCCTCCGCCTCCTCCAGCAGCTGGTCCCCTACGTTATACACGCCGCTAACTCCACCACCCCCAGCAGCGGCAGCAGCGGCAGCAGCAGGGGCCCCACCATCCCGCAGCCCACGGCCCCCGCCGCCGCCCCCACTGCTAGCTCCGCCGCCACTGGCAACGCCGCCGTCCATGATATCCGGTTGTAGTAAACGCTGACAAAAGGAAGGGGAAAACCCGTCTCATTGGTGACATATGGCCAAAAGAGGGCAATGCAGCAGCACGTCTGGTAAGCATGGTATCCCTACTTACACTCCCTTGACCGCCTCCTACACCTCATCATCCCTCCCAAACCGCAACCCACCTGCAGCGGCTGCACCAGCAGTGCCTCAACCGCCGCCTCCACGGCAGCAGCGCAACCGTTGTACGACATGAGGTCCGCAATCAACCCGACGGGCAGCATCTCGCCGTAGTACCGCAGCAGGCGGGGCCCTATGTCGGGCACTTGAGTGAGTTGCAGCGCTAGGGAGACCAGCAGCGTAATGGGGTCCAGCGTCCTGAGTTGGGGTTGGGGGTGTAGAGGAGATAAAACCATGTGACAAGTCGGGATGGGGTGTGGAGGGGTGGGGGCCAAAGCATGAGAATGGCGAGCGGAGAGAGGGTACAGTGGATGGTATGCGTCCCTGTGGATTGGTGGCAATGGTCGCGGTTGATGGGAGTTACTCGAGATGAAAAGAGAATCAGGGATATGGCACTGGCAAGGCCATGGGAAGTTCATTGTCGAGGGATTTATTGATGAGGTATTAGTCCAGCCAGCGGTCCTCTCCAACCTTGCATCAGTCATATGGCAGAAGTGAGCAGCCACAGGCACGCCCTGCGACCGCAGACGTGTCGCCACCGCAGCAGCTGCAAAACTTTTGCCGGTGCAGGCAGGACCGTACAAAGCCATCGCCTGTACGGCAAATCAAGGGCCAAGAGGGCAACCAAAAAGGTGTGATGTAAGTGGGTAAGATTTGACGTGGTGTTGACGTGTTTATCGCCCACTCCTTCGACACCATACGTTGATATGTACGAATGAAGAATGGTAGGGGCAATGCTAGTCAGTCCAAGAGCAGATGTTAAAAGTCCTCAGCCAGGGATGAGGGGCACGAGCCCGCAACTGACCGCGTAGTTTGCGTCGGACTCCGGCAGGCTAAGCCAGTCATCCAGGCGGCTCATGTCCCAGAGCTGCGGAGCCTGGAGGAAGACAGTTGAGGGGAGCGAGGTTAGGAACAGGAGGCGCACAGCCACGGTTAGGATGGAACAGGGAGCGTACAGACAGGGTAGCATAGATGGATGCAGGTAAGAGCAGCGTAGAACAGGTAACAGGTTTGTTAGGAACAGCAGGAAGCTTCACGCGTCATGGCAGTCCTACCTTCACAACAGGCCCCGGGTGTAGGTCGGGAGTCACGTCAGGCACCAGCGGCTGCGGTGTGCGAAAAGGGGATGCAGGGTGTCAGGGGATGCAAGGCATCTTTCCACTATGAAAGGGGTGTGCAGTCTAAACTTTTTCATTTGTCTGACTGCACTCGAAAGTGGAATGGACGTTGACCAGCAGAGTTGACCAAGCATGTTTCAAACCTCATGTTTTAAAGGCACGCATGCGCTCTATGAAATCCCTTACCTATTACATTTATCGGGGCTACGCACGCCTTTTCTATCAGCTACCCGTATCCAGTCCTACAACCAAATGTTCAATGTTCGCGCGCCCATCTTCCACCCACTCCCAGTTCCCACCTACCTGCAACCCCAGCGCCAGGCGCAGCACGTAATTCACCCGGTCCAACCCGCCCGGACCCGCCCAGGCCCGCGCAGCAGCCAGCAGCGCGTCCTGGTCCGCTTTGAGCTTGCAACGGGAGTTGCGGATGTCGATCTGTAGGCGGACATGCCGGGCAGGCGAACAGGATGTTACTGTGCACCTTTCCTTCTGCCCTCACCTCCACTGCATGGGGGCTCGTGTGCCCATTGTCCAGCCCCGCCTCATCACAGGATGCTCGCCCGACGCCATGCGTTCATGCCGCCAACCCACCTTGCAGAACAGCCTTGCTCGCTCCTCCGGCAGCAGCAGCCGCGGGTACAGCGCCGTCACCCCGATGCTTCCGCCCGCCAGACCAAACCAGCCTGCTACTCCCCCTCCACCTTGCTGCCCTTCACCTCCAGCCCCACTCCCCGCTCCTGCGCTTGTTGCGGGCCCAGCTGCTGCGGCTGAGGGTCCCCTGGGAGAGGTCTGCTGTGCGCCGGCAGCTGCTTCAGCAGCTGCCGCCGTGGAGGTATCGCCACCAGCAGTAGCAGAGGTGGCATCCATGGTTTCCGCCACGTAGTAGGTAGTTGCCGCATCCCCGCCTGAGACAGGAGCTGCGGCTGCTGCTCTGCTGTCTGTTGCAGTTGACGGTTGAGGGGTGGTTGCTGCCAGCCAGGCCTCGTAGAGGCACCAGGTGCGGCGCAGGGCGATGGCGCTTTCGTCTATACAGAGCAGCACGCCAGCTGAATTCTGTGAGGGGGTTAGACGCAGGGCGGATGAGGGGTGGGGAGGTTAACGCCTCTCATTATAGAACAGGAGGAGGAGGACAGGAACTTCAGTTAGCGCACATTCGGCAGACGCTGGTCGGCACGGCGCATGCTGGCCGATGACTCTGTTTGCAAACCAGAAGCCTGACGCTTTTCTTTCTCCACCTCCTCACCTTGATGGCAGCATCAACTGCAGCCATGTCTGGCCCCCCTTGAACCTCAATCGCCAGGTTGTACTGTCGTACGGCAAGAATGTCGATCCAAACGTACACTTCTTTGGGATCCCAGCCCCGAAAGTGATGCGTCAGCATGGATACCGTCTCTCGCAGCGGCCGACTCCAAGCGTGGCTAACGAAATAGTACGGCCGTCGGCTGCCGCATGGCAACGTGTGAGGAGCTGCTTCCTCTTTTTTCACATAAGGCCCTGCTACGTCTGCTGTAGCAGGTACTATTACGTTCAGTACGACACTCCACGTGGGCATGTCCGGCTCTGAAGCCGGCAGGCAGTCTCTTACAAACTCCTGCAGGAATGACAGTCGTACTGCGCCCGTAGTGGCTGTAGCCGCAACTGTTCCGGCTTCATCGCCTGCCTCTGCTGCTGACCCCGTTTGCTGGGGCAGCAGTCTGCGGGTATGGGGACAAGGGGGGAAACGACAACGGGGAAACGTTTGACCAGTGATGCTGTAAACCCCGCACAACCACACCCGTAACTTCATGCATAACCCCGGGAGCAGGGTGCCGTGCAGTGCTCGACCACTTTCATCATTTACCACTGGCCACAGCCATAATCCCCCCCTGCGCCCCGCCTGCCCTACCGGTCAAGCCCCTGCTCCTCCTCATCCGTCCAGCTCACGTATAGGTGCCAGTAGGCCTCATCGTCCTCCTCCTGCCAATAGGCCAAGCACCGAGGCAGGGTGGGGAAGGCAAGGAGCAGCACAGCGTGGATTTGGCGACCGTTGGCTACGGTCGCCAAATCCACCGACCAACAAGCTGTGCGCTGCTGCATCTAGGGTCGGCGCCAGTCACCCTTGCGCACACCACTTTGCCACAGAACGCACAGCCCAGCGCTGGTGGAGGTACTAGGTACCACCACTAGGTACCTCCTCTAGGTACTAGGTACTAGGGCCATGGGGAGGGTTGCGCTAGCAATGCTAATTAGGATCCGTGCATTAGAGCATGCCTAGGCCGCGGAAGGGTCGCTAGTTAACATAGCGGAGGGCACACAAGCAGCGACAGCGCTGGAGCTTGACGCCATGTCGCGGAGGTTTTGGGTACTCGTGAAAGCAGGAGCGAGCATTTAGGTGAATGCGTTGTTATTGTGGGGAAAAAATACAGTGGACAGGGCAAAAATACATAGGAGGATGGCAGTCGACGATCGGCAAGCTTTACCTGCACAATCGGCTGTACCGATACGCTGGGCGAGCGAACCGATTTGCTCGTGCCGCATCCCATTCCTATGAGCTATGCGGCATAAGGTGTCCTTACTGGAGGCCCTTCCGCATTGGAACTGAATGCTTAATACAAGGTATTCGGGAGGAGTGTAAACTAAGCATGCATTTACCCAGATTAAAGCGGTTACGTGAAGGATAACAAACGGCGCATCTGCTCGAATGTAAGCATGCTTCGTCGCGAAGTAGTGTCCACGCACTCACTTCGAGCTAGAGAAGCGAATATGGTCGACTATGCCGCATTCATGTAAGTTGTATGTACTATTTCATAAAAGTTGCTAAATTAACTTTATCACCAGTGCCCTGTTTGGGTTCACCATCTCGTCGTCCGTAACAAGTAAGGACCTAGCGACGGCTCCAGCTGTCACCTCAACGAACATCCTTGGGCTAATGCGACTTTTACCTATGTTTATGTGACTTTCCCGAAGTTCTTTCTGTTGCTGCTGCGGGGGGGCTAACAAACGAGTACCATGTATGGAAGACTATATGCCATTTGGCAACCAAGTATTCATCTCTCACGAGGCTAAGCATCACAGCATACTCAGGACGCAATCGATGATAAGGATGGAAGCACCATGATTGGCGCGAGGACTTGGACTACCTCACAATGGACCCGGGGGTCCCCCATCAATGTGCAAAGAGCGAACGTTATGCAGAGTCTGGGCTTCTGCCTTGCATGTCCCACGTATATAATAGCAATAGTCCGTAAGCGGCACTCATTGGATTACGGACGACGCGACGACCCCTGCACCCGTCGCTGTGGTGAAAGCTTGCCGGAACTGTTCTTACGCCCCAATCAACTTGTGGTAATGCATACTGGAAATCCTTTCTTTTAGGAACTAGCCAGAAGCAGAATACCATAGTACTAAACATATCCCTTACAGACAGTTTCGTCACATTCAGAGACGCACGAGCATTATGCACCCAGCTAGGAAAGCAAAGGATCAGCGCAAGCTGACGTATCCTAGTTATCGCATACCAAAGTTTTGGTGGCAACCTATCTGGGTCGGTAGGCGAGTGGAACCAGGACGATACCCACAAAAGGAAACTACCAAAGATTATTCCTAGCATCCTAGGTAAATCCTATTTAGTTTGCCAGCATTAGCTTACACAAGACTACAGGAGGGTAGCCCGAAAATGCCTCCTTATGACTCTGGGTCACCGCTGAAAGAGTATTGTGTTTGTAACCGCGCCTTTTCTTCAATCAACACTTGGAGTCCTCTGACGGTGTGGGCAGTTAGATAGCGCGGGGGAGCGACTGGACGAATGGCTGACGATGGCCAACTTCTGCCCCTGGTATGCTGGGCATCTATCCTGTCAGCATGCAAACAGTACCAAAGCTATGCTGCGTATGATGTTTGTCGTCGCGAGTGGCCCGACTATTCTGCTTCATGCTGTGTTCTTTACTTGCGCTCCTTCTCACCTTGCATAACTGAAAGAATAATCCAGTGCGAAAACCTTGAGCTTCTGTATGCCGAATGTATAAGCCTTTAAAAGTTCACTAAAATTCGATGGACGACTCCTGCGATGCTTGCATGTCTTGGTCCTTGTACACAGCTTACGGATGCGATAGCAGCGGTTGATTGTTTGCTTGCGGAGGTGGGCTGTGCGGAGCCCACCAGGAGCTCTTACCAAGGCGTGCTGTACCCGCCTTCCACCCCAGCACAGCAGGTCTGTTTCCTAGTCCCCTGATCACACATCTGCGCACGCCTAGCTTTTCTTGGTCTCCCCTTTTTTCCTGGGACTGCATTCCGGCTACTGCTGTGGCTCGGGAAGCGGAGGCGCTTCTAAAACAGACGGGGTGCATGTAGAGAGGTGCTGCTAACAAGAGCCACGGCGGCACCGCCGCGCATGCGTGTATTACTAAGCCGTGGGCCCGAAGGGAATTGGATTACTGGAGCGTAACGCCCACACTCCCCTTTGTCTTGCGGTCTAAATCGCCTGCACACGGTAATGTGCCATGTGTTGCATCTCGCATGGGGCTTTCCGACTTTACCGTAATACATACCCTCACCCCTCCAAACACTACCCTCCAACTTCTTCCTCGGTTATGCAGGTCTTTGACGGACTTTCCACTTCCGCACAAGCCTATGAGCCGAACACAGGCGAGCAAGGCGGCCTCAGCGCCGTAGAGCTACAGCAGCTTCGATGCCCACACCGTGCATGGAACAGCAATCTCCCCAGCTGTCCGCAATACTTGCAGTCCAGCTGTGCTCAACCGCACAAGGACCCCGCCATAAATGGCCAGGAGCCTAGCAACACATGGTACGGCAGCAGCGGCGGTGGCGGAGGTAACGCAGCGTACGGCCTTGCAGGAACGTTGCCACCGCCGTTATCCACACCCGGGCAGCAGCAAGGATGTACGGCAGCGGGTCCGTGCGGTGGGGGCGGTGGCGGCGCCGGTCAAGCCGGAAGCGTGTTTGTACGGCAGTCGTCGCGAGCGTCTTCGTCGCCGCCGTCGTCGCTGCCGTTACCACTGCTGCAGGCGCAACCGCAAGTGGTGTGGCCGCTTCTGGCTTACAGCCAGGAGCCATCTGGGGTAAACGCCGGCGAGGACATTTCTTTTCATGGGGGGCATCACGAGAAGCTCGAGCAGGGTTGCAAGCGCACTGTAGAGTACGGCGGCAGTAGCGTAGGTGTCGGTATCCACGTTCGCGACACGACAGACGTACCCGCAGCAGCTGCAGCAACAGAAGGGACAGCGGCATCAGCAGCTGCTGCAGCTACTACGCTGCCATCGTCGCCGCCGACGCCTTCGCCGTCCGTGTTACCCTTGCCGGCCGTCGGCAGGGCCCCAGGAGCAGCAGCAACGGAGACGATGGGGTCCAGCGGTCCTGCATGCCCCAGCCGTGCATCCTTCCGTCGCGCCTCCGTATCTGGCCAAAGCCAGGGGCACATGCAGGCTCATGTTGGCCAAGACCACGCACACGGCGATGACGAGGACTTGCTGCGTCGAGCCCTTAACCATGAGGCTGCAGCAGCGGCAGCAGCAGCAGCGGGACCGGCAGCTGCATCCCGGGCCACGGATGGAAGTACTGCCCGTCTTCACACCGGGGCTGTAGACAGTAGCCGCCGTATTGGGCAGCAGGTGCCGCTGCCGCACATGCCAAAGATGGATGGACCCATGGGTCGGCGGCGCAGCGCATTCGTTGGTGTGACTCCGGAGCAGGATGAGCTGCTTGCGAAGGCGGTGGAGCGGGTTCGGCGGTCTGAGGTGTGTCGTTAGGCACGACCAGGGAGGGAGGGCGCTGTCTGACGGTCCGGGTTTAGGGTGCGGAGGGGCAGATTGATGCTCTACACCGGCCCATTCGGAAGCCAGTTAGTCCGGCACTGGTTTCTACAGGCAGGCCGCGAAGGGAAGCTCAACGCCGCGCTCACCGGTTTCGGCTCACTCATCATATGCATCTTGAACGCAGGACTCGTCTCGTCGTGGCGGCGACAGCGGCGCCGTTGGCGGCATTAACGGCAGCATTGGAGGTTCGAGCCTAGACGGCGGCGGCGACTTCTCCGTACGGCGCGGCGGCAGCGGCTTCGCGGGCAGCGGTGTCAGTCGGCGGTGCATGCGTCCGTCGGGCATGGTTGACGACGTGCTTCAGGGCGGGGGCAGCCAGTCGGTTGCGGGGGACGAGCCAACTGCGGTGGGTTGCATCGGTTCCCATTCCGCTCTGCTGGGCTCAGATAAACTGTGCCGCTCTGTTCTGCTGGGCTGCATGCTCCCAGCACTTGGTGCAAGAGTAACGGGCTCCGTTTCCTTGCCATTTCTGCTTTACTAAACCGTACTGGGAATCCCGCCACAAGCATTTCCCCTACCTTAGCAAGGACGTTGCACTTCCTATGCTGCTCCCATCCTGGAAGTTTTTAATTATATGCCATCACACACCTAACCCAATCCTCCCCTATCCCTGTCTGCTGCTGCACATGCGCTTGGTTGGGATTGCAACGCTATCTACCAGCGTCAGCGCTCGGGCTCCCAGCGTGTAGGCCTACCGCCACGCGGCGGTGTGCCGCTGGCTCCGTTGCGGCGTCGTGACACACTCTCGGGCGGCGGCGCCACCCCGGGCAGCGAGAAGCTGCTGGCAGGCATCTTTGCGAACGGCGGCAGCGGGCCGAGCGGCACGACAGGCGGCGTTCCGGGAATAGGGCGGGATCACGGTCTCCAGTTGTGGTGGGTTGTGCTGCAGGGGCTTCAGCTGCCGGGAGCGGGGAGCCCACTTCTACATTAGGAGCGGGCGCGTTACTACGGTGCTAGCGGTTTGACTGTTTCCTAGCGGGCTTTGCTGCGCGCACTTTGTGGTGATTTCGACATAGGTTCATTCAATGCATGCTTGCATGGGGCTGCCGTCTGGCTGGAAGCCTAGAACCCTGTGCCCCGCCTAGAGTGCCCATCCGACAAGGAATCTGAAGATTCACCACCGCCACTCACCACATCACAACCCACCTGCTGACAACACAAACCCCAGGGCCGGCAACAAGTCGCGGGTGGAGAGGGCGCGGCTGGCGGTGCGCCTGCTGCAGGCGTCCGACCTCAGCCGCTCGCAGCAGGACAAGCACATCGACCCGTACGCTGTGGTGTCGTGCGAGGACAAGCGCTACACATCCAAGGCTGTCATGAAGGCAGGACCAGGGGGACTGTACGCGGGGGCTTGAGAGTCGCCAGGATGCTGTGCATGGACGTCGTGCTGTGTGGTACTTACGCTTCCATTGCGTACTTGCCTGTGCACCGTTGCGTGCGAGGTGGTAAGGGGTGCTTTACCGGTAGCAGATGCCGGTTGGTTAGGCTGCGTATACCGGTAATAGATCTGTTGTTGCGCCTGGCGTCTGATTGCCGTCTCAACAACTCGTCTCCCACCCGCAGAGTAAGGATCCGTTTTGGGACGAGTTCTTCATCTTTGATGTACGGCAACCCGCATTTGCCGTACTCAAGATCAAGGTGTACGACCATCTGCGTTGTTGGAGGCCCGGTAGGCTGCTGGGTGTGTCCCGGGGAGGCTGCCGGCGGTCCATTGGGCCTAAGCCTGGGGGGAATGCACGGCGGGGCTGGTGGGGTTTGGGGGACCACCAGCGGGACACCGTGTGTTTGCCTCGCGTCATGCTCTCGCTGGTGTTCTCTGCGGACCCGTTACCTGTAGTGTCACTCCGGTACATCCTGCTGCTCAAATCTCCCCCGCCCTCCGCGGGGGTTCTTCTTCGCAGCCTTCATGGGCCACGTGCGCATCCCAGTGAAGTCCATTGCGGAGTTCCCAGCCCGCTACTCCAGCCCATCCCTACATGCGCTCCGCTCGCGGGCGGGCAAGCTACGGGGCCACGTGCACATGCAGATATTCTACACAGCGGTAGGTTGGACCCGTGGGTCGCTGGCATGCATAGAGGGACTTCGGCCTCGTGTGCTTGTTAGACACCTAGAACCCAAGTTTCAAAAGGGGTTGGTTGGAAAGGGCCCCCGGCTGCCAACTCAGCTGCCCGTGTCTGCGAGTGCCCCGGCCCCTGCGTGCCGGTATGTGTGCTCGCCCGCCCCCTACATCCCGCCGCCTTTCCCGCGCAGGAGTGGGTTCATCGGCCTCTCCGCGTGCTGGCTGCCACCTGGAATGTGGGCAACGCGGAACCGCCCCCGGACCTCGGACCATGGCTGCAGGTGCGGGGCCGGCCGGGGCTTCTGTGGGGGCGTTCAGTTAAGAAAACTGGTCGCGTGTGCGTGGAGTTGGATGATTGGATCAGATGCGGCTATAGGTCTGGGCCAAGGGTTGGTTGGGTGGGACGGTGAAGAGTAGAAACTGCCGAACCAGCGTAGGCAGATGGCATCGTGGCGTGTGAATGGTTGGTCCATGTATTGTTGTGCCGTCTTCCCATCGCTCCCAATGTCCCAAGTCCTGCCTGAAGTACTTACGGCTGCTAATGAACACCCGTTCTGTGCCATCTTACGTACGAACCCTCCCCATTTGCCACAGGGGATAGAGACGCTGCAGCATGATTTGGTGGCCATCGGAGTGCAGGTGCGGCCGACGCGGTTAGGGGGTGCTTTTAGGTTTACCATGGACCCATGGGTCAGCTTGTAACCTACTTGCGCTACAGCTGTAAGTGTTCCCCACAGAATCGTACTTGGGGTTTGGCAACGTGTGCCGATGTCGACCACATATCACCCATTCACGCTCAATCAACAGCTGCATTAAGCCTTCTTTTGCTTCCTCTGTCCCGTTCCCTATGAAGGAGTGCTTGTACAAAGTGGGCACGGGCGGTTTGGACCCCGGGCAAATCCCGGAGGAGGAGTTCGTTCCAGGAGGTGGCCTGACGGGAGAAGAGGTGAGGTGGTCCTTGCAGAAGTGAACCATGGGTCTCTTTCGTAACTGTGAGTACGCTGTAGTAACGGCGCCTACAAAAAGGTGCTACCTGCACTCTCGAGCTTACACCACCAACGGTCTCAATAAGCACTCCTGCTATATGCAAGTGCTGTGCCTCACCTACCTCCTACCTGCTATCACTCCAAAAACGAGAGCACCAATGCAACCCTATGCATCTCTCTGCCCCGCCCCGCCCCCGGCAGGACGGCGAGATGGACGTGAGCTTCAGCAACGGCAGCACCAGCCGCAGCCCCAATCACGGCCGGCAGCGGGACAGCGGCGGCAGCTGCCGGCAGCGCCCCCAGCAGCTGCACCCACAACTCCAACAACAACATCACCAACACCAAAACCAGCAGCAGCCCAACCACCCTCATCAGCAGCCTGCAGACCCGGCAACAGCAACGAGCCCCTTCACTCGCACCTCCGACTCCCAGTCCCACGGCAGGTATCCCATCCCCATTCCCATCCCCTTTGTCACGCGCTTCCGCCGAGATCCGGGAACGCACACCGCCCCTGCTGTTGTCGTACCGGAATCACTGTACGGAGGCGGCAGCGGCGCTGACGGCGCCCTCAGTTCGCCGGGTAGCGGTACAGCAACGCGCGAGTCCTCCGCTACAGGACTGGGCGCAGCCATTGCTGCCGCCGCCGGCGGCGGCGGCAGCAGCAACGGCTCAGCCGCCGCTGCCACCATCGCCGCATCAGCGCCGTCTTCCTTTACTCGCCGCCCTCGTGGGGGCGCGGGCAAGATGAGGGCCAGGAGCCATCTGCACCTGTCACTGACGCCCGCGTCGCTGTCAGGAGGAGGAGCAGCGGCAGGCGGTGGCATGGGAAGCAAGCCGTCAGGTGGGCAAAGCGCGTGCGCACATGGTAACCGCAATGCAGCCGTCGAACTAGCCATCCTCCCTTTGCTGTAATCGTTGTAATGCAGAAGCTTTTACGTCCGCCCGCACGCTTTTCAACCACCTGTGCAGCCGGGCAGGAGCCGGGGCCTAACTACTAAGGGCACTGCCCACCCGTTCTTATGCTTGTTTTCATGCTACCGGTATTCAATCCTTCCCACTTCGTGCACCTCCGTGTCCCTCCGTGCATAGATCCCGGCGTCTCCGGCAACGGTCCGCTGGGGCCGCCTCCATCCTTCGCCGCCTCTCGCCGCCGTCACAGCGCATTGGAGCCGCCGCAATCGACATCTCCGTACCTGCCTCCGCATCTGTCGTACCGCCCGCCTGCGAACTTTGCGCCGCTACGTACCGCCTCGCTGCACTACCAGTGGCAGCAGCTGGGGCTGTCGCAGGTGCGATCGGGACCCCGCTTTAGTGAGTTTGCAAGGACAGATCGGGGCGGCGGAGTCATTACCGTTTCACCGCCCCCTACTGGCACCCAACTTACTCCTGCTCACCGCGCTCATTCTTCCTCCCCTTTCCCCATCCCTTCCCCAATTGCAGTCCGGCCTAGATACCATTCAGTCCGCAAGCGCCGCCATGAGTAGCGGCAGCAATGTCATCACCTCCCCCAACATTTCCTTGCATGGGGCCGTCACGCCCTCCATCCCCTCCATGGCCGGCCTCTCAGCCAGCGGCACGGCGCTCCCCAGCACCGCTCCTGTGATCAGCCCACGCAACTCCTTGCAGCTCTTGCAACAGCAGCAGCAACAACAACAGCAGCAGCAGCAACAACAACATATGATGCTACTTCATCAATCTTCCACTGCGGCGGTGGGCAAGGGCACGACTCAGACTATCAAGAGCAAGGGAGTGCTGACGGACGTGGCGAAAGTCGGAAGTGAATTCCGGGAGATGTGGGAGGACCGACTAAAGGTAATGGTGCGACACGGCGTATCTGAGCGTGTCACGCAGCCCTGTGTTGATGCTCTCGGTGTCGTATACAGCCACCGTTGGTCTACAGCTGAGCGCTGGGGTGCTTACAGCAAACCTGTGAGGGCTGTGACTAATCCTCACATCTACTCTTGCAAATCGGGTAACAATACCTGACACTCCTGCTGCTTTTTATTCAACGTTTATTCCTTACGTCTGCAGGAGGCCGTGGGTCCGGGCTACTACCTGGTTGCCTCCGTCCACATGGGTCAGATCCGGTTGCTGCTCTTCGCGCGCAACGACGTGTACGCCGCCATATCCAATGTGCGGACCGGCAAGCAGCCTACCGGGGTGGCGGGAGTAGCCACAAACAAGGTGCGCGTGGGCATGGGTTGTAGTGACTTATGGTACCTGAAGGCCTGCATACGCTGTACGTGTTTTAAGGTGTACGGTGTGCGAACCTGTGTATGCGTATGGGGACTTGCTTTGATGTGGTCTCAATTCTGCTGGATGGTCGCAGGGCGGTGTGGGCATCAGCCTCAAGGTGTGGGAGACCACCATCGCCTTCGTCAACAGCCACTTGGCAGCCCACCAGGACAAAACACGGTACGACACCCTGCGGCAAGGCGTACAGTGGTGTGCAAAGTCGTAGCTAGAAAGCCCCAAACAACTGAGCAAGGCGATGTACACCTACAACCTACTGCTGTATATGACTCATGTACTAACATACCAGCAACATAAATCTCATAGCTATGCCGGCCATTGTGCTGAATGCCGGATAGCCGTCCACGCGTGCGCTACCTAAAGCATTATGCTTACCAAAGCCCACCGGCTGTTGCTAACCGCCAACTGCCCAACCGCCACCCCAACCGTTCTGCAGCGCCCGCAACAACCACTACCGAGACATCATTCGCGGCCTCAAACTGGACTGGCAGGGTTCCAACATGGACGTACTCACGGCGTTCCACCACGTGGTTTGGATGGGGGACCTGAACTACAGGTGTGTAGGCTACAGGACTTCTTGGGCCCTGTTGGATTCAATACTACCAGGAGGGGGCCTGACTGTCGATGTGATAATGGAGGCGTTGAAACGCCGTGCGCTAAGGGCTCCAGCTTTGCGCATAGCCGGGTAGCGTACCGGTATGTGTACCGGGGTACATACCGAATCTGGCCACCCATAGTCATCGTCCCAAGACCGCTTCAAGCCTTCGGTCAAAGCAAGACCGACGCTGTCGTGACGCTGAACTGTCTTTTGCCTGCGAGTAGGAATGCCCTGGATTGTCGGAAAATAATGTCCCCACCCAAACACCACACGGTGTATGTGCCTGCGGTATGTGTGTTAAGTAAACTGGCCGCGAGTCGAAACGTTCTGTGATTGTCGGTATGTGTGCGTGTGTTTCTGCGCAGGCTGGACTACGGGCAGCAGGCGCTCACCCCCACGGAGAGCCCCACCGCCGCGGACTTCGCCTCGCTGGTGGGGGACGTGCAGCGGGGCGCTTTCGCGGAGCTGCTGAAGGTGGACCAGCTGAAAGCCGAGATAGAGGGGCAGCGGGCCTTCCTAGGCTTCCACGAGGGGGATATCAACTTCGAGCCGAGCTTCAAGGTAATCATATCTTCATACGTGCATATGTGCTCTCTTACTTGCTGTGCGATCGACACTTGGATCACTGCTCATGTGTACTTGGAGCTCCGCATACGTTCCATCATGGGCCAATCTACTGCAGCAAGGCCCCACCTTGGAACCTTTCCTTGAATTTCAAACAACGTTAAGGCTTACGGACTTCCACCGCTTGTCGTACACATCAGGTTCGACGTCATCGGGGCCATGAGTACAACCCGCAGCGCAGCCCGGCCTATTGCGACCGCATCCTATACAGGTGGGGCCGTAGGGGATGGTCGAAGAGCCGTTAATTTACTCCGCCTGTATGCATTTAATAATGTCGCGAGGGCCGCCTGGCTTCACGACCTACCCATTCATGCACAGGTCGAACCTGCCACTCAAGCAAATCCGGGTCAAGTCGTACTTCAGCCCTGCCGACATCAGCACCTCAGATCACAAGCCCGTCGGCGCCATCCTGCTCGTGCCAACTGTTTGGCGAACGACGGTGCAAGAGGAAGATGCCGCTGTCGGCAGCGGCAGCGGTGGGGGCGGACTACACATCGGCCGCTGGAGCTTCGGCGGAGGCGGCGGCTCGCCCACCGACCCAGGCCAGCAGCACCATCAGCGTCACAACCCCTTGTTCTCTGGGGGCTTTGGTTTCGGAGCCTCCCACCACCTGCACCTGCCACGCCCCTCCCTGGGTCCGCGGGGAGGCATCTCCGGCAGTTGGGGCGGTGCCAGCAGCAGCAGCGGCGGCGGCGCCAGGAACTCGGCGGCTGCATGCGGACCGCAGATCCGAGTCACCTTCGTGTATCTGCGCGCTCGCAATCTTTTCATGCTTCGTTCGCGGCGCATGTCGGCTGTAACGGCTGCAGAGTTCCCCAGTCCGCAGCTTCTGCTGTCCGGTCCCTGCATGCGTGACGCCGTGGTTCGAACCCGGGTCGCCTCCCAGACGCGGGAGCCGGTTTGGGCTGATCCCGAGGATGCAGACCTCGAGCCCGTTGTGGTGGACCTCAAGCTGGCGTCCATGGCGGAGATGGCGCACTTCCGGCTCTGGGCACGGGTCATGGATCAGCGCAGCGGCGATCGCGGTGGCGGCCGCCACGGATCAACCGGCGGCGGCGGCGGAGCGGCAGGTCACTCCACACGCGGTGGCGGAGGTGGCGGAGGCAGTGTCGGTGGCGCGTCGGTGCGCGGCGGCGCTTCCGTGGGCGGCGGCGGCGTGTTGGCTCGCGGTGTGGTGCCACTGTTGGACGCGGTGACGAAGCTGCTTCAGGACCCGCAGGGGCTGGCGCCGTTCAAGGTGCGGCTGGAGCTGTGTGGCCTGCCCGCGGGCACACTGGAGGGCAGCATGAGGCTGGAGGTGAGAAGGGGGCGGAGGGAGGGCAGGGAGTGGGGAGCAGGAGGGGCATGTGGGGATAGAGGCAAGGGGGACAAAGGGGGCAACGGGGACGGAGGTTTGTACACGGAAGGTCACCGGGATAGCAGTGGCTGCCGATACCGGTACCTCTGGAGGTACTGCTGCCGGCTGGCCAAAGAAAGCAGAATCACATGGAATGGCTTGTCTGGGTCTAACCACTCGATATCGTCGTTAGCAGACTAAGAAGACGCTATACGCACACGTGCATATGCACTTTGCAGGTGGTCGAGCGCCAGAAGCAGTCGGAACAGACCCACGGGTCGTTTGGGCGGGGTGGCGACCATAACACCTGCAGTACCGACAGCCCCCAAACGCCTAGGTCACCTGATGCAGCTGACAGGGCAGGCAGCCACACCGCATCACCGACGTCACCTTACCCGGGTGGGGGCGGGGGTGGCGGCGGTACCGCGGCAGGCGGTCGGGGCCTGATGGCGTCCATTCGTCAGAGCTTTCGCCGACCCACTTCTTAAGGTGACATTGCTTTCTCAAGGTGGCGTAGTAGGTGATTTGGTATGTATGGAAAATTCAGGAATGGTGTGAATATCCCATGGCTTCAGGGATAAGCTAGAGGTACGTTAACTGCGAGCATACACTTGTCGTGACTATTGTGAGGTGACGGACGTGTGCAGGTGGCGAGGGTCGTGGGAGTGGCTGTGATCCAATATGGCATCTTATAGGGAAGCTAGTGCAAGCAAATTGCTGCATGCGAGGGGACAGCAGGCAGGGGCCAGAAGGGCGCACTCCTCCAATGTGCGAAAGGAGGAGGAGCGCCGGGCTAGTGATGGAGTTTGTGCGTTTGAGGGGGTTGTGCTGGGCTGGCGGAGGGAGGGTGTCAAGTGCGCAGGCGTTCCGAGTGTGTGCGCTGAGGGGGAGTTGGGTCCGAGGGCTATGAAACGTATCATGGAGGGAGCTGCAGACTCAAGTCATGTGTTGGTGCATTTTTGAAACCATCAAATATCCAAATCCTAACCCACACCAGATGTCAGCTGGGTGAGGCACATGGGTGCTTTGGGTGTCGATCCCCTGTGACAGATCGACCCCATACTTTGCAAAGGCTGAGACTGCATATCAGAAACTCAAGAGACAAGTAAGGGGCAGGATGCGCGGAATTGCGATTAATGTGTCTGTCGGCATCGCTTTGGCAGCTGTCGTACACTAAACGCTGTGAAGTAAGTGCGTGCTGCGATGACCGGGCCATTAAAATCTGGCATTCACTCCGACGACGATGTGGGCTTATGGCTTTACGCATCGTTATGCTGTGATGAGGTCCAAGCACTGTGGCTTATTTAGCTATCATTACATAGTAGTGGTCGTGCACTGGTATACTTGAACTTAGCTGCGCTGGGTTGCAGCTGCGTATTGGGTTAAGGCTTCGAATGGGCACTGTGGGCGCTGCGCCGCGTGAAACTGTACGACACGAGATTGTACGAGCTTGTGTGCCTATGTCCAGAATGCACGAGATGCAAAGTCATTCCCAGGTGATTGCGAGCTTATGCCTGGGGCGTGAGCGTGGCACAGTGCAGGAGCTATGTCCGTTCAGATTCTGACTTGGTTGACCTTTCACCTTATCAGTGTGACCGTGGAGGGTAGTTTTCGGTGAGTTCAGTACCTTACTTGCATGTGGCATCGTACCTATGATGAACACTGTACGGAACCAAGATGTCCATTGCGACCGTTCGAGTGTTTTGTCCGTCCGCCGCTTGCCATATGCGATCTGCCTGTTTCCGCAGGCATGCAAATCGGCGTGCCGAGTACGTGTGCCTGAATGTGCCCGGGTACGCGTACCGGTATTTTTAGGCAAGCTGGTGTAGAGACCCGGTCGCGAGCTTTGCGTGTGATGTGAGCCTGGGGCCACATGGTGTGCTAGGGGTTGGCCTGCAACTGTGTGAGACGCAGGGTTACCGTACGGCCTGTATGTATCAGGTTGGAAGGAGGTGGGTGAAAGGGGTATGTTTCGTGTGCCAAGCAGTCACCAAGCACGAGGGACCCGGTGCGTGTTCGTATGTCTCGGCCGGACGACCTTTGTTTCTTTAACTGCCTGATGTGTAATTTCAGTTAGCGTTGCGTAGACGACTACTGAGGAAAGAGGGAATAGGTTGACCCTTCAGTACTGTGCTGCGTATTTGTATTTGGTGTCTACCGCCGCCCTAGATGTGAGGGTGACGTAAACTCTCTTCAAAGGCATGCATTATGGCATGCAGTGGGTACGCTGAGGTACCGGATGCGCCTCGTTCTTTATGCCCTTGTGGCTGGACAGAACGCATCAACAGATGCAAGCTGGCTTACTAAAGCTGTTAGCTGCGCGTAGTGTGGTAACGTCTGGGTGATTTGATGAGCAAAGAGTATCATGCGTTGGGGGAATCAGGTTATCCGCGTAGCTGTTACAATACAATACAAAGTCAGTGGCTCGATACTGGAACGTCAGTCCTACTGCATCCTTAATCCTTAATTGCCATACCGCAACCAGCGTCCCTCTCCATGCCAGCAAAACAAGTACAATGAATGAAAGAAGGGTTGCCCAGCGCCCCTACGCAACCCTACCTCCTATCTGCGCCTATGAATCCATCTTAATCGTCGTAGTAATGATACAAATTCCCGGTGATACAACACAGCTGTAAGGATACAACATACGAGCCATTCGACAATGTTCGGGATCGCATGTGACTATGCGAGGCATTAAGCCAGGGATCAGTCTAGAAGGTAAGACCCCTGCAACGCAGTTCCGCCTCGAGTTGGGAAGCGCTTTCGAAGAGGATGCCCTCCAATCCAACAGCGCAAGCCCCCTCCACATTGACCTGCACCATGCAAGGAAACATGGTAAGCGGTGGTGTTCACAGAGCTTGCATACCCATGGGTCACCAGCCAGAAGACACGAACACGTACCTTGCGGTCGTCGACAAAGATGAGTTCCTCCGGAGACCGTTGAAGCGTCTTCACACATGCTTCGTAGGCCTCCCTCGCAGGCTTCCGGTACCCCTGCATGCAGTGCAGTAACACAGAACTGGTCAGTGTACTCAGGATTAAGAGTGCGAATCGTCGGAAGAGTGTTTGGGGGGGTGGGACACGAAACAGTAGCAGCAGTTTGCAGTGAAGCATCAAGGATCAGAAGCCAAGCGTTCAAAATTCTATTCTTTTCATAACGGGGCCGACCTTTGATCCGTGGCGACCCCTCAATATGGCAGAAAATCATCACATCCTTGTGCTGCACTGGGTATCATGTGTCCCACGAAACCCCTCACGTGATCGGGCAAAGGTACTGAACGTTTATACCCGAACGTTCGGTACGGCGGCTAAACAGACACCCGCAACGCACCTTCATGGGACCCTCGCACGACACAAACGTCCAGCTCAGGTACTCCGACGGGCGCAGCTTCTCCTCAATCAGGCGGTACCAGGTGGGGTAGTTGGAGACGGCGTGCATCTCGAAGCCGGCGGCCTTGAGGCGACCCAGGAGCTGCGGCATACCGTCCAGGTAGCGGTAGCTGGACGCCTGCAGGATGGAGAGGGTCGCAGGATAGGGAGATACGTTTAGGGAAGCAAGCATGGCTATTGCAAACGGCATGCGCGAGAGAGCATGCTTGCATAGGATTACTTTGATGTGTGCAGTGTTTGCGGAGGCGAAGGAAAGAGCATGTATGGCAGCTTCCCTGGCCACAAGGCTTTGGAGCCAAGTCAAACGTGGCACGGCACAAGGGCGGCTGCCAACCGCTGGGGTGATTTGGCAAGACCATCTGGGTCACTGGGACACATGAAGCAGCCGCCAGCAACCGGTCTGGTCCTGCTAATCCAAACGGCCAGGCAAACTACTACCACTTAGGCTAATCTATGCTAGCGCATATCTGCCATCGTTGCTTGCAAGTCCACTTACCATCATAGCCTTCAGCCCACTGCCATCCACGAAGCGCCCATCGGAAAAGAACTTCAAGAATAATTCATCTTCGGTAAGCAGGCCGCGTTCAAACTCCACCCAGGCTGTTGGGTGCTTGGATGCAAGCAGCTCCTTGAAGGACCTGCCCAGCCATCAATGTAGGCGTTTGACAGCAGCGAAGAAAGCGTGAATACAAACTCAGAAAGCTCTCACATGCCAAAGAACGCTGGCATGTCGTGGAAGAACGGATCATAGACGACGGTGTCCTGTTAAGAGGACACCGGGGATCGCCGAGCCACATTGGATACAATGCGCTACACTCCGGTCAGGCACACGTAGTTATGATCATTAAGCCAGATGCAAAACCCAGCTTACCATGATGTCAAGCAGGATGACTGGGCGATGGCTTCTTTCGGCCGCCATGACTGAACGAAGGCCTCGGGAGGGGGCGCCTGGCGGCGGCCGCCTGTAACGACACGACAAACCCAGTTAAGAGACGTGGCAATGGGTACCGCCGATGAGGTGCATAGCAACTCCCTTACCTGCCCCGGCTCAAACCGATGCTTGAGGGGCACCGCAGTGGCCCGTGCAACATTGAGGACAATATTGAACGCCGATCTACGCCAGTACTCGATAGGCTGACATACAAGAAAGACTGGCGTGTTAAAGCGCGCTGTGCTCTTTATGGTGGACTCGCTCGTTCGTCGTACAAGTATGTCGTTCGCGTGTAACGCTGTGGGGCCAGGGAAGCGCAGCGACAGAAAGGTTGCAGCCTTTCCCATTGCATTAATAGTTGCTAGCAGTTACAAAGTGCCGTTGACGAAAGCACAGCTCACTGGCGAGAACTGAACTCACAACGTATTGGTACCATCTCGTAATATATAGGATAGGCGTTCTCAGCTCCAGGGCTTAGAGAAGATTGTCTTGCAGAATGAGGACATGCTTGCGCAGCGTCGGCCGTGCGCACAGTCGGGTGCAGCGGGCCTTTCCGTCGCTTCAGCGGACACCACAGTCATCGGAAACATGCTCTGGAAGCCGTAGCGTATCTGCGAAAGCTATGACGGGTGAGAGCGAGGGTCGGCACTTGGCATCCGGTGGATAGAGGCATTTCAGTTGGTAATCACATGGGACAAACTTCCGGCGCACTACCAAAGCGATGCCGCGTTGTATGCACATGATCCTAAGGAATATACGTCGCGCTCGTGTGTACCTTTCGGTATGTCTATTCGTCACTGCACCCGTTTCTTTGTTGCTACGCCCTCCTCCCGCATCCCTCCTCACCGCATCCCCTTCCTTCCATCCACCCAACCGTCCCCAGAGACGGCTGTATTCTTGGAAGAGATTGCGGTGTCGCAAACCCCAAAACGACTCCAGGGTCTTATGCGAGTAAGTGCCAAGACAGGTTACGAAGCAGCCTTTCGGAGCGCTACCGCACCGAGCCGTGAGAGCTGTGCTGTAAGAGCCGCGGCCCCCAGCCTGACTGCACGCCACGCCCCACCCAACCTCTTCCTGCATCATGCAGCCCTGCCGAAATCCCGTGCCTTCCCCTTCCCCACCGCCCTCCCTGCGGCTCGTCACCCACTCCCTCAGGTGCTGGAGGCTCGAGGCGGCAGCTCGCTTTCCCCCGCCGACCGACGAGGCTTGCACCCGCTGCTGGTGCCGCTGTCGGCGCAGGGGGAGGAGGTGACGTGCCTGCTGCGGTGGCCGGAGCCCTCGCAGTACAAGGTATGCGTTGGAGGGCTGCGGCGCCTTGCTGCCGGTGCTGTTGTTGCCCGGTAATGTAGCCACTGTTGTGCGGCATGGCACGGTAGGTTTACGAGCACGGAAGCCCTTTATTAGGCACGCTTGCATGCTAACATGTACAGCATGCACCCTCTCAACTCTGGCCGCACGTACTGGGATGTGTACTGGCCGCTGCAGAACATGACGCTTCCTGTGGTCCGTATGACCCGTGGGTCAGTCGGTGTTACGCTGGTGGCTCGCAGCGTTGACGAGTACCTGCACAGGTGCGTGAACCCACACCAGTCGCTTGACCACTTAACACCCACCATTTCCCTCACGGTTTGCTACGATAGACGTTCAGACTACCGCGTGACGATAGACGTCCAGACTACCGCGTGTCACGTCCAGCTGCCATCACCTCGACCCAATACCGAACCTGACATGTGGAAGAACCAGTTACAGCACCCCATTGGAATTCTCAAACCGCCCCACGCACCGCAACGGATCCTACCCGCGGCTGCCCCGCATCCGTAGATTACTCGCGGAGGAGGACGTTGTGGCGACCGCAGTTGCCGCCAGCGGGGCCGCAGCTCCCGAACGCCCCCTCGCCGCCGCTGCGGGACCAGACGCGGAGGGGCTCTTCCGGTCAGGCGACGTGGCCGCGTCTAGACCTGCCGCGGGCGGCAGCGGCAGTGCATCGCAGGGCCTGGCGATGTACCTCATTCGCAAGGCGGGCATGTTTCCGGACGTGTGTGAGGGGCTGGCGACCGCACACATGGCACGGACAGACCCGGTGGGTCGGTGACCTTTGTGACTGGTTGCTGCGTTCTGTTTCCTGGCTTTTTTGCGTTCGAAATCCTGAATTGCGGGCGCGGGCAACAATGTGGCATTCCATATCCTCCGTCTGCCTCCATACCCCTTTCTTTCCTCGCTCCATTTTCTCCTACGTCAACCCCTCCCTCACCCACCTCCGTATGCGCCTCCTAACCCACCCCTCACCGCACACACTCCCCACCCGTCCCCAAATTTCTCAAGGGCTTGCACCTCTGCCATTATCGCTCACCACACGGGGTCTTCTCCTTCCCTCCTCCCACGCCCTCCTCCCCCCCTCCCCCCCCAGACCTCCGCCATGGTCGCTGCCGAGTGGTACATGCGCAGCGGCCACTTCCCCGGCTGGGCGCGTCCCTACGAGTTCGCCGCGGAACTGTTCACGCAGCTGGGGCGGCACGAGGAGGCGCGGGACATGGCGCGGTGGGGGGGGGTGGACCGGGGAGGGGGGCAGGGGGCACGGAGGGGACCAGCCATGTACTAAGGTCAAGCAGAGAACTCTAGCCACATGAGGCCTGCCTGTCCTGCGCCTCCCACCTGACCCTCTCCCCGCCTCCCCGTCACTTCATGCACCCTCTCCACCCTACTCTTCCCTCCCTCTCCTCCTCAGCGCGAGTCTGCGTCTGCCCTGGTGGACCCTGCGCGCGCCCTTCGCCCAGGTTTCCGCCACTGCCGTGCTGCCGCACAGCGCCGAGCGGGTGATGTACCTGCTGAGCGAGGAGGCCGCGGCGGCCGCCTCCGCCAACGTCAACCAGTTCAGCCACCGGGAGCCCAAGACAGCGAAGCAGGTGGGTGGTCGGGTGGTTGGGTGTAGGTGGTTGACGAGGAGCTGAGGCACGTGCACGTCAAGGAATGAGATGTTGTAAGTACCGGTACGTTGGCATTCCTCCTGAGGGGAGGGGACATACATCCAAACCCTCGCCTCACTTTTCATTGCGGTTTAATAAGCACCTCAAGGAGCTGTAAGTAACCGTTCGTCTCGCGTGTGCCGTGACCCATGGGTCACTCCACAGCTCGCATTGGAGCGCGCCAACTCCCTCATGAACCGAGTGGTGGCGGGAGATCTCGAGTCGTACGACAGCATCCGGGAGCAGCTTGCGGAGACGTACCGGGAGGCGGGGCTGAGCGATGTGGCCAACTTCATTCAGGCGGCTTGAGGGAAGCCAGGGGGGGGGCCTGATGGTTTTGGTGGGCAGACTAGGGTAGACTTGACGATGGGGGCTGAAGGGTCGGTGTCTTGGGTAGGGAGAGCGAGGTGAAGGTGGTTTCATTGACCAGCTAGACGGGCGGGGCAGATCAGGGCAAGGGGAAGGGGCAAGGGGAAGGGTGTTATACGGGGGTGCTAGATAGGACGGGGAGGGAGAGGCGGTGATAGGTCCCAGGGGGCTCCGAATGACTCAAATAGGTAGGTGTAGTAACGGTGGTGTGATGTGTCAGGCGAGAACTGTGTATCCTAAGACGGAAAGCCATAGGACGAGAAACACATGGGGACTGTGGGAATCGATGCTAGATGGACGGACCTGGCGACTGGAGCTGGGCTAGAGCATACATTTACATCTAAGGATTGTGTTTGACTGTGAGAGAAAGGCAGGTCAGCGAGGCGATCTACATGTAACGGTTCTCATTGCTGAGCTGATGACAACAGGAACATGATGAGGGTGTGGCGGTAGGAAGGGCCCAACAGTGAAGAAGCCGACGTGGGGCGAGCTTAGGGGCCCTGCAAAGCTCTTTCCGGGCAGGGTCTCGCCCGAGAGGTTGATGCGCACAGTATGTCACTGAACATGGAGGCCGACGATATGAGATATGATGGGGTATGAGGAGCAGGTGGCAGTGAGGAGAGGTCGTGACCGGCTGTGCGTACGACAGGAATGCGGCAGGTCGTGTGTTGCCAACGCTGTCTTCTGGGACTTTGGTGGTGATCTGGCGCATGAGAGGCCAGGGGTGGCTTGTGTTCGTACCTTTACCCGCTGTACGTTCATATACGGAGATGTCGTACGAGAGGGCGAGTACGGGTCCCCCAACACATGCATCGGTATGTACCGGCATAGCAGCTCCCATGCTTGTAACACTGGCATAGCGCGTTGCTTTCCTGCTGCTGCACTCTCAGAATTCATGCGCCTTCGAGTGCAAGTCTTCAAGTGCTACGGAGAAGTCCTGGAAGTTACCCAGAAGACGCCCCCGATGATGGCTTTTTCAGTGTACCTGCTGCGGCGCCACGGCCCGCAAAGCCGCAAAGCGACCCGATCAACTCAGAGAGTCGGTTTAAGCAGCAGGAGACCCATGGGTCATGGTAGCACAGTTAAACCGCAAGGCGCTGGCAGGACCGCACGCAAAACCTCCAGGTTGCACCTTGTTGCAGAGAAAGAATGTAACATAACACCTTAACAAGACTTTCACAGATAATTGAGGTTGCTTGACGCGGGCACAAGGACGTCGGGTGACAGCGGTCGACCTTCAGCGCTTTTGGCGTTCCTTGGCGTTTCGGAAACTTAAGTTAACTAGTGCGTGTTCGTACCTGCGAGCGGTTGGGGCTTGTCAGCGTGAAATAAATATCTTCTATTAACCTTGTTCGCGCACCGTCGTTCGCTAATCCTTCGCAAATCCTTTCATACAAGCGAAAAGGCTATATGCACCCGGCTGCTGCCTTGCCGCTCAACTGCAGAATAGTCCAAAACAATACAAACAACCACAAACAAACGAGTAACAACCAACCTGCAGCTTAGTAGTAGGTCCCGTTTCGCGACTATCCGAATCCCAGTTATCCGCAACCACACCGTTAAGCGAGCGAGCCACTAAAGGTTGACGCCGCGACGCAGCCAAATAAGCAATAATACGGAGATGGTGCACCGGAGAAGCATGACGGCTGCCTGGGTCATGTTGTCCATGCTCCTAGCCAGGTAGGCAAGGATACTTGCACGTGCAGGGGCCGCACCGGCATGCAGACGCGTCCCACGTGCGCCCCCAACCCTTGCTGGCACCCAAAGCACCTTTCTTGATGTACCGTTACTGGTCGTACACCACAGTTGCTGCATGCTAAGCGGGTGCTAAGTGGGTCGCTGGGTCCCCTACGTGCTTCCCACCGCAGCTGGACAGCTTCTGCCCTCAGACAGCCCTCGCTGCGCAAGCAGTCCTGGCAACAACCGCAGACCGCAACTGGTGAGCAAGCAAGCAATACGCCTCCGTCCGTTCGCTGAGGAAGGTTTGCAGCATCATGCATTGGCCCCTCCGCGCTCTGGTCCCCATTCCGTCACACGGTTTTGCTTGAAGTGCAGGGCCTTCGAGTGCAGTCACCTGCCCCGCGCTAGGCCCGGCTCCGGAGGGCACGACCCTCATAAAGCTCATCGCAGCAACCTACAACGGGTCCAAGGTAGGCCGCAGCGCAGCTGCAACCGCAACAGGAGGAGTAACTGCCGCAAAGGGAATGGCAGGGAACGGACAAGACTGGGCAAAACCCGATGAGGGAGCTGCGCTGCCGTATCTGAACGGGCGACCCGCCTTACTCCCTAGTTTCTCCCATGCCCTTCCCTTCGAACAGACCCAGTTCCTGGCCTTCAATAACAGCCGGGTCGGTCCGCTGCTGCGCCTTACCCTCAACCATACCTACCAAATCGACGTCACCAACGCCAACATCGACCCAGGGGTCACTGTCCACTGGCATGGCCAGACCATGTTCGCCTCTCCTTGGTCTGACGGCACCGACGGCATCACCCAGGCGCCCATCCCGCCGGGAGCTACCTTCAGCTATCGCTTCCGAGCCCACCCCGCCGGAACCTTCTGGTATCATTCCCACGTGCACGGCCAGTTCGCGGATGGTCTGAGGGGACCGTTGGTGGTTGTGGATCCGGCTGGAGATCCCTTGGCAGATCTGTACGACAGCGACGATCTGGACGAGCATGTGATGATGCTGGCGGATGTGTTTGACAAGCCGGCGGCGGAGATACTTGCGCAGCTGCAGGGCCAGGGTATGGGTATGGGCGGCGGAAGCGGTGGGGGTGGTTCCATGGGCAGCATGAGTGGAGGCGGGGGCGGGATGGGTGGGGACAAGGGTGACATGCGTGGAGGCGGGGGCAGCAGCGGAAGTGGAGGTGGCAGCAGTGGTCATGGGTACACGCACGGTGATGTCGGCAACGGCGGCAGGAACGTTACCGAGGGCAGTGCCGGCGGCGGAGGGGCAGGAGCAGCGGAAGCGGAGGCAGGCGGAATGGAAGTGGAGTTTTGCCCGAAGGAGTTGCTAGACATCGACATTTCAGATGCGCCCTGGCATGCAGCGGAGGTGAGGTTGGCGCTGGGAGCGGTTGTGCGCTACCTAAACTACTTTTCCATACGCATGCCTGTACGGCGTGCCTCTATCCGGCCCATCAGCGTCCAGTAAGCCTGGCGTCCATCGGTACCCCCGCACCCTGTATCGCACCCCGCACCCCGCTCCTGCCAACTCCGCGCCTCCGCACACGTCCCTCGTTCGCCCCGCCTGTTGCTGCAGGTCAACGGCCAGTCCTTCAACACCACCGGCCAAGCTGCCGTGTTCCAAGTGCAACGCGGTCGCCGCTACCGCTTCCGAGTCATCGGCGGCATGTCCTCCTGGGCGCTCAAGGTGGGTGTGGAGCGCCACAACCTGACGTTGATAGCACTGGACGGGCAGCCCATCGCGCCAGCAGCAGCGCAGTCGTTCGTGTTGACGTCAGGAGAGCGAGTGGACTTTGTGCTTGCAGCAGGTGCGCGGGTGTGTCAGGGAGGGTAGGTGGTAGGGGGAGGGAGACGCAAGAGGAGGGGACGTGGCCTGGCTGAGGCCTCCTACGGTCGTACTCTTACGCTTAGGGGGGTCCTGGGGTTTGGGTGTCGTATCTCGAGGACCGCACGATATTGTGTTGCTTGAAGAGGCGCACCTGTCTTGCAGCTATGGTGACCCAGTGATCAACTGATCTCTGTGACTATGCGTGAGTCGCGCTGTCCCACGTTGACTGCGATGTCGTGCAGATCAGCCAGTGGAGAACTACTGGATCAATGTCACCACGCTAAACGGCATGAACTCGCCAGCTATTCTGTCGTACGAGGGAGCGCCCGACCCACGAACCGACCCGCGGGTCGCCCCAACGGCCTTCACTCACAACCTGACATGCGCCAGTGGCGTGGGAGGCCAGGAGGGCTCGCTGGACATGAAGAATGCGACTCTGCAGGCGGGGCGGGGCGTTTCGCCGCCACCTACGGTACGTCAAGGTGGTTACAGGGCTGTACACCCTTCGTTTCGCATGCTGGGGTACAACCATGCCGGCAAACATATTCACGCTCGGTTTCCCTCATGCCCTCATGCCCTCATTCGCCAGTGCGATTATTCCTGGTCAGCTAAGATGGGATGGTTCCTAATATGATCAGCGTTGCCGCTAGTGGCCCTAAACCTCATCCGCGTGTCTTATAGCTCTTGGCTTCAGATCCTGCCCGCTTGCTGCAACCCGCCTGCCAACCCGCCTCCCTGCCTCCCTGCCTGCCTGCCTGCCTGCCTCCCTGCCTGCCTGCCTGCCTGCCTGCCTCCCTGCCTGCCTCCCTGCCTGCCTGCCTCCCTGCCTGCCTGCCTGCCTGCCTCCCTGCCTGCCGCCTGTCTTCAGGCCGCCCTTCTCTTGCCCCGCTCACACCGCTGATGGCCGTATATGTATGCCTCCCCGCTCCGCCAGACCGCCACCAAGAGCTTCACGCTGTACCTGGTCAACGCGGGTAAGGAGATGGTCAACACGCTCATTCCCGCAGCCTTCGCCAGCCGTGCCGCGCAGCCAGGCAACATCTACGGCCTCAACCCCAGCTTTGCCGCCACGCTGCTGCCGTCCCCGCACCTTCACAACCGCAGCAGCAGCAACAATAGCAACGTAACTACCAGCAACAGCAGCGGTTCCGATGCGGTCAGCGGCAATGCAACCGCGCCCGACAAAGGCAGGCTCAAGCGCCGAGCTACCTGCCCGCTGCTTCCCAACGGCAAGCCCTCCCTTTTCTGCTGGACAATGAACTGGGACGTCTTCCACTTCCCCGCAGCGCTTCCCGTGTACACTCAGAACCGCAACATGCTGCAGACCGCAGGCAGCAGCGACCATGCCGCCGGCGCCCAGCAGCTCGACCTCCTCCGGGACCAGGAGGTCACCACCACCAGCAGCAGCACCCGCAACGCCGCAGAGGTCGGCCGCGTTTACAACATCCAGTTGGAGCAGGGTGACGTGGTCGACCTGGCGCTCATAA